TAGGGGTCCTCGCCAGCAAAACCCAGGTGGAGCTGCTGCAGCGCGTGGGCGCAGAGCTGGCGCGGGAGGTGAAGAGCACCTTTGCTGGACTTTCAAACTTTTTGCCTTCTTTTCAGGGGTTTTCCGCATTAAAGCACCAAAAGTTAGCCACTTTTCGTAGGGCAGAAAGCAACCGAGGCACCTCCTCCGCGCGGCTCTGCCAGGTCTTCCACTGGCTGGCCAGGGCCGGGGTGCGGGACCAGACGCTGACGCCCGGCTTAGGGATATATAACCCAGGAACAACCCACCCCCCAGAACCCCGGCGCCGGCGCCGTTCGTTTGTTGGTTTGTCGGTTTCTTGTTTTTTTGTGGCGTGCTTCTTTTTTTGTTTGTTTGTTTTCTCCCCCCTTCTCCTACAGTCATGCGTGCTTTTGTTTCTCGTTTTGGTCTTTGCCTAGTCAAACAGATGCCCGCTTTTGAATCGATGGGCCGGCGTGGCTGAGGATGTCGCTCATGGGCAACGAGGCCCTATTTAGGCTCTCGGACGACTTTGTCCTGGACATGTACATCGAGGCCAGAAAGCCTGAGGGGTTTTGTGCTACGTCTTTTCCCTCGGCTGCACCCCGCTGGATCCGTGTCTGCATGACTTGCCAGTGTGCCAGTTGCCTTCGCCTAGGCCTCAAGATGTGCTTGTGTGAGTGCGAGTGGCGGTACTGGGATGTGCGCTTTTGGCTTGACCTCTTTCGCATGTGACATGCCACATGCTGACAGAAAGTTGGTTGCTAGTAAGTTCGCAAGTGGCATGCATTAGTTAGTTCTAAGTTCTATCCCTGGGTCTTGCTTCAACTTGTCGGTTTGTTTCTGGGGTGCAGCATTTGGTTGCTGCCCCTGGTAGGGGGATTCCATGTGAGTCTGTTGCCATTGGTCGTTTGTTCCATTTTGTTCAGGTGATGAATGCGCACGCCCGCCTGGATGTGCGGAACCCCCGCCTGGTGAGCGCTATGCTGCGGGAGATGGCGCCCTTCTTCCGGGAACTCAGCAAGGAGCCAGTTCCACGTTCGGGCGTGGGCTCGCGAAAAGGCAAGCCGCGGGTCTTAGTTTCATGTTTGCTTAGGGGGCGGGCTTTGGGGGGGAATGTGTTATGCTGTCACAGGCGTGGGTGAAACAGATGGGGCAAGGCGCCTACGGCGGACACCATGCAGGAAAGACCAAAATAATGTTAAAAAGCTTCAGTAAGCTCGCAGGAATTCACTCTTTGCAGCCACAGGCATCCGCGACAGTGCGCTCACAACCTGCCAACATGTCAACTCCCCCCGCTATGCCGAGGTGAGAAAGGTCGAAAAGGCCAAGATAGTCAAAAAGGGAGACCCTCACTGCGGGAGCTGCAGCTCTGATAGTGTGGGCCATATTGCGCCTTCATGGGGTGTCGCGTCATTTGCCCTGCCTCTCTCACTCCTCTGAGTGAGGTCAACGTTTTGTGCTTCGCTGGATTCTTTGGGGATGGAACAGACGGGGAAGTGAGACGAAACCCGGAGACAGCTGTTCACTAAATTGGCTTGGGACTGGCTGCGAGTTTTGTGCAATACATAGAAGCAGGCAATATATATATATATATATATAAGGCAATACTGCATCTGAGGAAGAAGGCGGGGGAGGGGATACCTGCCCATGTTTCTTATGCTATGGTGCCCAGGAGTTGCAAGAGGGTCGTATTTGGTAGAATTTGGTTCTGGTCGCTGGCCGGACTACTTGCATTGGGGATTTTGATCTGAAGTTGTCATTCTGCAGTACATGCAATTGGCAACATTTTGCTCGAGGCTGGTGGGGAGCGCATGCAGCATCTCGCATCTTGTCTACACCTTGACGTGAGTCAAATAACTTCATGTGCCCCCCCCATCCTTTCTGGGAATGCGCGCTCCCCGCTAGCATGGTTGCCCATCAAAGCATCAAGGGGCACCTGTTCCAAACAGGTTTGCGCTAGGTCTGCTCTTCTCCTTCCATTCTTCCCACTTGCCATCACTTCCCCTTTTTCACCTCCTCCTTTTCTTTTGTTTCTGTTGCCCCTTCCACCCCCTCCGCCCCCTCCACCCCCTCTGCCCAGCTGCGCCCAGCTGCGTCTGGGAGGACCAGTGCAGCGCAGTGGCGCCCCTCACGGTCATGGCGGTCTTCTCGGACGAGGCCCGGGTGCAGTTCCTCTCGCGGTGCGCGGAGCTCAACATGGGCCTGCCAGTGCGCATGACGCAGCCGGAGGTGCTGAGGCGAGGGTCTTCGGCCCGATGCGGATGCTTCGGCCCCGTTGGGTTTGGTGGGGATATATCTGATTTTCTGAGGGAAGCTCCAAGGATGGTAGGTGTTCCCGAACTTCAGAAAGGGTATATAGCAGCAACAACGATACCCAGATGTACAGGCGGCCAGACACCTCACTAGGCCCATCCGTGTCAAACCCAAACATGAAACCATTTGCAATCCACCAAGCTCACCTTCATAGTTCCTTTTAGCTGATCGACGGCTTTCTCCGGTGTGGTTTTTTTGTCCGGCGGATCGGACGGGCCCCTCTTGGGTGTTCAAGCTACTTCGTAAGAAGGTTATAACCATGGTTATAAGCGCACGAACCCCAGTTGCCCCACATATATCCTTGATTGTAACCTACTTAAGTAGCTTGAAGATCCAAGGACGGTTACCGAACCCGGCCCTGAGGCAGTTTCGGTTGCTGGAGGATTGCCTGCGCCTGGACTACCACCCAACGGTTCTTCCGGCACAGGTTCAAGTTTGGCTCCAGAATCTGAAGGCGGAGAGTGAGGCACCGGATGGGGTGCGGGGCGGGTCCCGATGATTTGGGGATGCCTTTGTTTCCCCGGCGAGCTCTGTGTTGAAGGGACGCCAAAAGGGAGCCAACCATTCTGGGGTGCCCCTGAATTTTGAGATAGCACCAGCCCAAGTAGTCTCATTACACCCACTGCAAGCATGACAGACCAGATTTTGTGGCTGGGTTTCGCTGTTGGTTCTGCTCGGGATGCGCAATGAACAGAAGATGTTGGGCACTTGGCCACGGCAAGCATCGCTCAAGCATCGCTCAGGCGCACGACAGCATCGAGCCGACGCCACTTTCGCCGGTGGAGGAGGACATCTTCCGGGTTCTCCATGCAGAAATGGAGGTGGCGGTTACGCCCAGCTTCCAGGATGGCGTCTTGACCCTTCACCTGGTCATGGGCAAAACCGTCCTGCAGGTGGGCCGAAAGGGGGAAAAGACATGATGGGCCAGACCAGGCCGGCTATTTGCATATTCAAAGGCTTCTCCACTGCCTTGAAGATAGATAGCTCCATGGCTCTCACGGTCGACAGGTTGTTCTTTTTATTTTGCTCCCCTTTACGGGCACCCCGCCTGCCCATCTCCACTTTCGTCATGGCCTTGAGGTCATGGACGAGTACGAGGACAGAGGGAAAACACGAAGTCAGCATCACAACAGGGCCTCTTGAAATTGTTCCTGTCGCATTCTGTGACATTTTAGGGCTTTCTCAGGGCTCCCTGACTGCAGGATTCTCTTCCCTCCCCCCCCCCTTCCCACTCCTTCCCCCCCTTCCCCCGCGCCTTCGGCTCCTTGGAGGACTACTACGTGACCCCAGCCATGGGCGGCCAGCGCCTCATCCGGGCTGAGACCAAGCTTCGGCAGCGGCTCATTTGGCGCCGGGGCTGGAGGCTGGAGTTAAAGGCCAAAAATTGAGGTGGGAGGGAGGGAGGAAGGCCCAAAATGGGCAGAAGTGTGGGTGTGGGTCTGGGTCTGGGTGTGGGTGTGGGTTGTGTCCGCGAATGGGGTCTTAAAACCTGTGCAGCGATATCTGCTATTGCCTTTCGCGCCAAGAAAGGAATCTCAAGCTAGTCTTTAAGTGGGAACCCAAAGCCAGCGCCACAAGGGCACTCTTTTCGGGCGTGGGGAACGCGACCAGTTCTCAGTATGACCCAAGTGTGGACCAGGTATCAGTTCTGCAGCCTTTCCTTTCACGCGCAGGAGGCGGCAAGGAAGGCAAGTGTCTGGCGAACACCTACCGCAGCAGCCAATTTCACAAGCTTTTTTGCACACTGCCTTGTCAACATCAATCCTCATAAATCCCCATGCAACACGGTGTCCACCAGGGTGTCCCGATGCAAATTGCTAGCCGTTCGATACGTCGCTGAGAGAATCTGGCTCTGATGTGAGGCTGCTGACGCTGGATGCAGAGGAGTGGCGGAAGCTGACAGATGATATCTACAAGAAGGACCTGAAGCATGAGATTGGGTTCGCATATCTAGTCCATGGTCGAGTTGGGGTACGTCCCCAGAAAGACTCCACCTCCAGGAGTTTCCGTACCCTGAGTTGCCTCATGGTGATGCCCTTTTGCAAGCACTTCTTCCCGGTTGCTGGGTATCGTACTTAATTGCGAAGCTTCAAAAGCTTCGCGCACCTGCACAAACCTTTGCCAGAAGCCTTTGTGAACTGAGCCCGATCATTTTTTTAGAACTCAGAATTGACACCTTTTGGTTGATTCATACGGGGGTTGCCCATTTTGGAGTTAACTCTTTTTATAGGCGGCCTCAAAATAGTCTGCAAGGATTGATCCGCAATGCAGGATTTGCTGGAGGAGCTGCTCGTCCACGGCCAAAAGAGCATCCGACCATAGGACTGCAGGGTTTCACCTGGTAGAACGGGCAAGGTCCGGCATTTCTTCCATCATCTCGCGTGCCCATTGGGCGCCGAAGACACGACTTTTACGGAGATCTGAAGTGCGAGGCCGGGCCTCCCGACGGGCGCCGTTTGGATTGAGCAAACTGCCGCAGATGGCGCCTTGGTAGACGAGCGCTGGGCGCCCTGAGCTTGCCACGGCTCGCTCGCCCGCACGGCTCAATGGACTTGGCAAAAATAGATTGGGCGAAGGCTCCACGGACTCGCGGTGGTGGGCTGTGCGCTGGTGGGCAGGGAGGAAGTGGGAGTTGTGTGTTTCGGCCGCCGCTGGGTCACGCGCTTCGCAGCGATTCCCCGGCCGAGGCCTGATGGTTCAGTTCCAGACTCTTTGGCAGCTGGTCCAGGGCCTGCTGCACAGCGTGGCTCGGCGTGACCCGAAGGCCTCTTCAGGACTGAGGCTAAGCTGAGCTTGCATGCTAGCTGTTGGGCAAACACAGATTTTGCAGAAGGGGGAATGGAGTTCAGGCGAGGCTAGCTTTGGTAGCGCCCAAGGCAGGCAGACCGACAGACAGAAAGGCAGAGCTTTTATTGCTGACTGGGGAGCTGACGCGGGGGTCCTGGGCATGGCCCAGGTCACAACGCTTCTGTGGACATTCTTACTGGTCATGATCCTCATTTACATTTTTGCCATCATTGGCATAGAGCGCCTTGGCAGGGAGGAATTGCGAAAACCCGAGTGACGATGCGTGCCGGCGGTTCATCGTTTCTTTTTTGCTGCGCGGATGCGTTGGTTTGCGTCCCTTTCACTCTGGTGAAGGCATGTGTAGACATGCTTGCGGGGCCTGCAGAGTTGGAGTTTTTTGTTTTTTTCCCTCCTCGGCACCCGGACCTGAAGCAGCAAGAGGGCTCCCAACCTGGCCGGAGGTTTATTGCGGTGGACGCCGAGCTGCCGGAGGATCATCCTTACAATGTGGCGGCCAGGGAAAACTTCAGCAGCTTCGGGGACGCTGTCATCACCTTGCTGCAGATGTTCAGCATGGATAGCATCGGCTCCTCGGTTTCAAACGGCCCTCAGACTCTCGCGCTTTCAAGCTGTGGCCGCTTGTTCGGATGGACGTGGGACAGGCTCGATCTATCGGCCGTTGGTGAAGCATCGCTTCCTCCTCTTCTTTTACTTCATGAGTCCTGGCGGCAGCAAGGGGTGTGCTGCATTCCATTGCCCTGGTTGGGCACTTCGGCCTATATATGCACAAAGACTGTCCCGAAAAGAAGTCGTAGCTGGTAGCGTTGTTTTGCCCATTTGCTCGGCTCCGTTCACAAGCCCCAGTGGCATTCTTGTGCAAGGACGGTGTTGCTGATCTTGGCCATTGCACTCATGAACTTGGTCACTGCAGCACGGCACCCGGCTTGTTGGGCTCAGCTGCAGGAGGTGAAGAGACTGCAGCCATCCAGGTTGTGCGCGCCGCTTTGGTCGCTATGCACACCTTCCCTGCTTGACTGGTGGGCGCTCCAATCCTCTTGGCCAGAGCAATCATCGTTGTTCAGCGCAGAGACATGCAGATGCCACGCTGAGGTCATGGTGAATTCCTCCCTGGATCAGGCCGGACGTTGAAAAAAGCAGAGAGCGAGCAGCGCATGCTGTCCTTTTTGGGATGAGTGTTTGTGCGCCGTTCAAGGCCCCTGAGCATGGTGTGGACGATTGATTTCGGCTTGCAGACCTGCGAATAACATGGCATGCACACATACTCATGCAGGCCTTGATAGATGCTTCCAAACACATTTGGCCAGAAGGCTTTGGCGCTGGGGGGTTGGGGATGTTGGGGGGGGTGGGGGGGGGGGGGAACCTGATGCTTGAATTCCAAGTCCTCAGCGCAGGCATCCGAGGATAAGGATGCCAAGAAGGTGGGAAGGAGCTGGCAAGCTTCGTTCTTTCATCAGGTTCGTCCCATTGAAGCAATCGGGTGCAGGGATTGCTTCAGTCAGCCCCTTGCAGTCCGAACTGGCCAACTGGGGATGAATCCGTGAAGGTGCAAGCGGGCTTTCTACCAGCCAACCTTGCGTTCATGTTTGGCAATGTCACCCTCCCACCAATCAAGATGGAACCTGACGTTCGGGGTCCTTTTAAAAGGGACAAAAGGGTCCCTGTCAGGTTCGGTAGCCCTTGATAGCCACCGGGGGGTCTTCTAAAACTGGTGGTGTTTCCTAATATTCCATCGGAGGCCAACCGGGCGCGCAACCGCCCGACCGCTGGGAGAGTCGACGACCGGTCGCCCGGTCGCAAGGCTTGGGAGGAGGCCAAGAAGAAGAAGCAGATGGAGGAGTTGAAGCTCATGTTCCACGAGCTGGATGAGGAGCTGTGACTCCGCAGGGCTCCTGTAAAAAGATACACTTTGCAACCATTTGAAACATGGCTTTTTCAACACCAAAATAAAGGGAAACCACCATTTACAAGGCAATGCTAATGTAAGGATCCCTGCTGAGTCGCTGCGAGTCACGTTGCGGCTTCATTGGCGCGAGCCCCTAGGTGACTCTCACCCTGGATGCCTGCGAAAGAGCAGTTTCCGGCCAGAGTCGAGATGTTGAGGCGCCAAAGCGGCTCGAGTGGCCCTAAACGCCTGGCGACTGGAGGAATTTTGAACTCGAAGCCGGCAAGGTTTCAGGGGAACAGACATGACTAAGACGCGCACCACGAAATGAAGCCATGGTTGAAACAATTTATTGTTTCTCGCTAAGTTTACCTTGGGGAATTGAATCATTGCAGGGTTTCTGAACGGTGCGAAATGGATTTCGCCCTACCCTCCCACCCCCCCTTTTCGAACGTGGAACGGTTCCATGTGAATTGGAAGCCCCTCCTCAACCAGCAATCCACCGATTCGGCTCCAAGCCACGGGAAGCTGAGTATGTCTCGTCGCGCGCAGGACGGGTCTGGGGACCTCAGCTTGGACGAGATCCGCACGGCGCCGGAGCATCTGCGGCTGGAGCTGAAGGACGCGCCGATGAAAACCACGCCTCCTGGGAGGGGGGGGGGCCACCCAGCCATCCGGTCCCTTAGCTTGTTAGATCTTTTTAGTGTTGTTCGTGGTTGGACTTCCATCTAGCCACTGAAAGTTAAACTTTGGCGGGGGATCTGAGGATGGCCCACTTTTAGTTTCTTTATGGATCAGAGGGGAATGTTGGATGTATGCAAGATCCAAGAAGTTCCAATGAATTGAACCAAAACCGAAGTTTCAAGAGGGGAACCAACAAGATTTCATTTGGGATTTCTGAACTTTACATGGCTATTTGGGAACGGATCTTTGGACTGAACAACTTTTAGGTTGACACTTTGTGGATTTGCCAAAATCTGTTTGGACCCCAAAAAGTGAGAGACGCGGTTTTGCGGTTTTGGCTTAACAGCAACCATGTCCCCTCCAGGGCAGTTTCCACCTCAGCTTCCCTTGAACTCTTGGGTGAAAAGAGCGGATGTGAGTGTGGATGCATGGCTCGAATGTGCTTGGACACCCTTCACCTGTTGCTTTCCAATGTTCTGTAGATGTGACTGGAAGGATGTCTGGCATCAATGGGGTGCAGATCTATGCCCCCCTTTTTACCTCGGGCCCATAGCAGTTTACCTTGACGTGTGGGTAGCCTGTCAACAGAAATGAGGAGCTGGCGGGCAATGCGGATATCGAAGAGCTCTTCGTGATGCTGGACTACGATGGCGGCCAGAGCCTCACTGCATGGCTCGGAGGAAGGTGTCTTACTCCTGTTGGGACACTCGCCCTTAGCTTACTTGCGGCACAAACTTTACTCTTGGGCACTGGCCGCCCCGCTGAAAATTTCCGCTCTCAGGCGGGGCTGTGGACTCCGACGAGTTCTGCGAAGGCGTCTTCAAGGCTGCGAGCCGCTTGGACCCAACCTGCGCGGCCCGCGGCCGGCAGCTCCGCGTGCTCCGCGTGCTCGCCGTTTGGCCTTCCCATGGCGAGGCTGTGACAAGGAGTCCATGGAACTGAGCCGCCCCGGCCTTGGTCTGCACTGTCATCTAGGGAGTCCTGGCTTGGACCATTCTCCTAAGGGGATCGGGTCCCGAACGTCAGGCTCCAGGTGAATTGGTGGGAGGGTAGGTGTCACGGTTAACGGGCTCCTTGTTCCTTAGCGGCGTGCTGAGGGCTCACAAAGCAGTGCCTGCCTCAGTGCATCCGGTGTGCTGATGTTCCAACTCTGGCGCTGGAGCCTTGTCCAGGTGTTCATTGGGCCTTTTTCCTTTTGGTTTGGAGGGTTCCCTTCTCAAAATGGTCAACTGCAGCTGCGCTACCCGCAAGTGAATTGACAGGCTGAAATGGACCTGTAGCCAAGCGGATTAAGAATTTCTGAAAACTCCACAGCCCGCTGGTTTCCCCTTTGCGGAAGTTTTCTCATCTTCCTGGAACATCGCTGTCCACGTTCCAGCCACCGTCCTCGCTTTGTGACCGCATTTTGAGATATGAGCATACGGATTGCCTTGGGTGTTTCTCAAAATTCAAACAACTGGGGTTTTTGCAGGTTTTCGTCTTTGGTTCCATTTGCCAAGGTGCCATTTTGGCACCATGGTTTTGACCCACAGCCCCCTGGTTTCAGTTGAGCATGGCCAGGGAAATCCATGGAGTCCGATGCAGACACTCGGTGGGGCTGCCAGGTGCAGCTTGGTGCTGGGCAACAGCCGGTCCCTGCTCACCGCAGCTCGAAGCCCCAGCCCTTCGAGTGAGGGGGGCGGATGGCGGTTTGTGGCGGGGGTGGCTCCCCTGGGATACCCGGCGGTGGGTCAAAAAACACGTACCCGGGCAAATGGATCCAAAGACTAAAACCTGCGTAGCCCCGGTTGCAAAGTTTTGAGCCACAGCCGACCCGAACTCGTTTGCCGCCCCCCATTTGCGCGGGGAGTTTTGCAGGGGAGAGAATGATCTGCAGCCCACTGCACTCTGATGCATCCAGTTCTTCCAAGCCAAACATTATTGCGCCCGAGATGGCAAGCAGCAAAGAAGACTCAGACACAAAAACTGAATGTTTCCTCCGATTCGGCAACTTCTTTCGCCTGCTTCAGAAAAATGCCCGGGATTCAGCAACTGTTATTCAGCTACTGCCTTTGACGGATTCATCGACTATGCAGCTACTATCGATCCACTCAGAAACTTCCATTCAGCAACCACTAGACCCGCTTGGAGAGCCATTTGCAAAGAACGGAACCTCCAATTCAGCAACTGGACTGATTCAGCAAAAGGGGGAATGCCAAGTTCCAAGACAACTGCAACGCAACAACTGCTTTTTAGGGTGCATCAGGATATACAAGGTTGGGTGGAAGGGTGGGTGGGTGAATGAGTTTGGGACTGGGCCGGGCTTGTGAAAGGGTCGGCTTTGATCGTCGAATCCAAGTTGCAGAACCGGACAGTTTATTTAGCCTCATCAAGCTCGCGGAAGGGCGGCGATGCTTGCCAACATTGGCATCGCTTGGCATCGGCAAAGTGAACACTGCTCATCTCGAACCGGTCGGCTTTGTGTTTTCTATTGCACCCCCATGCCCCCCCCGCCCAATGTAGACAATGCCAAATTCTTCCGCCAGAACCTGCATGTCATTTGTTCGCCGCCAGCCGGCCGCTGCTGGCTGTCTCTTTGTGAAGCGCGTGTCTCAGGTGTCTGGACAAGAAGCTCCCCGTGGCCTGCTTGCATCCGGGAGTGAGACCAAAGGTTGTGGGCAGCTTGACAGCCCAACATGGCTTGAGGAATTTGTAGCGCAGCTCGCCGTAACGCAGCTTGCCGAAAAGTCCAAAGGCGGCTTGAGAAATTTCTGGTTCCTCTTCACCAGTCTGGAACTTGAGGTCTTTTCTGGGGGTGGCGGCCGGCCGGGCCGATGTCTCCGTCTGCGCCGATTGGCTTGGAGTTTCCAAAATGAGTCAAATGTTGGTACATCATGCCTACATGGATTCTGTGGGATTGTCCAATCAACCCTCCTCTGGGCCGTGTCATCGTTTCGTGAACCCTTTTCATTTCGGTTTAAGGGGGAACCAAAAGAACGTCAGCATAGGCGTCCGTTTTGGTTGGTTTGGTTGGAATATAGAGGGCCCTGGTTTACCTGGTGGTTCAATCATCTACCAGGGCCATCTATTTTTCAAAAAGGACACCTGTGAACAGCCTTTTGTCTCAAGGGGGGGCCACCAAAACTAGTGGTCCCCCGCGGCGTTTTTTTTCCTCCTTTTGTTTTTTTCCTTTTCTCTGAGGCCAAGTGGAGGATGGCAGCTTGGAGCCCGGAGCCTCAGCTCGGGCTTCCCCACGTGCCAGGTGCTTCGTGTGTTTTTCTTCTCCCTTTTTCTTCTGTTTGAGGAGCCGCCTCAAAGCCCAAGGAACGGGTTGTAGCACTAGGTCCCCCAGTAGTGCCCCTTTACCGTTTCTTCTTGGGGGGAGGGTTCCCCTACTAAAATCGACTCCAGAAATAAGGGTACCCTTATTCTAACCTCTCTACTGGAGGACCTAGAGCAGCTTACAGCATAACTTCGAACCCACCCTGGCAACGGTGTCCAAGTGGTTTGGCCAGTGTTTGCACTTTGTCGTTTGCGGGGAGGGTCAAAGCCGTTTTTTGAGCTACCACTCCAACTTTTGTGACCATTGCCGCCATTGCCCCAGAACCTGAAAAATGCATGCATTGCTTCCTGTTTACGATGGACTTGCCATTTCGATATTTCGACATTCGGCCTGGACAAGACTTGAAGAGGGCGTTGTCTAAAGCTGGCTGAACAACACAGCTTTGGCTCTGGCAAAGGGTGCCAGCTGTCGGTCTGCCCTTTCTTAAGTCAATTCGATTTTCCCAGGCCCTGAGGCCCTCAACAACTCGCAGCTTCCCTTGCTTGCTCGGGCTCTAGCCGTTGCCACGAGGACACGCATCGGAAAGCTGGAGCAGGAGGTTCAGAGCATGAGGCAGTTTGGACCGGCCGAATGGTGGTTTTGCATTCCGTTTCCCTTCCAAGCCTCCAAGAAGCACACAAATTTGTCCGAATTTCATGTGCCAAATGATCGGTGCTGGCGTCGTTGTTCTCTTGGGCAGCCAGCGACTCAGCTAGTCTTGCATGGTGAGTATGTTCTGCCAGTGGCAGGAGCAATATGCGCCGGGTCTTGATGCTAGCTCGCCGCTGAGGATACGGCCTTGTGCAGCCTTCCAAGACGGGCATTCCGGGAACACATGTTCTCACCACTTGCATTGTTTCCCATCTTCGCAGCTGATCCTTCAACAACGGCCCCAGGTACCAGCATTGACTCCTGTGCTGCAGTCAAGTGGTTGACAACTCCCAAGCAAGTCTTCCTCATGATGCTTCAGGATATTGGTATCAATCATGAGCGACAAGCAAAAGCGAAACTTGCCCATACTCGTACTCCCATTATTGAGGCCCCAAATGTTCAGATGCCCTGCTGCACCTATAGAAAGTTGAATGCTAAGAAACACAGCAGCCCGCTCAACGCTCCCTATATAACACAACTTCAGGCCTATGTTTTGCTAAGGAGTTGTTTTGGTGCGTGCAACTTGCCCTCCCCTTATCTATCAGCATGACGCTTGCCACTCAGGTCGACGAAAAACCCAGCTGAGCGGCGAGCGAAGCCGGGTAGATTCCATGTGCTGCCTTGTGGTTGACAGGCCCCCGTCCACGGGAAGCCCTGAATTGCCAGCTTGAGATTTTTGAGTGGGACCTTGCAGTCTGCTCTCATGAGTTTCTTGTGGTTGGCCCACTCGCTTTTTGGGGCTGCCACCATTGACTCATGCCACGCATCTTTGACTGCAGTTAATGCCTTTGAGGCTGCCGGGCCCGACCTGTCCATTTTCTCACGGACAGAGGGCCTGGGTCAGTAGCCTCGTATCCCCGTTAGGTTGCCTCAAGCTTGTCTTGAGGCAAACTCGGGAGATCATGTCACCCCATGTTTTCAACGCAAATCTCGAAGAGATTTGCGCGCCCCCCAGGCGCCCCATAGGTGGTCATCCTGCGCCGTGGCTAAAGAAGTAGCTCGCCCAACCCGAGCTGACCGGAGCTTCGGTGAGTTGAGCCACAATCAAAACCCGGGTAGATGAAGGTTAGTAGGGGACGATCCCAACCATAAATAGCTGCGGCCGCCTTCTTAGTCCTGTACATGGTTCTGGGATTGCGACCAATTCAGTACCAGGTTTTGAGCATGCGACTCAGTTGAAGTCACGCAGACCTTGTGGCCCAAAGTTGGCCCAGAGGGGCAGAAGGGCCCGCCAGGGCCCGGGAAAGGAGGCGCCCATGGCGCCATGCGCCTGCTCCGCGCGCGCGGGGTGCAGGGCCTGGCGCTGCTTGGCGGGGTGCTGCTGGGGCTCTATGTGGCCACTGGGCGGAAACCGTCGAACCGGGGGCTGGGCGGTCACGCTAGGTCGCTGGCCTCTCAGATTGGCGACCCACAGATTGAATCTGTGTGTGAAAATGATTGTGAAAGTAGTGCACGGCTCCGCTGGTCGGCCATATTTTTTGGTTGTACGAGCCGGGGGCCCCCGAAATGGTTGGGCTTTTCGTTTCCCCTCCACCATTTTCCCAAGACACCGAGGTGCCGGGTGGTTGAACATGGCTGGTCACTCCTGGTGGTTTTCCTTGCCGTTCCCGCCGGTTCACGGGACTCCGGCACCCTCGACCAAATGGGCGTGGCTCAAAAAGTAAGCGTTCTGGGACAGGTCTTTTTTTGGGGGGTTTTTTGAGCCGCCAAATGAGCACGCGCCCAGCGTTGTGATCTTTACAGCCCTTCCCGCTGTGCCGAGACCTGGCCTCCTCCTGATGCGGGCAGGCGGGGGGAAGGGAGAGGGTGCTTGGGACATGCATGGGAATGGTTTTACTTGAGCACTCTTTGGGGGAACTCATGGACATGAATTTACATGTGAATGTATGTATGTCCACCAAGCATTGTTGAGGGCGGTTCTTTATTCAAAAGAATCGAACTCGTTGCCGCATGTTGAAAGGCAATTTTGGAGCACCAGACCTTGAAAGGCTCCGAAGGACGCATTGCCGGAAGCCGAAAGATGATGGCAATAGCCTCCAGTGTCCACATGTGAGAAAGCCCAACTCCCAAGTTTCTTCTTGACTTTGGCAAGGCATGATCAATCTCTCGCGTCCATTTCTTTTAGGGCTGGACTTGTTGGGAGTGGATGGCTTCCTCTTAACCCATGGCTCTCTGACGCAGGCCCGAGCTGTTGCCTGCGCCGGCTTCGGAACCTTCGACACCTCAGGCGCCACTTTGGGCGACGTGGGGAGCGTAATGCTCGCTGGCCAATCTCGCACTTGCCATCACGCTGCGCACTACATTCTCTACTGCTATTGGGTTGGATCTTTAGGCTTTAACTTTTTGGATTCCCCGCATACTTCCTTTTAACGAGCGAAAAGTTGGATCTACAGCACCCAAGCATTTGCCTGCGACTCCTGAGATGTTGAAACAGTCGGTGTGTTCAGGTTGAGCTCGCGCAGCGAGCTCCCGGCGCGGCCTCGCACGTTCCGGCGAAGGCGATGACCTCAGCGAGCGTCCGCGTTTCGGCGACGACCTCGGCCACCTCCGCCGCGCGCACGACGCGGCGGAACACCTTCCGGCGCTGCATACGCACAAAGGAAGGCCGAAGCGGCGGAGAGGTGGAAGATGCCACCAAGGAAGGGTTCGTGAATTCACAAAGGGAAAGTGATTAGCAGCAGCGAGAGAGAGAGAGAGAGAGCGAGAAAGATAGAGAGAGATAAAAAGAATAATGAACAAGTTAAATACTACATGTCGAGTAACGATGAGGATATTGAACCGGTAGAGAGCAATAATTTGTGTTTTTTTCGTTGATGGGATGAATGTGGATACATGTCACTGCAAAACAAACGCCACTGCTCAGTGGTGTGATCAGCTTGCTTCTCGCCTGCGTTTTGGTGGTGGAACAACGGCCTTGTGCACCATTGTGCGACCCATGAAGGGAGGAACTCCATGGATCCCCATGCGATCGAGTCACCAACCTAGATAGATGTTCGGGAACTGTGCCTAGTTCTCCTCGCTGCGTTCGCCTTATAATTCCACCAACTCTTTCATGCCTTAGTCAGGCGGCGGCAGGGCAGCTTTAAAGCCTTTGCACGGTTGCCCGAGAGATGTTCTCAGCAAAGGCCCTGGAGCGGATTGGAGATGGGTTGGAGTGGGGTTAGCTGCATCCGTCGGCCCAGAGAGATGGTTCTTATTGTTCGGGATCCTTTCACCACCTTCCAAAAGCAACTCGCAATTGGTGGCTTGGATTGTTGGCGCGTTTCTGAACCCCATAGGTGCCCATGCCAGTGGCAAAGTCGTGGTAGTGATGGCAGGCTAGTGAGAAGCCCTCCATTTGATCTCTTTATTTAGCTTTACGCGTCTTGTTTTGCTCCTTCAGGATTTTGAGAGGGGGAAGAAGCTGAACTGAGCTTTGAGACGTAAAGTTAAACCGCTGGTTCTCACACATGGGGAAGGGATGGGAAGGGCCTGATTTGTTTGGCGCTTCTCTCCTCGAGGAGGAGAGCTACGCTGCATGCCAGAAGCGGTGCCAGTGCCTGGAGGGCTGCGAATTCTTCACTTTTTGGAAGAAGCTCGCCGGCATTTGCGTCCCAGAATCCCCCAATCGAGCTATCTTCAAGTAGTTGACTTTGCCAACCCTTGCTGATGCTGAGAAGGAAATTCCATCAGGGAAGGATCCGAGGGTTGGAAGGTGCGTCAGTTGCCCCCTCGGATTGGTCCGGTTGGGAACGTGTTCGCAATCTTAGCCTCCCAAAATTGTCCCAGGAACGTCCCAGAAGTGCATGGCTCAAGGGCTGAGTGCATCCGAGAGAGGATAGCTCATCGGCAGCATCAGAAACAGCAACCCATCAGAGGGAGAGCGCGCTGCCCAGTGCAGGTAAGGAGAAGGCACGCTTCAAAGGCAGGTAAGGGGAGGGTGAGAGGATAAAGGCGACCTTCAACCATATGTACTTCCACACCTGGCAGGTGTGTGGTTGTTAAATGTTTAGGTGACATCTGACCGCCCCACCCACCCGCCCAGCACCCGCCCGCCGCGCGCCCCGCCTATGGCAGACTCTTTTGACATTTTGACAGGCAGCTGCGACAGAGCCTGTGGCAGACAGGTGTGACAGACAGGAACTGACAGCTGTGACAGCGCGAAGCCAGAGGCTCCCGCCGCGACAGTTTGACCGGACCAGGGCAGTTGGCTGAAGCGAGGCGCCCGCCGGCTGTGACGGCCCGAAGCCTGAGCCGAAGCCAGAGCAAACAACGAAGACAAGACCCAGGCTGCGCAGATTAGACAAGTTATGCCGCCTCTCTCCGCGTTGCGGCAATTCGTCGGAGAGTGAAGCGGGTAGGGGCACATAATTGATAGCCCGCGTGTTCACGCAGGAAAAAGCGCACAGCTGCTACAAGCTATGCTGAGCGAAGAATTGGACTGCTTGGGTCAAGAGGGCCTCCACCAAACAGGAAGAGTGGCCACGGTGACAGTTAAGGCCGCCATCGATTGGGGTCGAGGCCGTGCTGCTTTGCCATCGCATCCGCCGGCGGCACGCTTAAGTTGAAGGCCCCGCACGTAGTCGGATTGATCTCTTGGTATTTGTGGGGGCGCAGCCTAGTTTAGCCAAACAAGCTTGTTATGTGGGATTGTTGGTAGTAAAGTAACTTTCTACCTTAGAATCAAAAGGCCACAAGAGAAGGGGAAAAAGGCATTGGTGGATTTGGTCGGGAGGAAGCCACATGTCTTCAGTTTCTTCGCTTCGACGAAGCATGGGCCAGGAGGCATGGGCAGCGACTGTCTGTGCGTGCGTGAGCGGGCGCGCGTGAGATTCGCATTCAACAACGGACGGCGGGGTCAAGGGCCCACATGTTCTATAGAATGCTGATACAGGATTTTCACGGTCCGTAAACGCAACTGCTGTGGAACTTGGCGCAAGGTATCGCACACCCCTGAAGGGGCCCCCTGGAATTCTTGTTTGAGTCCATTTGCTGCTTTTGTCGGAGTGAATGAAAGTGGGGACGTGGCGCTTTTTCCCTTCGGCAGGGGCTATGCTTCGGACGCGTCTCAGGAATGGCAACTGCCACGCGCAATCCGAGAGCTCAACGCCATTCCGCGCCTGGGTGTGTGAACTTCAAATTAATAGGGACCTTCCTCCTTGAAGCAGGACCCACTCTGATGAAGACGGTCCCCCGGAATAGTCCAAAGTGCACATCATCCGAGTTCTGGCCAGGGACAGGTCTCAAGGGCATTTTCAGGGTTGTGCTTGTGCTGCCTTGCAAGCATATTTTGGGAACATATAAGCATCCACATCTCCAAAACCCATACCGGACAAATGTCTCTTGAAAGTTGATTGACTTGGACCCGTCAGCCAATGTTCCCAAGTGCAAAGCCGAAGTGAAGGTTAGGCCACTCCCAACCATAAATAGGTGCGGATACCTGCCTTAACTCGTTGCATGGGCTTGGGATTTTGTACCAGGTTTTGATTGTGACTCAAATTCCTTGAATGGTGTTGAAGAAAACCATGAAACAGCGAGAAAGAGGCACATGTCCACCTGGAACCGGGAAAATCCTGCGGCCTACTGACTCCAAATTGGGACAGATCTCGCCTAGATCGGAGCTCCTGTCTTTGAGCTTTGAAGCCCGAGTGCTTTCTTTTTTTTATACAAAGTGCTTTACAAAGCAACAAGAGAACAAGCCAAAGGAGCATCCTGAAGCAGTGTGAAACGTGGTTTCTTCCGGCTTTTGCAACATGCTGGGATCTTGACAGTCCGCAAGATCCTTCCCTTGGGTACGCCCCCGTTGTAGCGACTTCCCTCGAAGGATTGACCAACTTTGGAAATTTAAGCCGCCCACATATAGGTGCATCGTTTCACAGCCGATGGTTCTGAGAGATGCAAGCATAGGTGTCCTTTTTAGGTTAGTTTCGATCAAAATAGATGAGTTCCACTGGTTTTGATGGGGTTTGTTCCATTTACCAGCGCCATCTATTTTCCCAAAAGGCCACCTATGGATTCAAGTCCCATCGCCCAGGAAATAACGACGCGGTCTCCGGGCCGGCCTTTTGCGCTGCAAGGCCTGCGGCAGCGGCGGCAGCGGCTCCGGTGGATCTGCCAAAGGTGATGGCAGAGAAAGATGGCCACGTGGGGATTCCCAGGCAACTCCAGAGATTCCGGCAGAGATGCTAGGGGTTGGACAGTTCTTGACGTGTTTTGCGGCGGGGTTGGGCAGTTTTTTTTTTTTTGGGTTTCGCAGCTCTGAATCTGTTTGGGCATGCTTCATGTTCTTGGAAGTGCTTGTGTTTGATTCGTCTTCGGCACTAACGCGCCCTGCGTTCTGATCCATCCTGTGTGCCGCCCTTGACATCTTTCACCCCATAGTCATAATAAAGTATGCAATCCGTGTGTGGTGTCGTTCCCTTGAGCCTTTTCGCCTCACTCCAACTTCAGTCCTGGGCTCGGGCCAGGCATCCCGGGCATTTTCAGACCTTGACCTGCGTGCGGAGGTGGGCCCGAAGCTCTACGTCTATGAGCTGCCGGAGCGCTTTCGCAACTGGGGAGAGGCGTCCGGGAGTCGGCTTTCCATCACTTCAGGTCAGGCGATGTTAAGCAGTGGTTGCATAGGCGGACCCGATTTCATTTGGCCGTGGGTCAAAAATGGGTGCCCAAAATGGAACCCTGGTAAATGGAACCATGGACTGAAACCTGCGGTCCCCTGCTGGTTTACTTTTGACTCATACCCATTTTGGCAGAGGACGCTCGCTGCTGGACGGCCGACTGTGTCTTCGGTGGGCCTCCAGTCAACGTGCATGGCGTTGACATTTGGGCTTCCAATCAGCCGCCCGGCGCATGATTCAGGCAGTCCCGGCAGTCAAGCATTGTTACTGTGCAATGTTCGGTGGATACTTGCAACAGATGAGGCCTCTGCCCCAAAAACAGTGGTACCAAGTACCTCAGTGTGGTGCTCCTGGGGAGTGCTGCAGGCCTGAGGATAGCGCAGGGAAAGTACCAACTGAAAGAAACTCGGAAAGAAACGACTACTATTCTCTGTCCAGCGAAAAAATATGGCCATGGGGCGTAACCTATGGCTCCATTTTGGGGTGGATGAACATCCATTTGCCACCTATTTTGATTTTCACCAGGGATTCCACCGCCATATGGGTATGGGTCAAAATTAAACCACCAGGAGACCGCAGGTTTTGGTCCATGTTCCCACTTACCAGGGTTCCATTTTGGGTACAGATTTTTGACCCACCGCCAGATCTCAGGTTTCACATGCCGCGCATGATCTACTACCGGTTTCTGAGATCCCCGCAGCTGACCAAGAACTTGGAGGAGGCGGAGGTGTTTCTGATCCCCGCCTACAGCTTCCGCGCCACCGACGAGCTGCCCTGCGCAAATAGCAGCGACCTCTTCTACACCCTCACGCGCCTCAACCCCCGCCTCAAGGATGGGGACTGAGTTTCAAGTACAGTCCATGCAAACTAGTAAATGAACGCAAGGACCAAAACCAGCGGTATGTCCTGGTTTAAGTTTGACCTTCCTCCCAACTGGCTGTGGGTCAAAACCAATGGGATCCCATTTTGGTTGGTAGGTGAATTCACCACCCATTTTAGAACCTATTTTAGTGGTTGGATTGAATCGGATGTTCACTGGGGGTACGGAATTTTGGATTTTGACCCATGGCCACCTGAAGCGGGTCCCGCCTCGCCCACTTCGTGGCCTTGCGGAGGATCCCAAGTGGGTAGCGAAGAAAGGGCCTCGTCACCTCTTGATGGATGCTCGGGGCTGGGAGACCTGCAACTACATGTGGGAGCTGAACCTCGCTTGCAAAGCGAAAGTGAACACTGTCGCCATGATTGTGCCTTTTCGTGTTTTTTTTTTGCAGGCAGGCAGCCCTCAATCGGTGTTTTTTCTAGGCAGCGGTGTTTTTTTCCTTGCAGGCCATTGCTTGGTGGCTCCCAGCCATCCGGTTCCTGAGCTTTTTAGCCCTTTAGTGTTTTGTGGTGTAGTTGCCATTTGGCCCACTAAAAGTTAGTCACTTTTAGCGGTGGATTTGAGGGCAGCCCAGATTATTATGCCTTTTGGTGTTTTTTTTTGTTTTTGGCAGGCAGCCCTCAATTGGTGGTTTGGATTGGTGCGTTGGGGGCTTTGAATCCCAACAACTGGGAGAAACACCCCATAACTTCACAACCACTCGAAAAATCGCCAAGTTGAGCACCAATCGAAGAATCACTACTTCGCCAAAAAAGAGAGGCCGGATTTTTGGGCTTCCCCAGTGAGCAGTGGGAAGCTCCCGCAGCTCGTCTCATTTCTGTTTTTCCGCCGGGGGCCGGTGAGGCAGACGCCGTTTCGCCTGGCGCACCGCATCAACATCGAGCTCAACGGCCTGATGGAGGCCGGGGGCTTTAGCCGGGCCCGAGCGCCGGGTACGGATGGACCGAAAAGCGGAGCTGGCTTTGACCAAAGGAAAACAAGCAGCAGAGACGGCAGAGACGGCCAAACGAAACGAAACGAAGAAAGCAAAGAGGCATGAAACAAAGACAAGCAAGAGAGACGAAAGCGATCGCTACAAGAATGCAAGAAAGCAAGCGGATGATAGTAAGCTTAACTGAGATCAGCATGGCTCGGCTCATCGTGAAGGCGCTTTTGGCCGTTGCTTCCAGCTTGATGAGCTCGCAGGATCTCGCAGGCTCTTTCTCAGAGTTCTCTTTAAAAAAAAAAGAAAAAGAGAGAGTTCTGAGGATGGGCCGGAGGGCTGGACGTACAACAAGCCCTTCATCTGGTATCAGTTCCCCTACCCGGCCGTCTTCCACGGGCCGACTTTGACCCCGGCGCAGCTCCGTGCGGCCCCGCGCGCTGAGCTGCCGGGGAAGCCGGAGCCGGATCCGTTCCTCTGGTCCTTCAGCGGCACGGGGCGGGGGCAGGCGGGGCACCTGCGGCAGGTGCTCATCCGGGAGTGCACCACGTGTAACAGGCGGGGGAGGGATGGGGAGGGGGGCAAGAAAGAACGGAAGCCTGCTTTTCAGTGTCCTTTTTGATGGGTTTGGGTGGAAATGGATGGGTTGCACTGGTTTCATAGGTTTTGTGGCCCATGTGCCAGGGGGTACCCATCTATTTTGCCAGAAGCACACCTATGGCTGTGCCCTTTTTCGTTTAGCGAAGCATTGCAAGCTACCCTTGAGGGAGATCTTGTATTGCTTGGGAAGATGCTGAAAGGGCTTGTTGGAGGGATTGGAAAGGGAGGTGTTTTGAGGCTGCGAGACGGGTATTGCAAGGGGGGACCTGTGGCAAAAGCTCGTCAAACCTGGCAAAGCCTAGACTTGATCCTTTTTGCCTTGGGATACGGCGTTGTCTTGGCACAAGTTTGTTGGTCAAATCGGACATTCGCCCGGCGCCAATCTTTGCCCACTTAGGCCAGGTTCTTGAAGGGTGCATGGTGCTTCGGACAGGTGTGGGAAGGAGTTGCGGATCGAAGAGGTCCGGGGCGATCAGAAGGACGCGCCTGGATTGCCAGGTTCGGACGGATCAGGATCAGGCGCTAGTTTCTCTTTCCATGTTTAGGGGGGGGAGGTGAAATGGATGAAATGCCGCACCCCCATTGAATTTATTTGCTTTCGGACGGCATAAAGATCAGTCTCTCGTGCTGGACGCAAGCAAGCCGCGAGAGTTTCTTCCGCCCCGGTACCGAGGCGCTCCAAGGCTCCAGCCGTCCCCGCCCGTAATCCTTGGAAGCTGGGCGTGTGCCCAAGGAACCGTTCCAAACCAGCATTTGCGTTTGTGGGCGCGAAAAAAACCAGGGAGTGCCCAATTTTAGGAAGCACTCACATGAATCCATGCCCAACACCTGGAAGTTGCTTGCTTTGACGGCTTGCGTGAAAGCTTTTAAACGGCCGCCAAAGATAGGTGCGACAGGTAGACAGCTGGATTTGCTTCAAAAAGCTCGAGTGGCCGCACTAGGCCCTTCTGCACACGCTTTCTGCAATGTGGGGTGCAGCGGGTTTTGTTCAACATGTCAGCTCAGCTAAAACTGGGGGACTCGCCCCAACAAAATCGGTGTTTTCTTGTTTATTCAACAAGCCCAAACGTTTTGCTCCAAGAACACCCCCCCCCCCTCACCCGAGCAAAGTCGCCCATTCAGCCTCCGATCTCCAGTTGCTGCCTTTTCGAGGAGAATTCGTCGAAGTGGGGCGACTACGCCCGGGTGGCCGCCAAGAAGCTCCAATCGACCTTCTGTGTGGAGCCTGCGGGGGACTCCATCACTCGCAAGAGTCTGATCGATGCTCGGGTCCATTGGGGGCCAAGCACCCACCCAAAGCTCGCAAAAGCGCAAACATGCAAAAACCCGCCCACGCACGCAGGCAGGCACGCGCACGCGCGCGCACACGCACCTACACGCGCACCTACACACGCACCTACACCCACACTCACACCCACACACGCACAAACACCAACCACATCCACAACGCACTCACCACCCATCCACCCCCCCCCCCCCCCCCCCCCCCCCCCCCCCCCCCCCCCCCCCCCCCCCCACCCCACCCCACCCCACCCCACCCCACCCCACCCCACCCCACCCCACCCCACCCCACCCCACCCCACCCCCCCACCCCACCCCACCCCACCCCACCCCACCCCACCCCACCCCACCCCACCCCACCCACCCCACCCCACCCCACCCCACCCCACCCCACCCCACCCCACCCCACCCCACCCCACCCCACCCCACCCCACCCCACCCCACCCCACCCCACCCCACCCCACCCCACCCCACCCCACCCCACCCACCCACCCATAATCTCCCAAGGGAGGTAGATCTGTCGGTTCGAGTGGCCGGCGATACTTCAGGGAAAGGCAAACAAACGCAGTGGGGCGGCGTGCAAAACGGCCAAAGAAGCCCTGATAATAAAGCTCGGAGGGTGCCCAAGCGGCAGTTTCGAAACCCACTCAGGGAGTAGGCAGCATTGAGTGCGGTCCATTAGTCATGCGCCCTGGTCCTTCGATGGGTCGCGATTGGGGTCGCGCCAGTGCTTCGCACGCATGTCTAGTTGATGATCGCGAGCTCCAGCCCTTGCCTGCTAGCGGGCGAAGGATCAAAGAGCACGCACGCGCAACAAACAGGTGCGCGAGCACCGACGCCACACACGCACACACAAGCGCGCACAAACACTTCCAACTGCACAGACACACACGCGCAAAGCACACAAAACACAAGTTGCACTTACAAACTGCACGGACTCCATCATCTCTCTCTCTCTCTGCCTTCCCGCCCTCCCTCCCTCCCTCCCTCCCTTCCTTCCTTCCTTCCTTCCTTCTTTCTTTCTTTCTTTCTTTCTTTCTTTCTTCCTTTCCTTTTCCTTTCCTTTCCTTTCTTTTATTATATTTTCTTTTCTTTTCTTTTCTTTTCTTCTTGTTTTCCTTCTTTCTTGTTCCCTTGTTGTTTCTTTCTGTCTGCGCTGGATGAAACCGCTGCGCGCCCCCATTCGAGATGTGTTGGTTTGCAGCAAGGACTCCATCGTGCTGGGTTGCATCCCGGTGATTTTTGCCCACCAGGACAGTGCCTTTTAGGGAGGCCGCTGTGCTTTTTGGGTTCTAAGTTTGGAGATGCAAGACTTTCTGTCTAGTTGCACTCGCTTTCACGGGACCTTCAGAATCCACAATTGCAAGTAGGCCGAGGGTGGCTTGCGTCATGGAACTTTCTATCGCAGAGCAGAAGGACTTAAAGCCTGGAGTGACATGCGGGCAATGAATCCTTTTTTGAGCATTGAGTGCCTATGTTTTCCCCCTGTTGGGATACTCTTGCTGCTTCCCGAGATGCAGGTCCACTCCTTTTTGTCTGGGGGTAACAAATGGGGGCTGATCAATATCGCTGGCTTTCAAATGTCCACGGGCCGTTTAATGGGAATCCTCTTCCTAGTGGCTTCCATCAACCCCAAACCCTCCAACCCTCCAACCCCCTACGTCCCATCGTATATCTTATGTGTCAGGGGCCGTGGCCTCAGGAGCTCGACATGTTCGAGGCCTTCTTCGATGCCTCGGACTTCGCGGAGGCCGTGCTCTTCGTGCCCGAGGCGAAGCTTTTGGGGGCGAAGGGGCCGATCTCCATCTTCGGCAGCGGGACCTTCGTGAGGACCTCCAAGCTGCCCCAGAGGCTGGCGGTTCGGCCGCGGCTGTTTGGCGAGTGTCCATGGGGCATGGGGGGCGAAAAAATCAAAACCGATTCGGGTGGATGAAGGTTAGTAAGGGACAATCCTAGCCATAAATAGCTGAGGATATCCGCCTTCTTAATTTGCTACATGGTTCTGGGTAGACCATTTTAAGACAGGGGTTTAAATTATGACTCATAATTGGGGCTGTGCGACCATTTCTGCTTGGAGTTTTGCAACTGCACGTCACGTAGTTCCCCTTTTTCTGGGCTTGGGAATGCGAGCGCAAGTTACGAGGAGAGATTCGCCCTCTTGGTTTTCGCGCGAACGAGGGCAAACAAGACGCGAAAGAGGCTGAAACGGTCGCAAGACGCAACCGAGAGCAAAATTTGACAGTCTAGCAAAGCTGTTGCAAGCTCATATCTCGCACCCAGTATGCAAGAGGAATTTGCTCGAAACGACAAGCCAATCCTCTATTGGAAAATAATTCGCACCCAGAGAGAGCCCGACAAGCGCAAACGGTTACAGTATGGAAGGCTTTGGTTTGGTTGTTTCTGATTGGGGGGAGGGCTATGCTCACGTTTTCTTCCCACCTTGATTTGGATGCGCTGCCGGTTTCTCTGCTGCAACCTCTTTCTCAAAGCAGGATGAACACCGGGAGATACGGTAATTCTGATGCACAAATGGGTGCTGGCACGCTTTTTGCGTTGCCCCAAAAGTCGCGCGTGAGACGGACAGCGCTGAATCCCTGCCGCGAGGTTAAAGCAGCTCTACCCCGAGTACAAGGCATTCTTTGACGCGCTGCGGCCGCCATCGCCAGTGGAGGTTCGGGAGAAGCTGCTCCAGGAGCGGCAGGGAGGTTTGGGTGCCTCCCACATCGGATGCCATTTTGGTTGGTAGGTGAATTCACCACCCATTTTAGAACCTACTTTAGTGGAGATTGGTTGATGTTACCAGTCAGTCAGTCAGTCAGTCAGTCAGTCAGTCAGTCAGTCAGTCAGTCAGTCAGTCAGTCAGTCAGTCAGTCAGTCAGTCAGTCAGTCAGTCAATGAATCAATGAGTCAATGAATCAATGAATCAAGGTCCAATCAATCAATCAATCAATCAATCAAGCAAGCAAGCAAGCAAGCAAGCAAGCAAGCAAGCAAGCAAGCAATCGATCGATCGATCGATCGATCGATCGATCGATCGATCAATCAATCAATCAATCAATCAATCAATCCACCAGCCAACGAACGAACTAACCAACCAACCAACCAACCAGCCAGAGCCAGCCACCCAGCCACCCAACCACCCAGCCACCCGCCGCAACCAGCCACCCAACCACCCAACCGATCAACAAATTAGTGCGTGCATGCATGAATCAATCATGAATGCATGAGCGACGCATGCACGCGCCAGCCAGCCAGCCGCCGCCTGCAGGAGCTCTTCCCCGAGCCCCAGAGCCTGGTGAGCATCTTGGACGCCGTGCCGACGGAGGAGGTGCTGCGCAAGAAAAAAGGCCTGGCGAAGATCGCCCCGCGCCTGGTAATCGGCCTCGACGACTCCTTCGAGGACCCTTTTTTTCCCCCCTTTTCCGATGGGCCAAAGGGGGGAGGTTGGGCTAAGTTTGGGGCTCCAACGGTGCTGGGGAATTCTGGCGGGTGGTTCAACCACCATTGTTTGGGCCTGTGGCCAGGGTTAATTGGCCGGAGGAAGCGCTTGTCATGTTTATATAGGGTGCCGCAACAGAGGAAGGTTGTTGGTTTTCCCTCGCAAACCAACGTTGGCTTTCAATATTATGGATTTAAGGAGGGCCCCGTGTTCTCAAGGGTGGGGCTGTTTTCGGGGCTGCTGAAACTCAATGGTTTTCAAAATTGTGTGTTTTCGCAGCTGAACAGCTCAAAAACGCGTTTTGTTTGGGAACAATACAAAAGACAGACTTGATGGCAGCACCTCGATGGAGAATTTGTGTAAAATGTGAGTGATGTCCCACACACCCAATGAGCTGACCTTGGTTTGGGGCTTTCTGATGCGGATCACGCATGGGGCAGAACTAGCATACTGTGAATTGTTCCGCGCGCACCTGATAAAACGGCCTTGGCTTGGGAGTTTCTGACTGAGATCACACATGTGCCCGTGAGTGATTTCGCGTCGGTCTGTTGGTGGGCGTATTTGAAAGGGCCGCACGACGTTGGCAAACAGGTGGTTTGTGTTATTTTTTGGCGGTGTGGTTGCGACAACCGACTGACTAATTGATGTGCTGGTTTTTTGCAAGGTGGTGGCACATGCAGGTTCGATGTGCTTGTCAAGACCAGGTTCTGTAAACTTCGGTGTCATCACAGTTGCTGTCTGAACAGCCACCCCCTGGATCAACAAGTTGAAACACAGAGGACACAGCTTTTCACTACAGTCCTTTTCTTGGTCGACCCAAGGCCTCAGTCGAGCCTCTCTCCGGCCCAGCGAAGAAAGCTTGAGCGCAGAGACACCTCTTAGACAATGAGCCAATTCCTTGAGGACCCTTTCAAGCGCCAACACAATTCCTTAGGTGCGGCCACAATTCCTTATGTGCAGCCAAATTCCTTAAGTACAGCAAAAATTCCTTGCGCAGCCAAAATTCCTTGAGTGCAGCAAAAATTCTTTAACATTTAAGTACAGCCAAAATTCCGTCAGTACAGCCAAATTGCAAAATTCCTTCAGTGCAGGGTTAATTAACTTAAATTCAGGGGGGTGCGCTTAAGGATTTTGGCCGCTGCCAATTTTGGCTGCACTTAAGGAATTTTGGCTTACTTACGGAATTTTTGGCTGGCTGCACTTAAGGAATTGTGGCTGCACCTAAGGAGTTGCCACAAGTTCACCCCTTGAATGCAAACTGATTAACCATGAGCTCAAGGACCTTCTTTTTTGGCTGCGCCTAAGCATTTGCGATCCTCTAAGTTCGCCCCCCTGAGTGTAAGCTAATCAACAACTAAGGATTTGCGATCCCTCAAGTTCACCCCCCGCCCCACCCCGAATTTAAGCTAATTAACCCTGCGCGTAAGGAATTTTGGCAGCGCCTAAGGTTTGCGATCCCTTTCCTCCCCCCCCCCCCCCCCGAATTTAAGCGATTTAACCATGCGCCTAAGGAATATGAGGATTTGCGATCCGTCTAAGTTCACCACCCCCAAGTACGTGCGATCCCAGAAGTTCACCCTGAATTTAAGCAATTAACCCTACACCTAGAAAGTTTTGGCCGCGCCTAAAGATTTGCGATTCCTTAAATTCACCCCCCCCCCCCGCCAATTTAAGCTTATCAATTTAGTTTTGTTCATTGGCTTACATTCAGGGGGGTGAGCTTAGGGAATTTTGGCAGTGCCTAGTCAATGTTGTTTTTGAGGAGGGGTTGGCTCAGGTGACCCGGCCATGGCCGGGGAATTGAGTATGATGGGTTTGGTGTGGCCACTTTCATAGACTTCGCGTGTGTGTGTGTGTGTGTGGGGGCGTTTCCTGGAACAGATTGAGAAAGCTGAGCTTTGGCCTGGCTCGTAGCATCCAGCTGTGATTTGCTTTGACGATGTCGTTCGCGCCCATTGTTGCTTGTTCTACATGGCAGCCGGGCTTCGCATTGTTTGCATGAGAGCCCAAAACCGAAAATAACCATTCGATCGTGTCCCGGTTCTGACACGTGCTCCGATCAGAGGTGCGGACACAGGAGCAGGGCTTAAGTGACGGGCCGGACCTCGAAAGTAGCTTAAATCATCTTAAATCTAATTTTGACACCCCACAAACCAAGGCCAACAGGAGGCCTTTCTTTCTTTTGCCTTGTGGGGCGCTGAAAGTGAAACTGCGCATCTTGATTTGTGACTGTGGCAAGCTTGCTTGCTGAAGCAGCCTGGCATGGGCTCTTGGCACCCCCACCTCTGTTGGACGGCTTGCTGATGGTGCGGCAGAGAGAGAGAGAGAGAGAGAGAGAGAGAGAGAGAGAGAGAGATCTTGATATGTCTGTGGGCCAAAACCAATAGGATCCCATTTTGGTTGCAGGCTTTATTTGGTTACGATTTGGATTTTGACCCATAGCCATAGAGAGAGAGAGAGATCTTGATATGGCCATGGCTCCTATACCTCCATTTGGGGCAGATGAACACCCATGTACCCCCTACTTTGATGTTCACCAGGGGTACAGGGTTTTGACCCACAGCCACATCTGCCTTTTTTTTGCCATGATTTGTTCGCAGGACGCCGTGCGGCTGCTGCTGCGGCGCATCGTGGCGGACGACCAGCTGGCGGCAAAGCGCTCCAGGGAGTCCACCCTCGCGTAAAACCGGGGAGGCTTGGATGCATTGGACGGCAACCCAGATGTGATGTCCATAGGGCTGCCGCAACCAACGGCCACACGGTCATTTACGGTTTTTGGCCAACATTTTTTTCAGGTGCTCTTAGATTTGATGTCCATGTACATACTGTGGATGGACGAGATGCACTGAATATGTATCCCCGCCCTAAATTTTAAATAAAGGGAATGATCTGGGTCACTTCCTGGACGCATTTCAAACATACGGTGGATGGTTGCGAAATCCATTTCACACCACCTAAGGAAGCCTGGAATGAGGTTTTTCCCTGTAGATACGAACGAACAATGGTTCCCCATGGTTTGAAAGTGGTGCAGGATGGCGTCTATCCACAGTAGGGCTGCCACAGCAAATGGCCATACGGTCATTTACGGAGTTTGGTCAACATTTTTCCAGGTGCTCTTAGATTTTTGATTTGGAACCTTCAACTTGTTGGGGGAAGGTCTACATCCCCGCCAGGCGACCTACGACCCGCCAGGCTGTGGCCAATGTGTCTTCGCCGTGTCCCAGCGCACGAGTGCTGGCCTCCGAATATGCAAAGATGGCCGGGGCGCAAGAGCTGCAATTGCCCACCTCAAGGCGCTCCCCCCTGAGTGTTTGATTGAGAGGCGCGCGAGGAGAAATTTGGAGCGCGGCGCGCTGAGTGCATGGTCAAACCGAGCTCTTTGGGCTCATTGGAAGGGCCTCCTTCCTTGGCAGAGTCGAACGGTTTCTTGGACGCCAGGCCCTTGCTTTGATTGCTGTGAGTGCAGAGCCTTGCTTAGCGAGCCAGGTCCGGAGACCCTGAAACTGAGAGCTGCGCCTTGGGCACCCATTTGGCTCGAAGGGCGGGGGACGATCCCGGATTGGCGTGTGAATGTGGTGTCCCGGGCGCATCTGAATTTTCGGCCACGCCAGCCACAAACCCAATTCTCCAGCAAAGGGCCAAGCAAGGGCCCCTGTGTCCGGACTAGGCTTCGAAGGGAAGACAAGCATTCTCGCCGACATATTGCCAAGGCAGCAAACCCTAGCTCGCTTTGGGAAGCCCGAAGAAGCCCGCATTGGGAGGAAAGCTGGGGCTGACATGGCTGACCATGAGACTCGGGCAGACGCCTTGAAGGCGCTGGAAGTTTCGATGACAGGCCGCTGGGCGACAGATTAAGAGCAGCAAGCACGCGTTCACTCGTGCTATTGGTGGGCGCAAAATCCGTATGAAATAGTGGACGCGTCGGTGCCAGTGTGTTGGGGCATAAAGGTTCGGGGGCCGTTGCAGACAGGCACCAAAGCAGGCTCCTCCCATCTCCTCCCACATCCCGCCCCCCCCCCCACCCCCTCGTTTGTTTTTTTGTTTGTTTGTTCGTTCGTGCTTGTTTGTTTCTTTTGTGTTCTTCCTTTGTTTCGTTCAGGTCCAATGTGTTGTTGTTTTCCATTATTTTCGTTTGTTCGTTTGTGTTTTCTTCTTTGATTTTTCTCTCTCGCTCTCTCTGCGTTTTCTCGCAGTCAAGGCCAAACAGCTCTTGTGTGGGTGAAGCTGGCGCAAGGGATTAAGGGCAGGTGGTTCCTGAACTAGGGCTGAGCACATGAGTGGCCGGCTGCGTGTCTTGGGAAGTGAAGTGAAGGGAAGTGAAGGGAGGTGAAGCGGAGTGAAGCGGAGTGGAGCGGAGTGGAGCGGAGTGGAGCGGAGTGGAGCGGAGTGGAGCGGAGTGGAGCGGAGTGGAGCGGAGTGGAGCGGAGTGGAGTGGGGTGGGGGGTGAGTGAGGGAGGGAGGGAGGGAGGGAGGGAGGGAGGGAGTGAGTGAGGGAGGGAGGGAGGGAGGGAGGGAGGGAGGGAGGGAGGGAGGGAGTGTGCGTGTCATGGCAAAGCAATATAACAGCGCAGAGCCCAGATGCCGCTTGTCAGGAAAGTTTGCCAGCACCCCTGAGCTTCAGAAACTTCAGCGAGACAGCAACGATGCCAACCTGGGTGTGATCCGCGCGGCGGTGTCCAGGTCCTACACCGTGGTGCCTTGCTTAACATCGTCAGACACCCCCGGATGCGTTCATGGGGTTCGCACATGTTCGCACCTTATCAATCTAGATGTCTGAAACTTTCTCCTTTGGTCAGCGCAAAGACAAGCCCCCAAACTTTGGAAGGGGACGGCGCAACAGAAACGCATGAAGTTTCCGCACTTGAATCACACTCTGACAAATTCGCGTGGGGCCTAAAGCAGGAATCTCCTTCTTTTCGGGCCTTCCTTTTTCCGGCCCCTGATTTGCATTGCCGTATCATTTGGGTTCCCAAAATCTTGGCACGGTTTGACTTGGCGTTGGGGTCAACGTTTGCGAGTTGCAAACTTTTGCCAGGTCGATGTAAGGAGATCGATGTGAGGCGACCTGTGCGTGGCTGAAAAGCAACTCATAAACCTAGTAAGAAAAATGGGCCTAGCAAAAAAACGCCTCTACCGACGCCTCTGGATAAATGTTGGACGCCCTGGAAGGAATGGCGGCCGCTGCACCAGTCTGACGCGCCTGTGGCAAGCATCCGAGATCTGGAGGCGGCGCGCCGGGGGAATCTGCTGCCCTTTCGGGCCATGGGCTGCCCCAGCAGCCCCCTTTGCACCTCCGGCTGCGTGTTCCAGGGCTGGTGAGGATATCACCTGGGCCTTTTAGATTTTTTGTTTGAGGGGGACATGCTTTGATCAGGTTAGCCTTAGTTGGTGGTTTGGATTGGTTTTGGGGGTTGAACCCCATCTCCTAAAGGAAGCCAAGTGGGGAAGGTAGTACTTGGTGATGTAAGCCTGGCTTGTGCTGGGCTCCCGGTCTTTCTCTCTTCACGCATTCCCACCAAGCTACGAGTCTCGGTCCAGAAGCAAGAGGCGTTCTCGGTTGTTCCAACTCCCGACTTCGAATCTGCTTTGTGCTGGCTCCATTTTGGGATGTCGACCAGGCCTCCGCGTCTTTTTCTTGGTCTGTGCTTGGAATGCGCCAGCAGGGGTTCCATGAGCCCGGGCCTTTGACGGCCAAGGCAGCAACTGCCAGTGGCCTGAGCGCCGATCCTGGCTCTTGTGCCGCGCGGACGCCATAGACTTGATAGGTGAGCATTTGGAAGCCAAGGAAAGGTGTGAGGAATCCCATGCTAAGCCGTATCTCAGTGTCTCCGTTCCGGAAAGCTTGCCAGTTCTTCATTCCGTGCCCAGAATGTCCCCACCTTAAGGGGGAATCGTCCGCAGAGTCCCTCCGTTTGATTTGCCTTGTTCTCACAAACAATGGGAACATGGAACCACCAACAAAAAAGCCCCCCCCCCCCCCCCCGAGTCTCGCAAGCCCTGTTTTGAGGGAGTGGGCTAGTCCTAGATGCCAGCATTCTGATTTCCGGCTCAGGCCCAGCCCAACATTTGAGGCAATGCATGAAATTCAACCCGAAAGCAGAACATGGTGACCTTCGTGGCTCCCAACCATCCGGTTCCTGAGCCTTTTAGCCTTTTAGTTTAGTGGCAGTTTCCATTTCACCCGCTAAAAGATAGGATCCACTTTTAGCGGGGGATCAGAACACGGGCAGAGCCTTCAGGAGTGCAAGATGCTCAGCTCTGTTGGCCTTGAGGCTTGCTGAAGAGGCTGAAGATGCCCACCCGGGTGGTGAAGCAGGCAGATGGGTCAGGGGGTTGCCAAAGCTCCCGCCAAAGAAGGACCCGACCTATGGACCCTTTTGGTCTTTTTCCCCAACAGCTGAAAGCTTTGGGGTCTCAGCCCAGATAGGCTTCGGGGCAGCCCCGAGGTAGGTTTCACGAGGGTTCCACCAAAGTTCCACGAGGGTTCCGTTCCACGAGGGTTCCACCAGGTTCTGCGAGGGCTGCGGGGTGGTGCGCGCACTAAAAAGAGCGCCGCATGGATTTGGGGATATCACCTGAGCTTATTTCCCTTCTTGCGACCATGAAACAAGTCAAGGTCCCCAAAGGTGATCTGAGCTTCTACTTCCTCCCCCCGCCACCATTTTAAAGGTGATCAGACCTTTTACTTCCTTCCCCTTTAGGCAAGGTTGCCACCATTTTTAGAGGTCCCAAACGGTGGTCCGACCTTTTACTTCCTCCTTTGAGGCGAGTTCCCTTGGACCGGGACGTTTCCCCCGGCCCCCAAGCCGTGCGGCCCAGCCGAAGCCCCAGCCGCCCACCCGCCAGTCGCCGCCTAGCCGAAGCCCAGCCGCTCGGCAGGTGCTGCAGCTGGCGCGGCCCCACCGCCGTGCCAAGGCCATGGACTTCCCCCCGCGCACGGAGCTGCGGATCCGGTGGCGGGACCCCTGGGAGGAGACGATGGGAGACGGGGTGGAGGGTAATTAGGCATAGGTGTCCTTTTTGGTTGGTTTGCTTAAGAAAAGGAGGGGTTCCACTGGTTTATGGGGATTATTCAACATTTACCAGCAAAACCCATCTATTTCTCCAAAAGGCCACCTATGGATGTAGGGGTGGAGGGTTGGGGGGGGAGTTGGGTCTGCGGTTTGTCGGTCGGAAAGTTGGAAAGACAGAAAGTGGATTGCTAGGCGCGAACGAATCCGTCCTGAACAGTTTGCTGTTGTATGCCCTTGACTCAATCCTTGGTTTTCAAGAACCCTACTGCAGGTCAGCAAAAATCAAGGCATTTGATTTTCAGCTGCTCGCAATCCATGTTTCCACGTTGTCAGGCAATCACGTGCTTTCTCCTCTGACTGGAGCAGTCCTGATGATTGGCCTGCTGGTGCTTGTTACTCCTCCCACGGCGTGTCAAAGCTTGCCGTTTGTTGCACACAGGTTACGCCCAATGTACGCGGAAAAGGGGTTCCATTTTCATTGCTTCCCTTGAAACTCCCGGAAGCGGACACAATTTTGCTTGTCTTTGGCCGCTGTGGCCAGGCTGCCAACAGAGTGCAGGTCAATACCAAAGCATACTGCGGCCACAACATAATGGCGAGCGGATTGATATGAACAGACTTTTGAGGATTTTGACGTATACGCGCTTCTCGCTTAGACATGTAAACGTGAACCTTGACAACTCCAGATCTTGTGCACTGTCGCACACTTGCGTGTTTGAACCATACACACATGCACACCACACATACACACGTGCACAGCCCGCGCATATCGTGTACCACCTTTCCACATCGAACCTGGATCACACAGCGACGGCCAGATGCACATTGGACCACACCTGGTATTCAGCAGTTGGGCCAAGCCATGTTTGCACCGCTTTGAAAGGAATGATGCCATTACTACCATCATGTTGCGCAGCTTCTGAAGGATTGCGCAAGGAACAGAGAGGAAGCAGCGGCACCATGCTCACCATAAGGCAGAGAAGGTAAGACAGGAGTGTTTGCAAGCCAACAACTTCGTTTGACAGGCCAAAGCCAGGTTTGGATGTATTCTTCATACATGGCGGGAAGGAGGCTGAGCATGTAGTGTGCCACCGGGTAGCCATTCTCGTGCTGCCTCAGGAGAACATTACTGCAGAAGAGCAGGCCCAAGAGGGCAGCCATGGACGAGCAGGAGCCACCGGGAGTCAGGTGGGGCACAAGTTTGCAGCTGACATGAGGCGGGTGCTTGACCATGTGTTGTTGGCTTTGCAATGAGACTTTGGCACATTCTCGACCAATAACTTAGAAGGAACTCTGTTATGACATGGAACGTAATGTCAACCCAGGACTAAATGTCTCTGGTTTTAGTGGGAGCTCATCACTTTTTGAGGGAACCACACCCATCACCTCCATTTTTTCCTCCTGTTGGTTTTAAAGGGAATCTATCACTACTGGAAATGTTGTATTTTTTCCAGGGGTCTTAACCAAATGGAAGATAAAAAACAACAACATATATACAGAAAGAGAGAGAGCGAGGGTTTAGGGCGACGCGAACGGGGCGCAGGAACAGTGACCTGCGAGTACTACGATCCAGCGAGCTTGGCCATGGCGTCTTGGCATGGCCCCGCGCCGGGGCGAACTGTGGGCTGCGAAATCCGTTTCGCAGCACCCAACAAACCCCGGCTTCTGATGATCCCCAGTGTAAGCAGAAATAAAAGGGTTTTTAATTCAAAGTGGTGCAGGATATTGTCCATCCACAGCAGCAAGCAGTTCCAGATGCGTTTGGAAGGTCCGAGACTGCCCTTGAGGCAAAACATGTTCTGTACGTGCATGTTGCCAGGGACGCGAGGTAGCCATGGCCTGTGTAACGGAACGCGCCTTTGTGCCCGAACCGAGCGACTTGCGTGCTGTTAGGAATTCCACGCCATGACGATGTACCCGGTGGACGACTTCAAGATGCTGCGCGGGGGCTTGCTCCACCTGGTGGGCGAGTACCAGCTCTTCTGGAGCGCCCTGTTGGCACAAAGAGCTGTGGAGCCTTTGCTGCGGAGCATGGGCCGGGCACTTTCTTTTTTTTGCGGGCCCCTATGGTAGCACGCCCCATGAGCAACCTTTGCCACGCCTGGGGCCGCAGGCAAGGTTCCAGGAAGGGTTCGGAGAACTTTTTGGGTCGTCCGGCAGCTTCCGAGGTGCCGTCCTGAACTTTGCGGACTCCCAATCCTGTGCGCCTCTGGAGGGGCTCTACAAGCCCGCCGGCCAGGTTTTATGGGTCGGTCTTTGTTTTGGGGGTCGTTTTTTTTTTTTTTCAAGGAGCACCGAAAGGAGAACCACCATTTTGGGGGGGTCCCCTACCAAAAAGCACACGCACACACACCCATAGAAGGATGGCGATAACTCTGCTGTCGGCCTTTGAGAGAGCAGAACGGAAAATGCAAGTTCTGCGGTTGATCGGCTAGGTCCCTTTTTTCTCGCGGGTTGAATTGCTGAACTGCTTTGTTTGGCCATGCTTGTGGCTCCAAGGTGGGGTGAGACCGTGCCACGACTGGAGTACCAGAGGATGTGTCGCTGCTTGCAATCTGGCTCGTCAAAGATGCAGTCTCGTTCAAGATTTGCCTTGCTCATGTGCAGGCGGGGTTTGTTGAATGGCATGCTCGGCCCAAGCAGTCACTGCGCCACAAAATCGGTTGCTCATCACTCTGCCAACCTGCTCTGGGGTGTAAAAGAAAGGCTCCAGATGTCCAAGAATACCCAGGAAATCTTCTCATGTCCTTGGCTCTTGAGTTGCTTGGCTCTTTGCTTTGCCCTTTTGTGGCTTTGTGGCCTTGGCGTTTTTGAGGTCAACTCCAAGTTCCACGGAGAAAAAGCTTCCGGATCCCTCTTCCGGTCGTTGGCTCGCGCGCATTGCCCGCGCGCGGTGCGCGCGCGCTTGTAATGTTGACCCCGGATTAATAAACCCCCGTGTATTGATATGGGGGTGTTCCCCTCCAAAAGTGATAGATCCGCACTAAAGCCATGGACACCCCCATATGAATAAAACAGCAAAAGAAAAAAAGTCCGGGGTCAACGCTCGCAGGGAGCTGTGCTCCGAGAGCACGGAGCTCCACACGCTGCCGGCCTGCGCCTACACGGACCTGGAGGACGCCTCCGTGGCGGAGCCCATGCCGCGCTGGTGGCAGGACGCTACTTTGGAGTGGGACCGCGTGCTGCGGCGCATGCGCCTCCGAGGAAAAGGAGGGAACGTGGTGCGCGGATTTCTTTGTACCGCAAAATTCCGAGGATCAAACCTGCACCTTTGTTTAAAGGGAAGCCACAAACAAACAAACAAACAAACAAATTAACATGGCTTGGAAGGGAAGACACACACAGAATTTGGACCCTTGTTTAATGGGAAACCACCAAGAAACAAGAGAAACAACACAATTTATGGGGTTTTCCTACGAAAAGCACATGTAGAAGCCGCAGCATTCCGCAGCACTCCCTCGGAAAGCAACGGATTTGTTTTTCGACCCCCAACTTGTTCGGTTTGGCCCACGAAACCAATGCAACATGGAGATCATAAAGTTGGCTTCTGGAGAAGCACCAGGACCTGGCGACAACAGCTACACCAGATTTGTTTTTCCGGTTTTCCGACGGCCCGTGAATTCAAAACGCAAACGAGGAGAGTCGCAGAGGTTGACACCAATCTGAGGTTTGAAGGCAACGGCGAGCCCCGTGCGCGGCCCGGCTGTGATATAAGGTTTTCTGGGGAAAGCGCCGTTTCAACCAAGACGCCCCTGGGTCAATAGACAGATCGGCTAGCTGTTGGTCCTGTACGGACATGGTAGTCGGGAAATGCATAAGACTGGCGCGAGATATCTTGGTGGTTCCCAGGCGTCCGGTTTCTTAGCTTCTTTTAGTTGTTTGTAGCGGGTTGAGTGGTTGGGTTTCCATTTCACAAGTTAACAGCTTTTAGCAGGGGATCGGAGGACAGCCCGGAGATGCATGAGTTCCCTGCAAAGGCAACCGCCTCACCACCGCGGGACCTCGAAAGGTTTCACTGTTGCCTTGCAGCTGGGCTCAGAGAATATTTCGGGCCTGAAAGGAGTATTACTTGCAGGTGCTGGGCAATGACCTTCCTGTTGTTATGAACTGTTTGGGATTCCCTTCAAGGAAACCACAAGGGACTGTTTTCGGGCTCATTCCAACTCTTTTTCTGCCTGACCCAGCAACTGGGCACAGGATCGGTTGCTACTACTACTGCTTCGGGGGCCGCCGCCTCAGTCCCTGCCAGGCCCAGGCTTCTGAGTTGGATTCAAGGCTCGCCTGAAGCGACTGAGACAATGTGAGACAGGTGAAAAAAGGGGTGAACGCCTACCTGAAGTTGGTCATTCGGAATTCTCAGGTTCCAAATGGTCAACCTTGTCTGGTGAGCTTGACACACTTTGAAGCCTTTTGAGATCTCGCATATGCGTGGTTCGTACTGAGCTAGCTGATGCCCGACTCACAGCGCGAGCAGGTTTCCCACTCATGGGTCACTCAAATGGCCGTTGCCAGTCCCCCGAACAAAAGGCCCAGGGAGTCCTGCCAATTCTGATGAATCGCGTCATGGCGCATCTTCTGCTGCAGACCTCCATCTCGTTTTCGTTTGGTTTCCCATCAAACCCAACCCGGTTTTGGGTACCCTCGAGAAAGACACCATGGCTTGCTTCGCCCGTTGCCTTCGCACAGACGGGACCCACAATGCACTAAACCTCCCCCAACCACTGAAAGCTAGAAGGTCTCTGCCCCGATTGGCTCTGGTGCGGCTTGCGGTAGCTTTGACGGGGAAACCCGGAATGTCCGAGTTTCGGGGCTGTTGGGGCCTTGTTGCAGGTGGATGCGAGCATTACCACATTTGGCGGGAGTTGTTTGTGCGAAAATAAGTGCAAGCCGTTGTTTTGCTCATTCTCGAATCCTGATTTCGCGCCATCCAACGGTTTCCTATTGGTCGTTCCATGTCGTTCCCTGTACTGGGCTGATGCACTGGGCAGTTCGAGCCTCTGTGTGCGTCTTTCGGGCAGAAACCACTTGGTTTGGTTTAGAGCTTGCTGCTCTAGGTGGGGAATGTGGGAATGAACCGGACGGGGATTTCCCTAAAGGAAGCCACATCGGGGATGATTTTGGGGGGTCATTCCAACTCATTCCCCGCCTACTACGGCACCACCCAGGCTGTGCCGCGCCGGATGGGCGCGACGGCTCGGAGGGGCAGTGCCCCTACTGGCACGACGCCTTGTGGGGCGCGCATGCGCATCAGTGCATCTCCTGCCGCTTGCCCGCGCAGCGGCGAAGCGGGTCCCGATTCGAAGCTCGAAAGGCCCACTCCCCGAGGTCCTGGACTTGAAAAACACTTTTTCGGAAGACCCCTTTGGGGTAAGCCAACAGTTCGGGCCGTTTTGGGCCTATCCACTCAGGAAGTGAGTCGGGGGGAAGGGGGGAAGGGGGAAGAGGGGAAGGGGGGAAGGGGTGTGGAGCTAAGCGGGTGCAACCAAACAAGACCGCAGCATAGGCCAACTGCCGTGAACTTGGCTTGGCATCTCGGTGTTCGAAGAGAAGGGGATGGCGCCCAGCGTCTTGCCCCTTCATCCGAGGTCCCAGGGCCTGCGCCGCGGCCGCAAAGGATCGAGGATCGAGGACATTCGAGGACCTTTCGGTCTCGACTCACTTTTTTTTGCCCCCTGAGCCTCGCCTTCATGCTTTTTTGCCGCACTTGTTATTTTCAATCACGGCGAAGGGTGCAAGTTGTTTTTTTGGCGGGGAGGGGGGGGGGACAGAGCTGAGCAGCTCAGAGGCTGGTTTCACCAGGACGCACAGGAGACCTCAGCCGTGGCGCCAAGGAGATCAAACGGGTATGGGTCAAAATTAAGCACCAGGGGACCGCAGGTTTTAGTCCTTGGTTCCATTTGCTAGGGTTCCAAAATGGATACCCATTTTGGACCCACAGCCAAATTCGGCTGCAGAAGGCAAGTCAGAGACAGCTTGCCGCATGGGACGCTTTTGCCAGTGTCCCTTTTTCCGGCGCAGCGATGTTTGCCTTCCGGCTATTTCTTTTGTCCAGGTAGACAAACAATTCAACATTTCTTGAGGAACACCCTCAACCCCGAAGACTCTTCCGAAGGACGCTTTTGTCGGGAAAACCCTAGAGCGACACGCAAAGAAGATTTGAATGCTTGCTGCGCACTTTTGTAGAGGGGGCTTGAAAACAAAGGGAACCAGCTTTGCAAACCAAAGCTTACTAGATTATCCTAAGCCGTACGGTACTAGGCCATATTTGGGTTATGCAATGGACTGTCTGGCTAATGGGGCGATACTTGGAGAAAGTTTTGTGAGAACATGGCGCCTGTTCGTTTTGCCGGGCGCGCCCAGGGACAAAGTTTTCTAAATAGACGAATGAGAGCACACAATGCCGCTGCCACTTTAATTTGAGTTCTGGACGTGCTTTGCGGGGTTGCGGTTGGAGAGGAAAGCCGCAGTTGTCTACCCCCCCAAGATTCTTTTGGATGTGTCAGAAGAAGGCTGGTGAGGCTGGGCATCCATATTCCTAAGCAAAGTATGCGGTTGTCTGCTGTCTTGAGTCTTGACTCATCGCCCTATTGGAATGCTACTTGTGGGTTTGGGGCTGGCGGAACCATATTGCTCCCGGACTCAACTTTTATGCGCTGGTCACATGGCTCCCCTCCCCTAAGGCGGCTTCTGCGGGGACTTCGCAGATGAGCTGCGCTGCGGAGCCTGCAAGATGCGGTTCTACTGCAGTGATGTGTGTCAGAGGGAGGCGCGAACAGCCGGGGGTGGGACCTGGGATCTTGACGCCTCACTTGTCGCGAAATATGGGCCAGAAGCGAAACATGCCAATTTCCTCGGGGTCGCAAGATGCCTAGGATTCATCCCACTCCTCCATTACGCGGGCATCTCTGATCACATACCCTGGAACCTTTGGCTGATTTGTATGGGCATCACATGCTTACATGTGGGCACGCTGGGGGGTCGCTTCAAGTCGTATCGATTGGTAGGAGTCGTGTCGAAACCGTGTGCCAGTGGGTTTTCTTGGGGCACATGCAGGTAACTCATCGCCGTGGCTGTGAGATTGGGGGCTTGAGTGTGCAGGTGTGAGTTTTTTTTGTCATTGTTGATGTCTCTTGAAACATGCTTATTCATGTTGTGTTTTTTGCGGGTTTCAGTGTGCAGGTCGGGTTTGAGTATGCGGGCTTGAGTTTCACAGCAGTTCGGTTAAACAGATGTCTGTGCATGCCATTCAGATGTGGGTGGTCTGGTCTGGGGGTCACATCAGGTTTGCTTGGAAAGTCTTCGTTGTGCGCGGGCTTCAGTTTGCAAGGCTGAGCTGTGCTGTCATTGTTTGGCTTGGGGGCGATGACAAGCTACTATTGGCAGCTTTCGCCCACGAATGGGCAAGCGAAACCGGCCTAGTGGAGCCCTTGCGCCTGCCCACGCAAAGTGGTGTACAGAGGCCTACCTTTCGCAAGCTCCAGTGAAGCGGGTGTTCTGTTTATTGAGTTGGGCGGTGTGTGTGTGTGTGTGCAGTGCTGAGTGGGTGAACTTGAGCGGGTGTTCTTATCATTTGGCTTTGTTAGCCTTTGCTAGCTTGCCAACGTTCACAAGCAAGGATTTCCCTAATTCATGTAAAGGCAGTTGGCAAAAGTCGGCTTGTGCTTTGCCGGCCGTAGCCTTGGCCGCCCCAGGAAAGAACGCCTTTGGCAGATATCGGCAGGTTGGGTTTAAGCAAATCCCGCAGGGAAACCAACTTGAATATCTAGGCGCCATGTGGGTCGATACGGGAACCCCCTGGCAGGAGTGGAAGTACCACAAGGCCGAGTGCCGCAGGGTGCGATGAGGCGCAGAAGGGGCAGAACACGCAATTCCTTCCCATTCGCTGCTCCAGCCCCCCCGAGCCACAAACCCCAACAGCTGGCGAAACTGGTGTTGGCAATCTGGGGTGGGTAAGGCTAACTGTGAACTTAGCAAACTATCACTTCCGCTTTGTCGTCACATTCGTCACCTCTGTCAACAATACCAGGGTTCGTTTGTTTGAAGGTTCTGTTTTGATGCTTTTGGTTGGGGGTAGAGGTGGGGCTCCGCGCCGGGCGCTCAAACTCATTCCCTCCACCCAGAATACTTTTTTTGGGGGTCGGGGGGTGCGTTTCCAAGCTTGCAGCCATCCTTTTTCAGAGAAAGAGTGAGACGTGCAAGCAATGTATGCGTTCTTTCTCTATGATTCTATGACTCTATGACCATGTGTTTGATCCCTGATGTCGGGTCACGAGTTATGTCGTCTTCCGTCACGTGTCTTTACGGAGAAAACATTGCTTTTGCAGCAGAATTGCAGGGCAGCCAATTGAAGCTGACACTTGCCTACATCGGTTGCCCGCGTCAAGCGCGTGGCAACAGTGAGCCAGGTATGCAAGCGTGGCCATTCTGGAGGCGCATTAGACACATTTAGACTCGTTAGCTGGACCGGCCCCGTGTCCGGAGCAGCGCAAAAAAGACTTTGTGGGCCAGCTGGGGGCTGCAAAGACAATAAGGGGTTGTGCTGTCCCTTGCCATATGTTCGACCAGGTTTGCCCTTGGATTGCGTGTTGCGCGCGTTGCCACATTGCAACCAGAACCTCATTGGATCTCTCTTCTCTCTAAATATCTCATGGGTCCTCCAAGCCTTTGAGGCGAGACAAATACATTCGAGGCTGTCCTAAATCTGGGAGGCCAGGCGGCGTTGAAATGGAACGCCAACGGAAGCCAAGCATAGGCAGCATGAAGAACACACGAGGCATCCCAGGAATTTTGCGTTGGTACATTGTTTGCCGTTCATTTCGCCTGCTAGGTTGCATGTGGGTTTGCGGCAGGCAGATGACGATATTGTAGCACCCGCAGGCCGAATCCATGTAACAGGCAAACAAGGGCTAGTGCAACAACAACCAAGTGGCCGATGTTGTCGTTTTGCCCAGCCTTCTGTTAGACTAGGTGTTGCACGTGTTTGTGTCGTTGCCTTTTACTTGCACCTGGCCGGTGCTACACTTGGTACGTCGCCCCCAGGTCCACTCGTTGGAAGTTTGCATGTCACGCAATGCCCGTGGCGAAGCGGACATAGCCGTTGGCTCAATCTCAGTCATGAAGGCTCGGCCCAGCCTCGGAGGCCGGCGGCTTGCCATGCCATCCCGTGCCATGCCATCCCGTGCTATGCCATGCCATGCCATCCCGTGCTATGCCATCCCATGCCATGCCATTTGATTTGCCATCCCATGTCATGCCGTGCCGTACCGTACCATGCCATCCCATGCTATCCCATGCCATGCCATTCCGTGCTATGCTATCCCATGCCATGCCATGTGATTTGCCATTCCATGTCATGCCGTGCCGTACCGTACCATGCCATCCCATGCTATCCCATGCCATGTGCCATCCCGTGCTATGCCATCCCATGCCATGCATGTCATGCCGTGCCGTATCGTACCATGCCATCCCATGCCATCCCATGCCATGCCATCCCGTGCTATGCCATCCCATGCCATGCCATTTGATTTGCCATGTCATGCCGTGCCGTATCGTACCGTGCCATCCCATGCTATCCCATGCCATGTGCCATCCCGTGCTATGCCATCCCATGCTATGCTATTTGATTTGCCGTGCCGTTCCGTACCATGCCATCCCATGCCATCCCACGCCATGCCATCCCGTGCTATGCCATCCCATGCCATGCCATTTGATTTGCCATCCCATGTCATGCCGTGCCGTACCGTACCATGCCATCCCATGCTATCCCATGCCATGCCATCCCGTGCTATGCCATCCCATGCCATGCCATTTGATTTGCCAGCCCATGTCATTCCGCGCCGTACCGTACTGCGAGGGCCGAACGTGGACACCCCTAAAAACACAGTCGCGCCTGGCCCCCAAAACTAAGCCAGTCTTGCGCCGCTGGCGGGCAAAAGTGCAAAGCCTGGCACTAAAAGAAGTCGACGCCAGGCGCCTTGCCACAATTCCCCCTCAATCAAACGCAGGCAAGCCAGAGCCCAACCATAAAGTTGACAATCTGCTCTTCAATGATCAATAAGGAGAAGTACAGGTTTCGTTGAAGCGCTGTCCGGCCTCATCTGCCCTGGCCTGCTTCGTCGCAACCTCCTTGAACAGCAAATTGCCAACTTTATGATTGCCGCCGCTCCGCCAAACAAGTACATCAGCATGGCGCAAGCTTTGTTCGTCTGGCTTTCGCTTGAAAGTTCCAGACTAACGAACATTCTGACCAAACGAGCTTTCGCTAAAGGGTTCGCCCAACAAGTTTGCAGTCTGCGACGAGGTTGCTTCAGCTGCGGCAAGATCGGAGTCTGCACGCGCCACAGCAAGAGCGACCCGACCCGCCCAGAGCCCACAAAAAGCCAAGATTCGCACCGCGCCACACAGCGAGAGCGACCTCTGCAGAGGGTTTGCCTTGGCCACGCAGAGCTCGCGTTACAAGCTACCCGCCCAAAGTCCGTAGAGGGCCCCGCAGAGGGTTTTCCACGCCAGCTAGAGCAACAACCCCGACCTCTGCCAAGAGGTCACAAACCCAGCGCCTGCCACAGCAAGAGCGCACGTCTGAAGCAACAATCGCTGAATGCCCATCAAATGCGCTTCGAGGGTCTTGGAAACTACTTTTTCACGAGCCGGCGCAAAAAATGGCGCCGGGCATCGTTTTCGCTGCGCTTTGCAAGGACTTTCAACTTTACGATTCAGATTGCTGTGTTTTCGTAGGAAAAACAGTCAATCATAAAGTTGGAAAAGCTTCAGAAACAAATTTGTTGTTTTTTCGCAGAACCTGCCAACTTTACGATTGTCGCGTTTCGCGTGGCAATTCTCAACGAAAACAGCTGCCCCCCCAAAAACAACTTTACGATTTTCGCGTTTTTAGTGGCAGGGCCAGCAGTTTGGAGTCGGCCCAACAGCGGCCTCTCGCTTCAAAGGCTTTCCAACACAGGGCGTTGAGCCCCCAGCACCAAAAACGAAGTCATTTCATTTTCAGAGACTCGCTTAGCGCTAAGCGTCTGCTAAGGCAAAACCTGCCAGACTTTCTGCCACTGCTGCCTCTGTTCGCTGCGCACGAAGCCGCAACCAGGATCTGTCAAGGCCTTGTTTCACAAGACCCTCAACACGACACAGCGAGGAAAGCCAGTTCGGGTCGCCGCCAAAGCCTGCGCGGGCTGCAGAAACCAAGCGCGTAAAAGCAACAAGTTTTGGGGTTGACCCTGCAGGGCCTGCGCAGTGAATTCGAACCGCGACTGACTGAGATTGCAACGCAGCTCCAAAGCCTGTTCAGCATGGCCGTCTTGCACCTTCGCTGCGGGCGCCGGCGAGCCGTGTTCAGGCAGGCGTTGTTGGAAGGCGTCGCGCTTGTGACGCGCTAGCAACGCGTGAGTTGAAGCGCGCGGGTTGGGCCTGGGGCCGCAAGCGCTGCTGCAAAGGGCATAGTTTTGGTTCTCAAAACTGGCGCCAAAAACACCCCCCAAAAAATGGACCACCGTTCGCAAGGCGGAAACTTTGCCCTGCTGAACTTTGGTCCCTGGTTTTGGCCCCCCTCCTGGCGGGCGACTGTTGGTCGCTAGCGGGCAAGACACACTTTTGTCCAGCAAATTCAACCTTCTGCGCAAACTTCTTTCAGAGCGCAAGCGCCTTCTAGCCAAGCGGGCCGCACAGTACCATGCCATCTAACACGTCAGCCCGCCGAGGTACCGGGGAGGAATCGAACCTCCGAAACGTCGCTCCGGAGACCAACGCCTAAGCCATGTCACCATAGGCTCTCGTTACCGTCCCAAAACGGCGCTTTTTGGCCCAAAAACGGTCTCACCGCGATGTCACCGCTTCGTCACCGCTCTCTTTGCGCAAAAGGCTTGGAAAAGCGAAACCAGCTCCGCGGCTTCGCTCTAAGAGCCAAAATTCTCTCCACCGAAGTCGGAAATCCGACCTCGCTCCATTGCCATCCCATGCCATGCCATTTGATTCGCAATCCCATGTCATTCCGTGCCGTACCGTCTCATGCCACGCCATGCTCTCGCATGCCATGCCATCCCGTGCTATGCCATCCCATGCCATGCCATGCCATCCCGTGTCCCATGCCATGCAATTTGATTTGTGTCATTCCGTACCGTACCGTGCCGCCATGCCGTCCATGCCACGCCATCGGGGCAAACGCCCCTAACCACCGCAAACTTCAATTCCAATCGTAGCGGCTTCTATACCTCATATTACATGACCGAAGCCTACATTATAGGACTGAGATCCGGGCACCTTTCTCCGATCCTCCCAAACGACGGGGGACGAGTTCAAGGCCCAAGTGGCGCTCCTCGCTCATCACTGCGGAGAAAAGCTGGCTTCGACCCTGCCGCGCGCCTTAAACAGGCCATGGATGCGGTGCAAAAGCGCGTTGCGAAGGGCTATGTGTACACGCTCAACGACCTCAGCAGTATGGATGAGCTGGTCTATCGGACCTCCACCGTCGCTTGCGACACGTGCTTGGCTGACCGTCCGCAAACGCAGGATGACGTCAAGCAGGAGCTGGCTGAACCGATGCCTAGGAAGTATCGATACCGCCCTCGTGCTATGCCATCCCATGCCATGCCATTTGATTTGGGTCAGTGCATCGTCTGTACACGCGGAATTCGGATCGTCTGTACACGCGGGACCGGATCGTCTCTGCACGCGGGCCTTTTTTGCCCCGGATCGTTTGTACACGCAGTGCTTACTGCTATGCACAAGAAGTGACAGGGGCGTTGACAGCTGCATGTTTCCACCCCACCCCCCCTCCCCAATACCCCACCCCATCTGTTACGCGTGAGCGGGTGCGCTTGCTAGGTGGCAGGCATGTGCGCAGTGCTGGGCGTGTGTGAGCGGGTGTGCCCCACCCCACCCCAACCTCCCCAAAGCCTGACCCCAGCCCAGCCCACCCTGAGCAGGCGCTCATTAAGGCGGCAGGCATGTGTTGCACGTGAGTGGGCGTGCTTATCAGGTGGCAGGCATGCGTGCAGCGCTGGGCGGGCGCGCGTGAGCGGGTGTGCTTATTAGGTGGTAAGCGTGGATGCAGCGCTAGGCGGACGCGCGTGAGCGGGTGTGCCCCACCCCGCCCCGCCCCAGCCCCCACCCCCACCCCACCCTTCCCCAATACCGCACCCCATCTGTTGCACGTGAGCGGGTATGCTTATTAGGTGGCAGGCATGTGCTTACCATTCCCCCGCCTCCCCACCCACCCCCCACCCCTTCGGGCTACTCTTCCGCATGCGTGGAAACAGCGCTGAGCGGGCGCACTTGAGCGGGTGTGAATACCATTCCCCCCTCCCCCCCACCACCCCCCCCCCCCACAGTGCTGAGCGGGCGCACTTGAGCGGGTGTGCTTACCAATCCCCCCCCCCACCCCCCCACCCTGCCAAAAGTGTGTGTGTGTGTACAGATGAGCCAGATGACAGAAACCTTGTGTGCGCAGATGATCCAGAGTGCATGGCGCAATAAGTGAGGAAAGCCTGTGTGTACAGATGATCCAGATTTGTGTGCGCAGATGATCCCCTGCCCTTTGAGGTGCCATCCCATGTTATTCCGTCCCATGCCATGCCATTCCATTTTTACGCCATGCCATCTCGTGCAATGCCATCCCATGCCATGCCATTGATTTGCCATCCCATGTCATTCCGTACCGTACCGCACCATGCCATTCCATGCCATGCCCCATGCCATGCCATGCCATGCCATCCCGTGCCATGCCATTTGATTCGCAATTCCATGTCATTCCGTACCGTGCCATGCCATGCTATGCTATCCCATGCCACCCCATCCCACGCCATGTAATGCCACACCATTGCCCGTTCCGTGCCTAGCCATCCCTGATGCCATGCCATGCCATACATTACATACATAGGTGTCCTTTTTGATTGTTTTGCTAGAAAAATAGATGGTGATTCCTGGTTCACCTGGTGGATAATCATCTACCAGACAAACCCATCTATTTCCATCTATTTCCATCTATTTCCCCTTCAAGGACACCTATGATTACATCCACCTCTGACCCTACCCTCTGACCAATCCAGGGACCTACAATGAGTTTCTGGTCCAGCAGCTGGACACGCGACACGGCTGGCCTCTGCTGCAGTGGTTTTTGTATACAGGGCTCCTTAAAAGATAGACTTTCCAACCATTTGAAACATGGCTGTGGCTCAAAAACCGGTGCCAAAATGGAACCCTGGGAAGTGAAAACATGGACCCAAACCCGCGTAACCCCTCCTGTTTAACTTTGAGCCACAGCCACTGTGCTTTTTCTTGGCACCAAAATAAAGGCAATGTTCAGGTGCATAATGCAAGGATCCCTGCTCATTTAGTTAGCCCGGTTTCCCGAAAGGGATGAAACTTGTGAAGCCTTGTGAGGCCTTGTGGAACCCTTGTGGAATCTTTGTGGAACTCTGTGGAACCCGGTTGAACCTACCTATGAACCTACCTAGAATGTGGTGGAACCCTGGTGGAACCCTCATGGAACCTTACCTCAAACCACCCCGGACCACCTCGTCGTGGTGGGTGGAACCCTCGTGGAACCTTACCTCAAACCACCCCGGACCACCCCGGAGCCCTTGCAGAACCTGGTGGAACCTTAGTGGAACTTTGGTGGAACCCTGGTGGTGGAGCCACGCAGCTCTCGCAGAACCTGGTGGAATTCTGGTGGAACCCTCGTGGAACCCTCGTGGAACCTTACTTCAGGGCCGCCAAGACCACCCAGGAGCCTATCTGGGCTGAGACCCCAAAGCTTTCAGCTGTGGGAAAAAGCAGAAGATTTTGATAGCCACCAAAAAGAGGAAGGACTCCCTCTTAAAAAATGAGGCCCCCTAATTACGCCTGGGTTGCCAGTAAGGGCTGGGTTGGCTGTTCTGCGGGTCTGCTTCCTCGAGGCTGAAGTCCGTGCTTTTGGCGCGGCATCAGCTCGAAGTCAGCCCAAAGGCCGGGAGGGCGAGCTGGGGGAGATGGGTGTGGCTCCCATAGGTCCCTTGGTGGTGGGCGTGCTGCGTCTTGCCAGGTCGGGCCACAAGAGAGAAGTGGCATAGGTGTCGTTTGCTTAAAAAAGAGGAGGGGTTCCCCTGGTTTAGATGGGGTTTATTCCATTTACCAGGGAAACCCATCTATTTTTCCAGAAGGCAAGCTATTGGTGGCTTCTTTTGGAAGAACTTGGTAGCCCCCCAGCGGACATGGAACCTGACCTCCGGAGGTTCCTGGAAGCCCGCAGAAAACAAGCCACTGTACGTGGAGCCAAGTGGCTCTTTACATGGAGCATCCATGAGAGGACCAATTGGCGCTCTTTCTTGGGTTGAAGGAGTCAAGCCACACTTGCAGCGCAAGCCGAGCCTTTGGAGGCGCTTGCCCTTGGCAGTCCTTTGAAGAAAGGAATGGATGGGTTGGCAGGTGTTCAGTGCCATCAATGGGTGCATCCCGAACATCTCCCTCTCACAGATACTTCCATTTGCTGAAATGAATATGTTGTTTTTTTCCCTCGGTTTCAAAGGGAATCTATCACTACTAGACATATTTTTATTTTTCCAGGCGACTTTAGCAAATGGAGGGGTGCTTGGGCCGGGCCACTGCCTAGCCGCAAGGCGTCCAATTGCTTCGAATGTGCCGATTCCATGATGCTCATTGCTCCTGAGGTTCTGGTGAGGGCATCCTTGGATTTTTGGTATCAAGACGTGAGCGTGCAAGCAGAGAGACGCGCAGTTCAACTCTAGCGACAGCCATGAAAGCAAAACAGCACCCTTGCTCGCAAATTGACATAGTAGGTTGGAGTTACTAAAGGTTTACATGTGATGTCCTGCTCTTTTGGACCAAGTGGGGGCCAACAAGCGTCTATATCCGCAAAGAGCCCGTGGCAGACTGCGAGCCGGCACTCGGCGGTCAAGGATGCGTTGGAGTTGGAGCGAGGCAGGGGCTTGTGGGCTTAGGGCTTAAGGCAAGGCCGGTCGCGGCACGTTTGGGGGGGATCATCACACGTTTCAAAGATGGCGCTCAATCAACAACTAAGAAAAACAATCAACCACTCTCTACGGTTCATGAAGGTCTTTGTTTCCGTCAGGCTGGACGCAGGAGGACGATGAGCTCTTGAAACAGTCCCCCAATGAGTTGATGAAGCTGTGACCAGGCTGAATTGGCTCCCACTAACATGGCCCATGGCACTTCACAGAAAGTCCCTCCAAGAGGAAACTGATCTTGCAGGATACCCTCCCACAGGTGCCACGTTAGTGGGAGGAAGCAGGCAAAGTCCGTTACTTGTGAATCGGGTGGGCACATAGGTGTGCTTTTTGGTTGGTTTGGTCCCAAAAAATAGAGGGCGATTCCTGGTTGACCTGGTAATCAACTACCAGGGCCAGGTTTTTTTTCCCAAAAAGGACAGCTATGGTTGGGCAACTGAGGCTTGACCTGGAGCCGGAGGAGTTCCTGGAAAATGTGCCACTGGGCCCTGACTTTGGAACGACATGCCAAGGGCTTGTGTTAAACAGGGCTCCTTGAAAGAAGTTCGTCTTGCAACTATTAATTTGAAGCATGTGGCTTTTTCAACACCAAAATAAAGGGAAGCCACCATTTACAAGGCAATGTTCAGGTGTGTAATGTAAGGATCCCTGTTAAAGCGGCCGGACGCGCTGCTTCCGCAAGCGGCAACCACCGGTGCTGCAGGTTGCGAACCATGCAGAGATTTCTGCGTGTTTTGCCACTGGCAGCCTTTGGAAGGGTTGAGCACTGGGAGTGAACAGTTTCTGTTTCACATATGGCAGACACCTCTGCCAGCAGTCGGCAAACACTTGCACTTGTGCAAGTAACGGGTTCATGAAAACATGAGGGGCTGTCGAATGGGGGCTGGGTCTGAGCTTTTTCTTCTCCCTCCCCCCGCTTGTGACTCAAACAGGCAACAAATCACCGGTTTGACCTCTTTGGGGCTTCGTCGGTGCGAGGTTGCCTGCAGGGCCAGTTGACCGCTGGGCGAGCCTCTACGACAAGTTGCTGCACGGTGAGCCGAGGCAGGCCAGCGAAACCTTCCAGCAGGGACCTCGGAACGAGTCGAGCGAGCCTTCCGAGTCGAGGATCCGATGCCCTGCCAAAAGGCCTTGGCAACCTGATACTGTGGATGGACGAAATCCTGCACCACCTAAGAAACCCTGGAATGATTTGTCCCTTGTAAATACCAACGCGCAATGGTTTCCCATGGTTTCAACGTGGTGCAGGATTTCGTCTATCCACAGTATGTCCTGATTTGGCAAGAGGTGAGCTACATATTGCAGGTCCAACCAATGGTTCACTGAGCTCCCGGGAATTCGCAGGAGATTCCAAGATCTCCAGCTTTTGATTGCCAGATTTTCGGCGGCCACCGTAGCTTCCTTCACATGCTTCTTTTTGCCGTGGCAAAGGAGGCCATTGCAGCCGAAAAGTGACCTTTTGGGGGCCCAGCGCCATTGGCGATTCCTGGTTTACTTGTTGGTTTAATCATCTACCAGGGAAACCCATCTATTTCCCCTAAAAGGGCACCTATGCATCCAGCAACTCTGGATGCTGCTTCAAATTTCAAAGCTTCGTTGCACGGAAGATCGTCACTTTCGTGGTTCGCTTGATTCTACACCGCCCGGCTGTGATACATCTGGAGGGCTTGGATGGTCTCTAAACTCGAGAAAGGAATACTTCCTCTCCAAAAGGGGTGGTTTCCCCTTGGCCAGCCTACCATAAATGGGGTGATGCTTCTCCCGAAAGGGGTTCTTCTTCGGTTCGGGTTCTATTGAGAACCCGGGAGGAAGTCGCAGAGACGGGCCCAACTGGGCGCCGAGGCTTTCCATTTTGGAGCCTTGGACCACGCAGCTGGAGCGGACACGCCGTGTTGCGACCACCATGCCTGAGAAGCCTGAGAAGCCCGAGACCGAGCATTGGGGAAGGGGATGCAGGGGATGGCAGGGTGGGTGGGGTGGGTGGGTGGGAGGGTGGGAGGGTGGGAGGGTGGGTCTGGAAATTGCAAGCGGACGCTAAAGATTCCAGTAGAGATTGGCACCAAGTCCGGAGGGTGAGGTACATCAAGGACATTAAGGACTGCATGTATCCAACCGAGTTTGCACATCCAAGGTTGTCTTCATGACTGCATTCTTGCGAAAGTTAGACGCCGGCTATATTGGGGGCTAGAGCAGCTCTCGAACCAGCCACTTTCCAGCCGTTGCGGCCATGTTGACAAAGATGTGGACACGGGATGTTAGAAGCTAGCCGCAAGAAGACATTGGTTTGAAGGCCCTTGCAAGGTTGCTCTGCTGGTTTGCCGTTGATCTTTGGCCAGGTCAAGGCCAGGGGAGGCAACAAGTGTGGCCCCAGAGCGTGCTCAATACACTGGTTCGTGCGAGCGTGGCCCGTCGCGTGGCGTTGGCGGGGGCGTGGGCGTGGCGTGGCGTGTCTGTTTGTTTGTATGTTTGTTTGTGTCTGTGTCTCTGTATCTGTCTCTGTCACTCTCAGTCTCTTCTTCTCTGTCTCAGTCTGTCTGCTCAGTTGCCCAAAGCCGACCTTTTAACCTTTTGGTTTTCCAATTTTGGTCTATCTTTAGTAAAGGCCCCAAAAGGTTAACCTTTTATTTCTGGGTCCTTTGGGCGACTGAGTCTTTCTCTGTCTGTCTCTGTCAGTTTCTGTCAGTCTCTGTCAGTCCCTGTCTGTCGGTCGCTGGCTGGCTGGCTGACTTGCTGGCTGGCTGGTTGGTTGCCTTTTTGGGCCGAGCCTCTGGGCATGGTTTGGTCTTGTTTGCTTGTTTGTTTGTTTGTTTGTTTGTCTTTGTTTGTTTGTCTTTGTTTGTTTGTTTGTTTGTTTGTTTGTTTGTTTGTTTGTGTGTTTGTTTTTTTGTTCGTTCATTTCGTTTCTCAGGGGGGTAACCTCGCAATGCGCTGCGCTTCTGGGGACGAGCTCGGTCGCCTCCAACACCAGCCCCCAGCAGCGACACCGCCTCTCATACGCCTGCTGAGGTTCGTGCGAAGCAACTCCATGACTTTGGGCGACACCATGACCGCCGCTCTGTCTTGGGTGGGGGCCGGCCGAGGGGCTAGATGGCTTTGCCGATTAGATACCTCCGCGCCAGGCGCGCCGGTGGTGGATGTGAGCGTTGCGTTTCGGTTGGTTTGTGGCCAAGACCATGGACATATATAGAAGCAGTCAACAGCCGGAGGATGAGCACCAAAACCATGTCACCAATAGACACCTATAGGAGTACAACATGGGAAGGGCTAAAAAAGTGGTGCAGGTGCTGTTGCTGGCAAACAGAATCGCTTCAGCCCGAGGATGATTCCCGGCTGCTGCAGCGCATCATGCTCCCACCGCATGGGAACACGCGCTTGGCTTGGACCGCCTTTGGAATTTTGGCACCTGGGATGCGTTGGAGCAAATGTGATGGAACAAGACCTTGGTACTCTGCAACAACGGAATTCTGCAATGGGACTTTCAACTTGTTTAAGCGATGTCCTGTTTGCCCCATGTGAGGGGGGGGGGGGGTAGTTGCTTGTCTCATGACTTGATGCAGTCCCCTCAAACTGATCTCAGGCCATCTGCCGCGGCCCAAGTTGCCCCAGCCGGGACTGGCACGGCGGGATGGCCAGCTCAAGCCAATTGCACGGGCCAGAGGCCTTGCTGCACAATGTTGCACAAGCCCCTGGTCACCAGGAGGTGTCGCTAGTGAGGGATGGTTCACCAAGTCTGGTAGGCCAAAAGGAGGGCGCCGTCATCTTCAGACCCTGGTGCGAGTGTGCAATGCAATGCCTAGCCCCAGGCTGGGACCTAGTGTTCATTCCGCTGATGATGTTTGACCTGCCGGTGGAGGTGGCTGCAGTCACCGATGCAGCTTGGATGATGGAAGGTGGGGCGGTTGGGGTCACTCCGCACATCCCCCTCAAGGCATGAGTCCGAGCTGGTAGAATGATTGCGTATGTCTCGCCAAGCACCTGACAAGCAAATACTGACACAAAGCAGTTGGCAACTCAGGCAATGTCCATCGCCATCTTCTGCTACTGGCTCCTAGATGTCCCAGCGACCTTCCTTACCGGCTACGATAGCGGCGGCATACTGGAAATGCGCTTCCGGGTGGTCGCCCGAAACTATCTGAAAGGCGTGACAGGGGGGAAGCTGGTAATGGGCGTGTCCCTAGCTTGCGACCAAGGACCGGGGCAGAATTGCTCAAGTGGACAGTTTTAGGCAGCCAAGTCGGACGGCTTTGCCACCATGGGCCTGTGAGGCAGTAGGCAGGAAACATCTGCCTTTCAGCTGGCCACGGGATGCCCCCTACCTTCAAAGAGGGGGAAGGGGGGGCCGAGTCTTGCAAACAGAGACTTCACGGTTCTTGGTAAGTTGTTTTTTTGCTTTTTTGGTTCTGTTCATTTTTTGGTAGAGGGCTGCTCAACATAACCTGTTTTGCAACCATACAAAGGGTTGTGAAGGAGAAAAAGGCGAGAGAGAGAGAGAGAGAGAGAGCGAGTCCCCATTCGGACAGGGTGAAGTTGGCGCGTCCGATCGCTCGCCAGGCTGGCTGTCAGTGGACGTTACGGCTCCTGGGCAAAGATAACAGCGCTAGGCCTGAGAGCGCAACGAAAAAGACCTCAGCCGCTCAGCCCCCGCCTTTGAATTCGCATTCAGAGTCCTAGGGAGCCAAGGGAGCCAAGGAAGGTTTTTTTTTGGGAAAATTGGTGCATGGCTCCCAAGGGTCACTTAGCTATGGCTCCCCTTTCCCCTTGGATGTCTGCAGCAAACCTTTCTGATTTATGCAAGGGAGTTTTGGCCCGGCCCGTTTTTCGCTGAGATCCTGATGCTGGACATCCTGATCTTCGTAGTGCTGGGTTTGAATCCGGCGACCACAGAGGCGGACTCCTCCTTGCCATCCTTCCGCCTGGCCCGGGCTGTTCGGCTGCGAACGTGGCGAGGGGGTTGGGTGGTAGGGGGGGATGGGATGGGGCTGGGATAGGTGAGGGTCATGTTCTTTTCGTGGGCTTTCCTTGCTTCCAGAAAAAAGAGAGTAGTAACTACGGGGTTATCAATCAAGGGTTAACATGGAAGGGGGAAATCAGGGAAAAATCAGGCAACATTTCAGTGGTGTGTTGGCTGGATGGAGATGATGCCGGCACTTCCACGCCGTGACAAGGTCCTCCATGCAAGCATTTGTCTTCACACCACCCCTAGTTGGTGGTTTGGATTGGTATTTGAACCCCCCTGGTTCTTGAGGCTAAATGCGAAACCAAAAAAAATCCAAGCACCAAACCAGCGATTCGGCTCCACCCAAATTTTCGGAGGGACGCCGATAGCGTGTTTGGAGGGGATGAGTCAACTCGCCGGTACCCAGCCGAGCTCGAGGCTCTTCGGCTGATGCGCTTCCTACGGCTGCTGCGGCTCCACAAGATGGCGAACCTCGCGGCCCGGGACCCAGGGACTTGGGGACTTGGGGACTTAGGGACTTGGAGCGTGCCGATTTTCCGGAGCTCGCGGGGGGATTCGCCCTTCGCCGGATCTGCGCAACACCCCGTGTTTGAGCTGGTACTGGGGGTTGAGATGGATCCTGAAAGTCGGAGGTTGGACTAGCAGGCCAAGACCTGAAAAGGAGTTTCACCATGGCAGAGGTCTTTTCGAGCCGGGACAGCTCGAAGCCTTTAGAAGAAGGAAGCCTTGCGGTGGCTACCGTAAAGTCTTGGAATCCAGATTGAATCTGCCAGGATCTGGCACGAGGCTTCCTGGCTTTTCCTCCAAAGTTTGCCAAGCTGTGTGTCTGCAGTTTCTGCGCCAGTTCCTCTGCGGTTGCTGAAGGCTGATCTCCTGGACCGCGTGAAGACAGATAGCTTCATGCTGACAGTCAACATTCTACGCAGCTCGGCGCGTTTCCCCATATCCATCAGTTTTCGAAGACTTTGCCTCGCAATTTCCCGTGAAGACGGGCCAAGGGGTTGGTTGGGATGTTCATGAATACCCCATGTTTGCACGCAAAGGAACTCATGCATTCAGGAAAAGCCTTTGATGCATTTTGCTCGGATGTTAGGACTTTAACTTTTTTGCCAACTAATGAGTTTTCCGTATGAAACCACTAAAAGTTAAACCTTTGGCGGGGGAGCGGATTTCGCAACCAAGAAGCCTTTCCTCGCCCTGGATGAGGCAGCCTGTCCGCGGTCTTAGCCTTGAACCACTACGTGGCCTGCGCCTTCCTGGGTCTTGCCTTGCCACTTGGGCCGCAAGAGAAAACAGGCATAGGTGTCCTTTTTGGTTGGTTTGCTTTAAAAAAAAGAGGGGTTCCACTGGTTTAGATGGGGATTCTTCAACATTTAGGGAACCCCATCTATTTTTCCATTTAGGGCCACATGGGTTCAGGCCTCTCATCCCCCCAGAGGAACAGAGACTCGTGAGCCAAACGAAAAGTAGCTCTGCATCGGGCTTTGGCCTATTTACTTGTTGGTTTCTTGTAATGTTGTCGGATGTTCAAAAGGTCCCCCAAGGCTTTTCTGGGACCGTTTGTTTTTTGGTGCCTGCCCAACCTGTGGTGCTGCTGATGAACCTCCATGCTGATGAACGTTGTCATTTGTTCAGGGAGTTGCCTGTGCGTAGATGTGTTGCCACTCTATGGTGCCAGTATTTCTGTCCTACGGAGCCACAATCAGGGAACACCCCTAGGCCTTGCAACTTGGACCCCCGTCGGATCCCGTTTTAGCCGGGAAGCGCTGCCAAACCCATTAAAACGAGGGATGATCGAAGTTTTGGAGATTGTCGACCCTCTCACGGCCTTCTAAATTCCAACCCGCCGGCCGTTTGATTTAATATTTCTGGAGCTTCCTTTTGAGATTGGACTTCAGGGATTTTATGATTTAATGGGGACCCTTAATTAGGCTTGTCTCCGGTCATTCTCAAGCTGTATCCTAGCTAGCTTGTACTGATTCAAAGAAACTCGTGCCCGTCCAATGCGCGGTAGTGTTGCATGCCTCATGCCTGAGCCTAGTGCTGCAGGAACAGGCACATGTCACCTTCTGCAGCGCATTTGGTGCGTTGCCCCAGGTCCCCTGTCGGGTTACGGCATGTCGTGCTGAGGATGGCGGAGGGGCAGATCACTTGGCTGGACATTGTATCTTGGAGTCGATATTCCTTGTCCTCAAAAATGAGGCTTGGGTAAGGCACTGAAGTCAGAACGATGTTCTGACTTGGATAATTGAACAGGTCACTCATGTGCCAGATGTTGGGTGCGAAATGGCGAAGCAGAAGCACATGTCAACTGCCTTGCTGGACCAAGGCAGGCTTGTCCGGCGTGGATTTCTGGACGAAGTACCTGTCCTCCCTTCACTGGCTGCATGGCAAGCATTTGGTGCACTTACACTTGGACAGCAGACTGTCCCGATTCGGCTTCGACAGTTTTGGCGCCAGATGGCTTGGCAGATGGCATCCGGGTGCAAAGCCGAGGTCCCTCACGCAATTCATGCCGGCCACCAACAACATCGCGCCCAACACCGCCCAGGAGCGGGTCTTCGCCATCCTGATCGTCCTGATTGGCTTGGCCGTGTTCTCCTCCTTCGCCGCGCGGCGCATTGAGGCGGTGAGTTTTGGACGCGTTTTCTTTAGGAGGGGGGGGAGGTGGGCCGGGAGGTTTTTCGCCATGCCTTGTGCGAAGGGGTGGGTTCAGGGAAACCACCTAGCAGGGATACAGGGGAACCAGTTGGATACGGTTGAGGATTCCCCCGTTTGATGCACCCTGAGTAAGTTTGATGTGGAGGGAATCCCCCCATATCCCCGCTCCCTCCGTATCCCCGCTTGTTTGTTTGTCCAATGTGTATAAACAGCAAGCCGGAGAAGTCAGCTCATGGATCAGCTTGTGAGCGGACCAAGATTTTACAGCGGCTCGCAACTGCAAGTGGTATGCATGCTCATGAAATTGGCAAGCCGTCACGCCCCATTTCTTTTTCTCGTTTCGGCCTTTCCGTCCTATGATCAAGACCTCTGACCCAGACAGACCCTCAACATTGCGACGTAGTCCAGTTTCGCCTTTGATGCTTCTCCGCACGCGAGAGGCCTAGATGTAACGTAGTTTGATGTGCCGTGTTTGATTTGGTATCTCGTTTGCTTGTTTTATTTTTGTATTGTTTTGGTTTGTTTGTTTGTTTGTTCGTTCGTTCGTTCGTTCGTTTGTTTCATCCCAAGATCCTGAAATACTTTCGCGGCTTCCTGAAAAGTCCAACTGACCTTGTGGTTTTCAATTTGTGGGTGCCCATGTTTAATAGAGGCCCCAAAAGGTGGTCACCTTTTATTTGCAGGTCCCATCCGGGGCAAGTGAGATGTAGCGTGTCAACATGAGAGCCAAAAGGCCCTGTATGCGCGCTTTCCAAGCCGCACTGATCGACAAACAGTATGTTATGCCGGTCGTCCTTGGCAACAGTCAGCCCGAACCAGCGTCTAAACCCTGAGGGTTGTTGCCCATGGTTTTGACGTAACATGCACGAGCCATGTGACCTCGGAACTGCCAAGGTCAGCACAGTGACGAACACGGCAAGTTGGCTTAACAGATTGGCGGGCCGGGGTGGTGGCCAAGCTTCTTGTGCGGTTGGCTCTGCAAAGGGCTTGGATTTGTTCTCAGGGCGTCCCTCGTTAATGCAGAATAAATACATCCCAAACGCCACAGACTTGGGGCCTCCCCCGCCCCCTAACCCCGAGATGTTAATAAGTTTGTGCCGTGCGGTACTTGCGTCCTTGGTGTGTGATTGTAGCTGCATGTGCGCGTGCTTGTCCAGGGCCATTTGCACAGCAACCTGGAGAACAAATATCTCTTGCTGGGGGTGAGCACATATAGGCTCCCAACCAACAAAACGAGGGCTCTCAGTTTTGGACGGTGTTTTTCGGGCAAAGCAGCAGGAGGCCAACCGGGAAGCTGCCGAGGTGAATCAGCTGCGCCGGATGCACATGGAGCATTTCAACCAGGAGACCCGCATGAAGTCCTTCCTCACGCAGAAGTGCGTGTCCGTGGACGTGTGGTGCCGGGTGCAGCGCTTCTGCCGCCTGCGCATTGTGCTGGACAAGAAATCCCTGAAAGAGGCGGCCGCTCGGACGGTTAGGATGGCAGCAGTGGTAAGTTCCGTGGGAATTTCCAGTTGGGTCTGTGGATTCCGTTTTGGACATGGGAATAGGGGTCGTTCCCTCATTTTCTGACCCCTACAAATCATTTTGTGTGGTTTCCGTTGAGGGAATCCCCAGGTTCATGCCATGTTCATGCCCACATTCCCTACCTATCGCACCGATCGCAAGTTTCCCAAAGCGGGAGGGCTCTAGACCATGGACGATGCTCCTGGTTCTTTAATCCAGTTCGCACCAAGGGACACCTTGGAATGATTCGGATTTCCCCTGCAAATACCAACCAAAAGTGGTTTTGTCCATGGACCAGGTTCATTTTGTGCATCTGACTTCCTGAGTTCCTGGATTTTATACCATCTTAGTGGCAAAAACAAAGCTCGGACTTTTTTTGGGCCATGGTCTCAGGAAATGAGGCATCATCTTGCTGCACTAGCATTCTTGTCCCAGAGAGATGGCTTACGCGCTGAGGATATCCCCATGCTGAAGGACTTGCCGTCGAGCCTGCGGGTGAAGCTACACCAAGAGATCCTTGGTTGCAGTGCCTCCCGTCTCATTTTTGGGGGTCGCAAAGTGCTCTAGGTTTTGTCAGCGGACGAGCACGTCCGTTCGGATATCGATGTGGTGTCTTAGGCTTGTTGCTGTGCTCAGGGAATCGCCACAGAAAGGGGTTCTGACAAACTGATTCCACTTGCTCTCGCCAGCTATGCAGGCTGGTTGTACCATTTGCACCTGTTTGTTGTTGGTGCCCATAGGTCCCCCAAAGTACGCCAGTGTTGCATCATGTTTCCAGCTCAGTGAGAAACAGATCATTCGTCTTTTATCGGCCATTCCTACTCGCAGGATCTACATGCCTGCCCTGATGTCAGCATCCTGGATGTCGGTAGAACTCGCCGAGCTCGACGAGCAGCTTACGCTGCTGTTGCTCACTGCATTGGGGCCTATTTGTGGAGAAACCACCCATGTTCATTTTTTGTTTGTTTTTTTGTTTAATTCATATTAGTTGTTTTTTTTGGGGGGAATGGGGTTCCCATTTGGCGCTTCCCACCATGTGTGTGGCGGCCGTAGGCGGCCCCTCCTGACCCAAGCGCTCGTCCTGAGGCTCTGCGACAAAGTCTTCTCCGAGAAGGTGGCCTCGGCTTTGCAGGAGGTCTTCTTGAACGGTCACGAGTGCAATGAGGTTGTGTGGCCTGGCAGGGGTGGCACGGGTGGCGATGCGAAGGGTCGCTTGGGATGTGCTTAAGCAACTTAAGCAGGTTGCCAACCCTTGGCACAGGAGCTCCTCCTAGAGGCCGTTCAAAAGAAAGAGGTCACAAACCATGATGAAAAGTGGGGTAACCTGGGTGATCGCCCCCTTAGAACCATGAGCATAGCCCATACCAAGTGGCTTGAACAGCCAGAATCTTTTGGGCTGTTGGGCTGTTGGCCGCTTGGCTTGTTGGGCTGTTTGGTTGGTCAGCCCTTCGCCATTGAAAAAGGCACCCAAGTGCCATGTTCTGCAGGCGTTGCGCGTTCTTTTAGGCATTGCGCGTTCTTTTCACCGGCGCGGCGGCTCTCTTTTTTGCCACGAATCTGCTCGGGGACTTGCCCGGAAGAACTGCATCATCATTGCCAGGAATCGTGGAAGCTTGTGTGCCCTTGCAGGGAATTCAATTCAGGAACCACGCCTCCCCATCCCGGCTCCCATTAAACGGCACTTTGTAGATGCTGGCAGGTAGCAAGTTACCCTGACAAGTCGTGTCATGCCAAAAATCGCTGGTCGAGTCAAGCTGGCAAATGGTCAGATTTGCAATAGGAGGGCGGATCTGCCGGACCCTCGCTGCGCAGCCATCACAGCATAAACTGTCTGCTGACCAACCCGTGTGGGAACCTGCCAGCAGATGTGAAAGGAAGCGCTCGAAAGCGGGGGACCCCATTTCTTTCATTTGCTTAAGGAATCCAATGTATTTCCCCCTGGTTTTGAAGGGAATCGAACATTGCTGGAGATATGTTGTTTTCTTTTTTTTTTTTCCATTGGGCGAAAAAGCAAATGGGCGGGTTTCCCACTGAGACACAGCGGTTTTGATGCCACGTCACCCGAGCCTCAGGATCCCTGGTGGGCCGCTCGTGTATCGGTCTTCGCGCCTGGACGAAGTGGTGAAGGTTGACCAGGACGGGGCAATCCAATCAACACCCTGCTCCAAGACAAAGTCGTCATCCGCGTTAGTAGCTTGGGTGTTCAAGCTACTTGGTAAGTGGGTTGCAACCATGAACCATGGTTATAAGGGGTCTAACCCCAGTTACCCCACTTTTGTATAAGGTCTACTAATCAAGTTGGTTGAACATCCAAGTAAGTTGCAGGGTTTGTTTGTCCATTCTGCTCGTGCCATCGCAGTACGGCTTTTCAAGCACGACGAACAAACGCAGGCGGCCTTGGAAACTGGTCCCATACACTTGCTACACCTGAGTCTTCTGAGCTGGGTGCGCGCGATGGGTGCGAATGCACAGGCGTTTATTCTGACAACTGGCCTTTACATATCGGTTACAGGACAATCTACAACAAAGAGCCCCAAGACACCAGACATAGGGGCTGTTTTCCTGTGGAGTCTCCTGCAACCCTGTGGAGTCTCCTGCAACCCTTTCCTTCCCGTCTCCGGGCTCGGAGTCTCAGGGGGCCTGGCTCTGCGAGCTGTGCCTTTGGGCCCACTGGGAGCATCGCGGGCAGCTCGACGCGCGGGAGGTGGTGCATTACATCGCACCTCGGCAAGATGAGGCGATGGGACGAGGGGCGCTTTTTTTGGCAATCTTTGAAGGGAAGGAGCAATTCGGGGCAACTTGATCTGCCAGACGTGAGTGAATAGTGCGGCAAGGTGCGGCGTACGAGCAAGAGTCCCGGCTTTTCGGGTGCAATGGTCGGCATACCTGCCCCAAGCCATTGCCCTGAAATTCAAGAATCCCTTGGGGGCGCGAGGGGGGTCAGAAGGACTGCATACGAAATCATCAGCAGCATTTTCGGTAGCGCGAAATGCGTATTTTTCATCATTGGCGGTCGCGTGTGTGCAAAAAGCTCGCACCGCCAAGCATTGATCTTGCAGCCTTGGGCACATTCACGAAATCCACTTCGGACTCAAGTGACTTCTCCTTCGCCTTGCGTGCCTCACGTTGAGTTTGGCGATTTGAGGTGATCAACGGCGCGGGCTTTGCGAGCCTGCTGTCCAAGCACGGGGGCCCCTTGTTCCACCGCATCCGCACCATAGGCGGGATGGACGTGGACATGGGTCATGGGTTTGCAAAGCGAAGATGGCGGGCCATACTTTCGCCCGTTTTTTGTCGGCGATGTTTTGTGTTGTTGTTGTTTTTGAGCTTTTGGCATGTACAGCTTTTGGCATTTGTGGCCTTCAACCCCAAGTCTACGCACGAATCCAATGTGAGGCATGCGTCTTAACTCATACAGCAGAACACCCACTCAAACAATTGTCCTGAACCAACCCCTAAACCCAACCTGAGTTACCCCCTCCTTTCCTCGAAGAACCTATTAGGCTTAAACGCGCCCTAAACCAGCTCTAAACCAACCAACCCAAATCCACCCTGAACCCAACTTAAATCCAACCCTGCGCCGCGCCCAACTCTAGTCTAAACCCAAGGCTGAAACAAACCTAATCCCTGAAACCCACCACAAACCAACCGCAAACCAGCCCTGAATCGCCTTCAGCCGAACCTAAGCCAATCCTAAACACCCGCCAAGCAAACCAACCCAGACTAAATCTTAAATCAACCCTAAGCCCACCTTGAACCAGCCCACAAATCTCCCTGTAAGAGTCGGATACTCATCACCATGCCAACCTGAAGCCTGTGAGATGTGTGCCAGCAGAGGAAAGAAACACCAAAAACCTCCCGAACTCAATCCGCATCCAAAGGTTCAAGAGCTGCGGTGTCACATCCTTGGGCTACCTGTGATGCCATCGAAGTGGTGCCCTAAGCCTTCGCCAGCCCGTACAGTGTCCAGCTCGTTTTCACTGGCAGTTTTTTTTTTTTTTTGCGGGTTCTCAGGAAGGAATGTCTGGTTTATGGGGTCATTCCATTTCGCATTCCCTGCCGAGATTCAGCAAGTGTTCCATGCCAGTTCAACCATGGTTTCAAATTGGTGCGAACGGATGTCGCAACCATCCACTGTACCTCATGACTTGCTGGTTCTCAGCAGGGAATGAGGAAATGACCCCTATAGACCATCCATCCTATGGTTCCTTGAAGCGAACCCCCAGGTTCATTCTCTCATTCCATGCTGGTCATATGACCCAGAATTCCCCTGAAAGGAAACCACAAGGGATGGTTTATAGGCTATATAGGGGTCATTCCATCTCTCATTCCCTGCATCTCTCGTAGCAAAATTATGAGAAGTCTAGACCTCACGTCATACATTTGCTGGTCTCCCATCAAACTTGCTTCTGTCAGATTTGTCCTCCCTCCCCCCCCCCCCCCATGGTATGGGTCCGCCCAGGAAACCCCCTCCCATATATAGGGGTCATTCCATTTCTTCCCTGCATGTCTCGCAGCAGACTTATAGAGATGGAGAAGGGTGAATGGGTAAGAAGGAAGGATATTGTCGCTACAGCTGGTAGGCCCTTCCCAGCTAGTACACTTCCCGCTTCTCTGTCTCGCTCTATCTGTCCCGCTCCTTCCCTTTCCTTCATGTGGGAGCGGGTGGATGAGTTAGCTTGCAAGGAATGTCTCTCCCTTCACTGTCTCGTCTCTGAGATTAAACTCTTTATCACATTCTATCGCATGCTGTTCCTCCTTTCCGTCGTTACAGCGGGTAGATCAGGCTTCCAGGAGACAGTGAGAGCTAGGACAGGTATCTGAATCGCTGGTAGCTACCTTGTGGGGTCCATGAAGTTATGATACCTGGAGCTACAGGAATGAATCTCTGGTAGCTGCGAAGGGATCCATGAAAAATAACAATCCCTACCTCACATTGGGATGACATCTCAGGGCATGCTGGTACATGTTTTTTGTTACATGTTGTTGGCCCACGCCCAGATGACATCAGAGGGTCTCCCTTATGACCATACCTCACACTGATGAATCTTTGGTAGCTACCTTTTGGGGTCCATATGTTAAAAAAAAGAGGGGGAAACAAACAACACCAAAAAAAAACAACAAACACAAAAAAACAACACAAAACAACCCATACCTCACCTTGAGATGACATCTCACAGGGCTGTGCCCTCTCTGCTCTCAGGCCTCCTCTACATCGCCCTGGCGGAGGCGCGGCACGAGGACGGGCGGGACCAGCTCACGGATCTGCCGCTGCCCTACGGCCAGGCCCAGGCGGGCCGGTGGAGCGATTTCTCTCGGGGGGGAAGACCGGGGGGACGGGGGGGACGGGGACGGGGGGGGCCTGACCGGCGCCATGGTCTTCCAGTGGCTGAAGGTTGGTTGGTTGGTTGGTTGGTTGGTTGGTTGGCTGGTTGGTTGGTTGGTTGGGTGGGTGGGTGGGTGGGTGGTTCGGTGGTTCGGTGGTTGGGTGGTTGGGTGGTTGGGTGGTTGGGTGGTTGGGTGGTTGGGTTGGTTGGGTTGGTTGGGTTGGTTGGGTTGGTTGGGTTGGTTGGGTTGGTTGGGTTGGTTGGGTTGGTTGGGTTGGTTGGGTTGGTTGGGTTGGTGGGTGGGTGGGTGGGTTGGTTGGTTGGTTGGTTGGTTGGTTGGTTGGTTGGCTACTTCTCCCTTTTTTCGGGTTTTCCATTTGCCGAAGATATTGTTTTTTTTTTTTTTTTTTTGTCTGTTCCGCTTGCTGAAGCGAAGTTTTTTTGTTTTGTTCAACACACATCCCCTGGATGATACCCAAAAGGAGAATGAGCCTTGGTGTTCGTGACGGTCGGTTCTCCAAAGGGGCACCTTAATTTCCTCATGTTTTTCCCCCGGTTGGTTGTGCAGGAATCTATGACTGCTGGAACTACTTTTGTATTTATGATGGGGTTATCCAGCTATCCCCACTTCTGTGATATGGGTGTGGGTCAGAATCAAACCATAAGGGACCAGAGGTTTTAGTTCTTGGTTCCATTTACCAGGGTTCCATTTTGGGTACCCATTTTTGACCCACGGCCATATCTTCGGGAATCTCTCCCTGGGGAGTTAGTCTTTGAGAACTTGTTGGTGAACAGATTCGTAGATTCGATTTCAACCACCGCCCTGGTTGGGCACGCTGAAAGTGAGGCCTGGCGCTGGGGGCACTTCTCTCCGCTTTGCATGGGGGTTGATTCCTATTCCATGTAGGGGCCCCCAGTTTTGACCCTAACTTTTTTCCATTTAGTGGGGCATCTCCCATCTTTTTGGTGGTTCCCCCCCCACAAGTAAGGCTAAAGCTTCATCATGTCCAAGTGCACTTCCTCCCGGCCGAAGCCGCAAGATGTCTTTGGGACAGCGCTTTTGGCGCTGCCAGCCGCGAGGATTTTGCAAAGTCTTCTTAGACTTGTTTGAACCGATGGTTATACCCTGTTGCTTGCCGCGTTGCCGCGCGCTGGAGCAACCCTGACGGTGGGTGTTGTTCTGGTTGCAGGAACCTCAACACAGGGTGGGCATAACTAAAATAGGGGAGCTCTTTTGTACCCCGAGTGGGCGCACACGCAGGATGTCACAGGCCGTGCCATGCAGTTCAGCAACATGCGTCTCGGCGGAATCTTTCAGCCGGGATGGATGCGGAGTCCTCTACTGCTATTGGCTTGGATCTTTAGGCTTCAACTTTTTTGGGACTCCCCACCTAGGTCCTTTTAGCCGGCAAAAAAGTGGGACTTTTTGCTGGGGGGCCTGCGGCGCCAAAGTGACGTCTGATGTCTCCTTGGGCTTGGGGAACCGGATCTGGGCCACATGAAACTGCTTCCCACGAGTCTTCGCAGCATGTTGTTGCGTTAGCACGCAGGTGCCTTAGGTGGAAATAGGTGAAACTTGTGTCACATGTTTGAATCTCCTGGGCTCCAGTGCAAATTGGCCATGAGTTTAAACAAGGAACCTTGAAAGTGATGGGTGGACATGAAACCCCACCTAAATGATGTCCACCAGACATTTCCCTAATTACCCTTCAACAAACATAGCACCTGCGGGGGTGTACCTGGAAGATCAGTTTCCTCTTACAGGAACCCCCTGTGAGGTGCTATGTTAGTGGGACGGAGGGTAAAGTTACTGCCCACTTTAGCAAGAGCAGCCGTGAGCCAGCGCTCCGAGCAACGGTGGCTCTGCCCAGGCAGCCCGGGCACGTGCGGCACGGGCAGACGGTGGCCGGCCTGGGCAGCATGCTTGGAGGTGTGTAGCGCGAGGTCGTGTGGCACAGCTAGGACTGGAGCGCCCCTGTGGGATTTAGGTGGTTGCTGACCTCCCCAACCCAAAAACAAATCTGAACCCTGGAGCGATTCCTCCAGTTGAGACTGGGGAAGGCGTCCCGGGAGTGTAAAGTCGGCCGGTCTTTGACCTGCAAAAAAAGGCTTTTTTCTACTCGGGCACAGCTGCTTTCAGCATCCATGTCGTGCATGACCTGGGTTGGCTCGCATGGCTCCCATGGCCGGGAAAGCAACCAAGCAACCAAGAAACACCTACCGAAGTGCACCGGAACCCTTTTCAAAATCAGAGCAGTCTTCCAACAGGGGGTTGTGCACTTCCATGGTTGTTGGTGAGAGGGCAATGTCTTGGTGACAGAGGCAACAAGTTGACCAACGAGTTAAGTAAATCAGCAGGACGCCAACTAATCAGCTAACTGACTTATCCAGCCATTTGGCCTAGCCGATTGTTCCTCAACCTAGTTAGCTGACGTTAGGTATTCCAACTGTCTATGAATCGATTCAACATTTGTGTCTATTTGTCCATCCATTTAGTCAGGCATGAACCACCTATTTGTCTATCGTTGTCTGTCTACCTGCGGAATGAGTCCCCACGCTTTCCCTATAGTCGATCTGTCGATCTCTGACTCCGGCCTGGGCATTTGTACGGTCTTCCCCATCCATGCACCCATCCACTTGTTTATTTGTCCAATTAGCCTTGACTATCGAGCCGGATCCACTCATGTTGGGCTGGATCGGCCTCAGGGAAAGCCATGCACACTGACTGATAGAATGTCAACCCTGGAGTGGGCGATGTCACCCTCTACAACCAGACTTCCGCAGTGGTTTGCCTAGTTGATTGGCAAATTCCCTAGAATCAACTCATGGAACGTCAAGTCGCAATTGCCTGCCGTGGATCTTCATAGGAGCCCGTCCCTCCTGGCCCTAGTGACCGACATGGAGAGAGGCGCTGGGGGGGCGCGGGGGGTAACGGCCCGCTCCGCAGCCTGCATCGTCCTACGCCTTTGCGCTGCTTCCGAGTTGTCTTTTCCGCTCGCCCAAGGGGCAGAGTTGAGTGAGTGAGTTCGAGTGAGTTCGATCGAGTCAGTGAGTCAGTGCGCGATCTCGCGAGAGTGAGAGGGTGACAGGGGGAGGAGTGAGAGTGAGAGCGAGAGAGTGCGAGAAAGTGACAGAGTGAGCAAGTAAGACGGCAGGCGAGAGGGTGACTGAGCGAGGAAGCGAGGGAACAAGTGAGGGAGGGAGCAAGTGAGACAGTCAGCCTGTCAGGTAGTTAGCTTTGCGCAGTCAACGTGGTTGCTGGGTTGGCTGGTTGGTTGGTTGGCTGGCTGGCTGGTTGGCTGGCTGGCTGGTTGGTTGGTTGGTTGGTTGGTTGGTTGGTGGGTTGGCTATGGGTTTTTAGTTCACCTATTTTGTTTGTTTGGTCAGTTTGCTAGTGAGTTGAGATAACTGGTCAGTTCCTTCCGTAGTGTGCTGGTTAGTTGGCGCACAACATGTATCCAGCGCGTGCAAGTCGCGAGAGCGGCAGCCTAGGGAGTCCAAGCAAATCTCTGGTCCGCAGCTTCTCTTTTGGGAAGTGGGGGGTTGATCAATATTTCATTTAGGGCCCCCAAATGACCATGGGCAGCGGGAGATATCTTTTAGTGGTTTGCCTGGAATGGTCATCCTAAGTATCAACTCCCAAGTGATTGCGTTGGGCATTGGGGTTGGCGTCCAGTTCTTGGAATTAGTTTGCTTGCTTACTCTGTGTGGCAGAGTGTTACTTCTTGAGGACGGGTTGCCCGGGCTGGGTTTGCGGGCCGCAGTGTTGATCCTATCATTGTTGATTATTTTGTTTGAGACCGGCCACAGCATGTGCTTGCCAGGCATTTGGGCGATCCCAGCAACCGGGCATTTAGCTGACAGATGCATCTCAGCAAGACACTGTCGAATTTATCGCAGGGGCCGGGCATTTGGCTGACAGACGCAGCTCAAACAGACATCCTTGGATTTTGCAACTTGCTTTTCCAGCCGCCCGTCCGGCATAGCGAGAATCATCAATCATTTATCTTGGTTTGGCCACCTTTTCAGCGGAGTAGCTGCCTGTGAGTGCTGCCATGGTAGCCTGCGTGCGCGTCGCTTGCAACTCGAGCGAGCGCGAAGCGTATCGGTTTATGGCTAGTGGCACTGGCATCTTGATGGATCGCAAAGCGATGCGTCAAGCTTGTGGCTCGCAGGAATCCCGAAGCTTCTCCCCGAGCATGGCCGAAGGCTGCGTGATAATGAAGCGTTGAAGACGCACAGAGCCAGGCGACATTGAGCGCCGCCCAAAGATGGCCGCTAGGGGCAGGAAAGTCGCCCCATCTGAAGCACCTAAGCAGCAATGGTAACTCTGTAGTCTATAGGGCAACAAAGCAATGAAATTGGCAGTCAGCCAGAACCAAATGCACCGGGTTCCCACCGTCCACCTGCCCTAAGTCAATGTCTAGCCGAGCCAGTGCAGACGAAATTCAGCCTCGAGCTGCTTGTGGGCTGGGATGTCCTGCTTCAGACGGGAGATGTTTGCGACAGGGGCTGCGCAGTCTTTTCACTGGGCCCCATCGGTTTGCTCCCATGGTCTTGTGTGGCAAAGGAGCCCCCGAGCGAATTTTGGTCAGAGGAGCGTGAACCTTTGGCTATCGCATGTGTCCATCCACTGGTCGTCAACTTGTTCAAGCGCCTCCTTTGCAGTGGGGATTTTGTGCGTTTGTCAGGATGAGGTCAAAGGCCAATTGTTTCCCGAAGGGAAGGCCATGAGGGGCTTTGTGCCAGCATCAGGCCCAGCATTTGCACCGTAAGGATTGAGCACAGGCCCAGCACCAACACAAACATGAGGCGTTGGCTTATTTGACGCGCCTCACCTAAGGAGCTAAGACTTTCAATGGATCCGTCTCTTGTGCTCAATTCTTGGAGGGGTATCAAAGAGGACAGTTGGAGCACGGCCAAGGCGACTGTTTGTGGCCTCCGCTTTTTCCACTCACGTTGAGTGAAGACCAGCCGCCGGCTCTCACGAGCGGCTGAGGCACGCTGAGCCGATGAAAGTCTCACAGGAGCTGAAAACGTGCAAGTGAGAGATGGCACATCAACCGCTTTCCAGCTGCGGTTGCTGCAAGAGGGGGGGGTTGCTACTGCAGATGCGAGTGGCAGTTGTGCTTGGGGGTTGAGGCGGCTGCTGATGGTGGCGGTGGTGGCCGTGCTGGCCGTGGTGGCGGGCGTGGCGGCCGGCAGTGGTGGCGGCCGGCTGTGGTGGCGGCCGTGGCGGCGGCGGTGGTGGGTGGTGTTTGCGGTTTGCGGTTGCCGTTTGCTGTTTGTTTGTTGTTTGTTGTTTGTGCTTCTTGCTTGTTGTTTGTTGTTTGTTGCATCCAAATGTCTTGACCTTCCTCATTTGCACATTTGCAGTTCTTACTGGGTTGTTTTCAAGCTAGGGTCAATTCTCTGCTGCATGTCCCCTTGCCATCTCTTGATGGTCAAGAAGCTCCGATCACTCGGCACCTTGCGGCTTGCGCTCCTGCTCAAGTTAGTATCTCCCTCTGCTCAAGTTGCGACTCATGTTGTTTGTGGCTTGTTGCTGCTGGTTATGGTCGCGGTTGTGGTCGCGGTTGCGGTGGCGGTTGCTCGGTTGCTGCTGCTGAGTGAAACGTTGGTGATTAAGATGGTCAGCTTCTTTCCGGTCACCTCCCTCCACCCTGCAACGGCTTGGTGTGCGGGGGGCCCTTGATGATGGTAAGGCGAAGGATCTGACATTGTTGGTGTGTTGATGCTTTGCTTTGGATCACGATACGCCGGTGTTCAGCCAATGAGTTGGATTAACATTTTGTACCTCTGCGTCGCTGTGTGTGGGTTTTTTAGGCCTGCAGGCCTACCGTGCCTACCGCGAACGGCGCAGGCGTATTTTGGCTCAGAGACACATCGCCCCCATTGTGAAATTACTCGAGCGGGGTCTTTTTGCCACATTTTTCCGCCAATAGTGGCAAAAAGACCCCCCTGGATCGGTCCCTTTTGGATTTCACAGCTCAATGTGCTGCAACGGGCATGGCCATGGCGCTGCTGCGGTGTGCCTTCGTTCCTGTGGCCAGCTACCCGAGCGGGGAAGCCTGGGTTTGGCGAGCACTGGCGGTGAAACTCAATGGGGACCTGGCTTCAAACAGTTTGGTGGGCAATAAATACCCAGACAAATGAAGTCCGCAGGGGACCAGTTGAATCTCAGACCCAGCCTGGGTTGCTTGCTTGTTGCTGTCACTATTCAGTGGGCGGCCGTTGCCCTCAATGGAGCCTTTCTTTTGTAGAGGGCGGCTTTGACATGAGATTGGTCGTGGAATGTGTGAGGTTGTTAGAGTGGGAGATTCTCTCAGGCTTGGGCAAAATCACCTCATTTCGTCCCCGCTGGGCTTGCTTCTGGCAGGCATTCGAAGCCTGCGGCAGGTGGGCAAGCGGAGTAAGTGGAGTAAGTGGAGGGTGAGGGTGGGGCCTGGCAAGAGGGGTAGGGCATCACAGCCCGCGGAAACCCAAAGTCAAAGGAGTGTTGCAGATGTTCAGAAGCAGACTTCATCATGTCAACCTAGCAGCTGTACGGGAGGAAACCGATGCAGAAGGCTTGGGAAGAACCTCCTTCTGTTGCGCTCCTCATCCACAGCAAAAATATCAAAGGGCGTGCCCTTGTTGCCTTAGCCGGGGCAGAGCTCAAAGGGGCCTCACCCCCCAGCCTTTCTTGGAGTTTGTGGCAAATTATGGAGGGTTGCTCCTCCACAAGCTTCAGAGTGCAAGAGTTTGCACATTGCCTTTAGTGTTGCAGCTTGTTGCAGTTGGTAGGCTCTTTCCCAAAAACGCCAACAGGTGGTTGGCATGTAATGAGTTGCGTTTTGGCAGGGTCACGCTCCTGAGGTTTCTTCACTGCGTCACATGCTGGGGCTCAAATGGTTTCCTTCAACTTCGTTGTAATCAACTTTCGTTCGGGTTTGTTTCCGTGTTGCTGGCAACATTTGAACGTCTTATTGCAAAGCTGCTTGGCCCCATAAGAGCGTAGGTTTCCGCTGGGCGGCATGCCAGCTTGTCGCACAAAAGGTGGCAAAAGGGCCCAACCTGGAACATAATTACCCTTCACAGATTTCGTTTATGGAATCGGTTCACACATGGTTTGGACTAGGTGAATAGATGGCAGCACTGGCCCTACCTTTTCTTCCGAGTGATCTGCACCAGGTAGAAAGCACCATGCAAACAACCCTGCCAGGGTGGTCGTTGCCTGGCGGCGGGTGAGAAGGGTGCGCCCAGCGCATTTGCTGAGTGCCCTGTTGAGTTTGGAGGGGTCCTTATAACCTTGTTTTTTCTGAAGTGTGAGTTGCCTGTATGTTGAGAGATGCACTTCCTGGTGGGTGATTGTCCGGGCGTTGTCCCCTTTTTTTGAACTGTAGGGGTTCTGAAGGGACTTTCGCTCACACGGCACTGCGGCTGGGGAAGAATTATCCATTGTTTGTGCAGCGCGCTGACTGTCTTCCCAGCAAACGAGTCATTGGCTGCATTTGAGAGCCTCGATCAATCCATGGGCCGCCAAATCCAACACAGGCGTCGTGCGTTTTTTTTGGGGGGGTAAGATTGAAACAAGGCCTTGGTCCGACCTTGGCTGCTTTGCACTGGCCAGGGGTGGTTCGACCCGTCTGCCGTTGCCGGCATTGTGGCCGCTTGATGCCCACCCGCAATGCGCTCTTTCGACACTTGCAGGCGTCCAGGGCATGGGGTGTCCGGAAATGGGGGCGGAATAGAAGCCTAAAGCAGACCGCGGGTGAGATTTGGGCCTGCTCAAGTAGTACTGCTTAGTTGTTTGGAGTTCCCCGAAGGCTGGCCCAGTATTGCTTTTAGAATTGGTTTAGTGTGCTGGCTCAGACTTTCACTGCGAACGCGCGCCTGTATGAAATTCTCGTAGGAGCCCCCGTGGCCCTTCTTGAAATGCAAAGTGGACTCAAAAAGCCGCGCGCTGGCAAAAGACCATGGTATCTCCAAGGGCATCAGTTCACGTGCAAGTGGGCCCAGAAGAAGGCGAGGCGTGTGGTTTGGAACGCCAGGTGGAGGACCATTGCCGAGAGCTCATGTGCCAGGAGGCAGGAGCTGTTGAGGGTACATGGGACACACCACCTCTTAATTTCCAAACCAGCCGGGCTCCAAGCCGCCAACCAGAAGGAAGCCCACCTCCTTGCTCTCCAAGACAATCCAAACCATCAACAAAACTTGGTGGCTCCCAGCCATCCCCTTGCCTTTTGTTTAGTGTTTAGTGGTAGTTTCCACGTAAACCACTAAAAGTTAGTCACTTTTAGCGGGGGATCAGAAAACGGGCAGCCCAGAAAAGAGAGAAGCGAGCCAAGTCTTCGCGTTTCCACCTAACGGGGATCTTCTTTAGTCGTTCTCGCCAGGACCCCGCCGGCGCTGCGGCAGCTCCTGCCTCAGATATGCGAGAGGGCGGCTGGGTGAGGACGGCTCCCCAAGTGGCCAGGTCTTTGTGCTGGCATGCGTTCTTATAGGGAAACCAACGAAGCCAAGGAAACGCCTGGTTTGGGTAATGTTGACCCCGGATAAATCAACCCTGGTTGATGAATATGGGGGTGGAAACCCCTCCAAAAGTGGTCTGAATCCCCACTAAAACCGGGGACACTCCCATATTAATAAACAGGGGGTTATATATTTATCCGGGGTCAACATTAAAGGGAAACCAAGCGGGTGGATGCGGGGTGCCCAATGTGAGCGCTCCATGCCAAGGAAGCCACCAGGAATGCATTGGGTTTTTTTTTGTGTTCTTTTCTGTGTTCTTTTTTTTCCCATTTTTTTGGGGGGAGACCCAAGCTTCGTGGGGCTTCCCCCCTTGCTTCTCCTTCCGCCTTTTTCGGGTCCAGCACCTCGCTTCCGAGGTGCTCCGGAGTGCTCCCTGGTGCACTGTCGCCCTGCTGGTGAGCTATGCGGCTGGAGGCCCCCTGGCATAGACCCCCAGGAGGTTGAGGAAAATCATGTTTTTTCTCGAAATGTTCCAAGCTTCCATTTTCTGAAACTAATATTTTTGTGATTTTCCCTTGGTGGGTTTAAAAGGAGTTTATCACTATTGGACATATTTTTATTGTTTCCAGGCGTCTCAACCAAATGGAAGCAAGTGGTTGCAATGAAGCAACAGTTCCATAGAGGTTCGACCAACCTGCAAAACATAAAATGACATCCGCAAGGCGGGTGCAAGCGACGCGCTGGCGAGGAATATTTGCAAAGGCGTTGTCACCCGCATGCGGTGTGGAACTGGCTATCTTGAGGCGAGTGAGGATGAAAATGAGGAGACCCCAAACCTAGATACTCCATAAAATTCGTCCATTTGGTTAAGAATATGTTTTTAGTTTTCCTGTTGGTTTTCAAGGGATCCTATCACTATACTGGTCATATTTTGTTTTTCTAAGGGACTTAAGCAAATGCAGGAATTTGGGCTACTGGTAGCATCATGGGAAGTTCAGGGCCACGGCAATTTGGGTGAACAACTAATATTGGTTCATGTGTCTTACATCAGGGATATCGTTTTGTTGTAGGTCCCCCTTGCATTTATTTTACATGTGTGCATTTCAGTTGACATGTTTTGCATTGTGCTGAATCGCGCCTTTGCACTTGGTTTGGTTTGTGAAAGCAGGCTCTTGACATGCAATCGCGACAGAACAACACACACAAAGAAAAAACAACAACAACAAAGACAAACACGTGTGAACGCAAAGCGAACCCACCTTCTGACATCTGCCTGCTGATTTGACTTACCCAGCCTGATTCAGACATTTTGCATAGGGCCATGTTTTGCGTGGACTGTGGATTTGGCGCACGTAGCCAGCTGCAGCTGTAGCTTTGTGAACCGCCTGCAACACGAGATCCCAAAATTTAATAGAAGAAACGGCTTCCCAAGCCAGATGTAAATGTGCACTTCTTCCCACACAGCCGCACTCCCCCCCAAAAAAAGAAAAACAACACAAGCAAAAACATCATACACCAAGTTCATCCTTCACATCATACACCAATTTCATCCTTCATGTCCTTCATTTCGAGCCGGAGCCTCCGCTTCTCTGGGCCTCAAGCGCGCAGGCCATGCCGCGGCACGCCGCTTGGCCCTGCGCTGCCTGAAGGCGACGGGCGACGAGGCCGCGCTGCAGATGTCCCAAGCTGGAGATGCGCTGCTGAGGCTCGTGGTGCGGGGTGGTTTGGCTTGAAGGTATTGTGTTAATGATTTGTTCCATCCCTTTGTGCTAATTGTGTTTGGCTTGAGGGCAGAAGCCCAGGAAACCCACGGACATCCATCAGCCTTTTAGCCAGACGACAGTCATGTCGCACCGCAGGCGGCAGCTTCTCGCAGATTGCGGACAAGAGCAGGCACTGCCGTGACGCTGTCCAAAGGCAAACAATTGGACACCAAAAGTGTGTGACCCTTTGGCTTTTTGCAAAGCCACAAACCAACATGTTTTCTTGCCAACAATCAGCTTTGGGGGGAAGCGCTTAATGATTACTTGCGCCATTGCAGGAAGGCAAATGCATGATTGCTGTCGCACACTCGTGCGGGGAGAATCACAAATTTCCCGACTGAAAGTTATTCGCTTGTTGGGGATCTGAAAGCGGACACAGAGAGAGGACCTGCAGCCAGGTGCTCAGTTCCTCAGGGGGTGCGCTGGCAGATGTTTTGTCCGCCCGAGTGCCGGTGCACATCCCGCTGCCGCGCGCGGGAGAGCCATTTCGTGTGGGCTTGATGAGAGGCAGCTGTGCAAGGGGACTACTTGTCACCCCATGTCCGAACTGAGCATACCCCAAAATCAGCGGCCTTCCTTGGTTATACAGGGGTTGTGCAGGAGACATTGTGCAGTGTTCATTTTGGGGAAGTTAGGCAAGGAGAAGTTGGGTGATGCATGGTAAACTCCCATCTGAAACGGATCCTATAGGAGCCCGAAGCTACTGACAAAGAGGCGATATTGTCGGCTTTCAACTGGCGGTTTTGGATGGGGAAGCTCTTCGGGTGATCAAATTCAAGGTGGGTATATGACAAGTCCTGTCCATCAGCATCACTATGTTCGTTGAGGTGCTGTTTGAGAGCAGGCTCACTCTTATCAACTCTGCGCGGGTTTGTGTAAGAATCGAAGGAACCTGATGTTGCTGGTGCTCAGTAGGAATTGAGGGGATGAACCCAGAGGTCCCCCGAAAGGAAACCACAAGGGATGGGTGGCTCAAAACTAAACAGCTGGGGTTACGCAGGGTTTAGTCTTCGGTTCCATTTGCCAAGGCATTTTTTTCACATTCCCTACCTATCGCATCAGCAAGTTCTGTCAGGAGCGGTGTCAGCTGACGTGCAGATCTTGGGCGCGAGCCTTGCGCCCAGCAACTTTGAGGCGGAGGCGGATTGCACTCGCAGGGACTACTGCTGCTTGGACAGCAGGGCAAAGGCTGCCTTGGGGGGGGGGGGGGAGGCGGGCGCATGGACGCAGGACATGTCGTGATTTTAGGATGGTGTTGTCTTTAATGGGCGAGTTACAATGGGCATGTCCAGGTGGGAATAAGGTAAATGTGTATGTATATGTATGTATATGTATGTATATGTATGTATATGTACGTATATACATGACATATGCACATAGAATATGCACATATAATGTTACATATCATCTTGGCTTGTTGGGCATGTGGAGGAGATGCGCTTCGGATTGGACAGAGCAAGCTGGCCCGAACACTCAATGAACAAGCTCGCTTGGCTGGCCAAGTTCCAGGCCCAACGGGCGCCATCAGGCTGTTGATCCCAGGCGCATGATGGAGGGCAGGGCTTTGCTTTTGATCATTCGACCATGGTTTCCCCAGTCATGCTTGAAGCGTTTGACAGATTTGTGGCTGAGTTTCAGTGAGCCTCACGAATGTTTGAAAGGGGAAAAGGGCTTTGAGCTGTGATGGCCAAGGCTATTTGCTCCCGCTCTGGGCGCTGTGTCCGGAGGTCTCTGGTCAGCGCAGCTTGGCGGCAGTGATGGAGGTCAGGCCCAGAGACGTCAAAGGGATGGCTGTTGGCCCCTTTGACAGTTGAATTGGGGCACAGGCGGCCCTTCTATAGTCCCTTCAGTAGGTGCACATAGTTGTTCCTTTGACAGAGACGTGGGTTGGAGTTTGCTCTGGGAGATTTTAAGTTGCAACCCAACTCACAGAGTGTCAAACCATTCGCCCCTTCAAAGTCCATGGGACTTCGGCCCACCTGTGTCAGGGAGGCACAGGGGACAGGGGTCAGCATATTTCCTCCAACTCTGCCTTTCTTGGGCGTTCCAAGAGCCAACCTTTTGTTTCAGCTACACTTTGTGACAGGAGGTTCCTTCAGAAGGAAAAGGGTCCAAGCCAGTACCGCCCCGAACGTCAGGTTCCATGTTAAATGGAGGGCGCTCTATGTTCGATGCTTGGGCATAGGTGTCCTTTGTGGTTGTCTTGCTCGAAAAGTAGATGGCGATTCCTGGTTTACCTGGTGGTTTAATCATCTACCAGGCAAACCCATCTATTTCCCCCTAAAAGGACACCTATGTGTTTGGGGCTCCAGCCACCTTTGCGGAGCGGAACTCTGGAGGCTCGGAGCATCGACGGGGGGCGCTGCGGAGGCTCAAGGCGCTGCTGCGCCGCGCCGGGGCAAAGCTGCGGGAGGCGCGCCGGATTTTTTTTTTGGGTGCTGCTGCCCAGGAAACCCTGGCTGCTGATTCGATTCCCCCAGAAATGCCAAGGAACCCTGGTTTCTGATTGGATTCCACCGTAAATACCAGCAACCATGGCTTCCCATGGTTTGAATGTGGTGCAGGATTTCGTCCATCCACAGTAGGCGTGGCCAACATTGGGGGGTTGTGCTTGTCGGGTCTTTGGTGTTGGTGGGTTTCGGTCGGTGCTGTGTAGGGTTGCCGCATGGGGCTCGTGGAGTTGACATGTTTTGCCCTTGGAGCGGCCCACTGCCAGGGCTCCTGGAGCTGGCAAAGCTTCGCAGACGGGGACTTGACTGAGCTCCAGCGGCGAGGTAGGGTTTCTGAGCGATGCTTTTTTTAGGGAACCTCCAGTTCCCTGGCGATGGGTTCAATGGAAACCAGATTGATATCAACCTTGGGGTAACTCCAGTGACCCCGTAGAATGGGGCTGGCCAAGTTCAACCTTCGGCTTGACCAACTCCAACTGGGTTTCTTTGCCCGGAGCCCAAATGGTGCCAAAACTGGTTGCTCAATGGCCAACTGCCCAAATTGTGGCAACCAACCAAAAACCCCCGCCTCATTGCCTCATGGACTCATGTCTCGCAGTGGGTTTTTCTACAGGCGCCATGGCCCATGGCCTGCCTCGCCTGCCGCCAGGCAAGGGTGTCAGCAGCCACATCAGCAGCCTGAAGGCCAGCGAGGTGAGCCTCAGCTGGGGCCCGCCTTTCGGCAGCCCAGGGGATTCCGCGCGTGTTTTTTTTTTTTTTTTTTTGGGGGGGGGGGGAAGGGGAAGGGAAACCCGATTCCTGTATCACTCAAGCATCCAAAAAAAAGAGGGATTCCTTTTGTTTTGCTTCCGTGGGAACCTACTGACCATCTGAGTCTTCCTCCCACATGATGCCTTCTCAAAATGGACTTTCGGACCACCGGAAAGCCAACAGGAAACCGTCAAGATTTGAGGAAGCTGGAGAAACCTGCAATTCTTTGGGCAAACTGGGACACCCCTTCAGTTTGCTGTGAGATCAGCGCATGACTCGCATGGCCGTGGGTTCCGAGAAACGCCTTCAAAACTGCTGGGGGAGCAAAAGTCCCCACCCTGATCTGTTTGGCGGTTGTCCGCAGGTTTCACGATCCACTGTTGGTGTCCTCGGGTCCAGGAGGTGACCCAACCGGGAACCTAAACAAAAGACTCGGGGGTGCTCACCCTGTGAACGCGACTGCCTAGCTTCCGAACCGAATTCGCTCTTGCTGCCGGTCATCAGCACGTACAGTATTCCGTGAAAAACATCAGCGTGCATCAAGCTAGAATGCAACCACTAGCCCAAGCCTCATCCCACAAGCTTGCCTGGCTTTCAACTTTCAGCATAGGACATGTATTGCGCGCTGCTTGCTGGGGGGCGACTAACCGGTGACGTGTGATTGGATGCCCCCAACAAGCAAAGCAAACTTGCATGGTCGCAATCCTGCTGTCATTGCCGCGCCGAGGTGCGTTCTGATAGACATCTCCGGTATCTCGGCAGATTTGCTCTTGTCCCTGCAGAAAGCATGAAGCAAGCTTGGCACTTGACGCTCTCTCTGTCAAGTTAAGTTTCCGCGGCGTCAGTGGGACGTGGCTTCTGGGTTCAGCGCCTGTTTGTCCGAAACCAGGTCACAATGATCTTTTTATTGTTGCCGCAGTGCGCGCACGGCTTTGTGTTATTAGATGTCGGGCCTGGAGTTCAAGGCAACTTGTTCAAATTGGATTCCAAGCGTGGCTGAAAAAATCCACGGCTTAAAAGCTCGCCGGAAAGGCTGGATCCCGGCACTGGCGGCGCAAGGGGCTCTGAGAGTCTAAGTGGTGCTGCGCTGAAAGCCAAAAATGCCCCCAGCTTGGTGAGGGAGTGAGTTGGGACTTCTCGGGCAAACGAAGGACTCCCATGGAGAAGGGGCCTTTTGAAAGTACCTACTCCCATCCCCAGGAGCATGCGAAACTGGAGGCTGTGCTTGTTTAGGGTTTTCGCCCTGCTTTCCCATCCGACTAAGTCATCAAAAGGCGCACCGAAGGTTATTGAGCCAATCAGTTATTGTAGTTACGAATACTCAGATGTATTGTTGGTCCCATTCTAATCAACCCTTGTTTGCTAATAGGGGGTGCCCCTCCAAAAGTGATGATTCCCCACTAAACCCGGAAATGCCCCCCCTATTCATAAACTGGGGTTGGTGAATCTGGGGTCCACATCCTTGAGCCGCCGCATCGATTCGCGCCTAAGTGACGTATGTTCCGCATGCCTTTTCTTCGCGAGGCGACTACTTCCTGGGAGGCCAGTGCCAGCGTCTGGTGTCGCTGTTGCTGGCCATTTTCCACGGCTGGCTGCCGGAGGAAACCCTGGAAACAGCGCTGCGGGAGGAGCTGGAGCTGGTGAAGGCGCCTGAAGCCAGGGGGTCGCTCCCGGAAGGCGAAGCCAAGGGTCTGCACTGGATGGGTTCATGTGGCATTTTAAAGGGGCAACCGAGAAACCGCCTCTGTTCTGGAGGACTCTCTCTGGTTGGTTGGATTGTTTCAAGGACGCCCGAAACGCATTTTCCCTCCGACTTTCAATTGGAGGCCCCAGAGGAGTTTCTGTTCCTGCGCCGGTGCGGCTTTGCAGAGCTCAGCCGCCGAAATGAGCAGCTCCTGGAGGACGTCAAGGTGATCGAGGCGAGTTGGTTGTCAGACACGCTTGATCTGAGCCGGGTAGATGAAGGGCTCATAAGGGATAGTGCAATCGTAAATGGGGGGCGGGGGTTCGCCGCCCTTTTTACTTCTTTACATGGTTCTGGGTAGATCATTTTAATACCAGGTTTTGATTCTGATTACGACTCATCTCCCTCTAAGCTCCCCAGAAAGGGCTACCAACCTAAAACGTATTTCATTGCTACTTGCAGGGACACCACCCCTTACTAGAAAAGTGGGCGGAAGCTTCAATCATACAAGACATATATGTTGGAGCACGCTTCTTTTGCTGTTTTCTTTTTCTTTTTCTCCTTCTCTTTATCTTTCTTCTTGTCGTTTCCTTCTTTCCTTCCTTCCTTCCTTCCTTCCTTCCCTCCCTCCCTCCCTCCCTCCCTCCCTCCCTCCCTCCCTCCCTCCAGCCCACGAAAGTGAACAACGCAGTAAACTACGTTGTTTACGGTTGGCCCAGCGGAGGTCCGCAGCAGGTGCGCCCTTTGCTGGTTGCGCAAGCTGGAATCGGAGAAAAAAAAAAAAACACATGAGCACCACAAGTTTTTCCAGGTTGACCCCCAGAAAGTCCGCAGAGGGGTTGCACGAAGCAGCCACAAGTTCTTGGAGCTGCAAAGGCATCTCTTCAAAACGCGCAAAAAGGCGCGGTCCAGGCGGACGTCCTGGAGCGGGTCTGTGCTGCTCCCGAGCTGGCCAGGCGCTGGCTGCCGCAGCTCAAGTGCTGGGCACAGACATTCAGAACGGTTGGGACAGGCGGGGGGGGGGTGCAGCTCTTAAGATGATGCCATGGAAGACACACTTGGTTCCATTTGCAGAGGCCTTCTGGGAGCTTCCATGTTATGGGAGGTGGAAGATTCGGTTCCAGAGGCCGATTGAGGGAGCTTCCGGCTGTTCGTGGGGAGTGTGCATGCAACATGTTGAGCTGGACACTTCTAGTGACTGGGTTCAAGACGGCGGGCTGCCCACGCGCCCATCCAGGCGCGCACCTGCCCGCGGCCACCTGCCGCCTTCCGGCCGCGCCTGCTGCCGCGCCGGAGGAGTACGGCCGCTGCCTCGGTCCAGCCTGGCCCGGAGCTGGCGGATCTTTTCCTCCCGTTTGGGTGTGGGTCAAAATGAAACCACCAAATGGACCGCAGGTTTCAATCCTTGGTTCCATTTTACCAGGGTTTTGTTTTGGGTACCTATTTTTGACCCACAGCCATTTCTGGCTGGTGCGATAGCTAGGTCCCCCAGCTAGGGGCCCTTCCTCTCCCCTTTTTTGGTTGGGAGGGTTCCCCTACTGAAATAGACTACAGAAAAAAGGGTGGCCTTATTCTAACCTCTCTACTGGGGGACCTAGGATAGGTAGGGAATGACCGAGTCCGGGTGGTTGGAATGAACTGTTTGGGGACTCCCTGAAAGGAAACCATAGGATGGATGGTTTATAGGGCTCATTCCACTTCTCATTCCCTGCTGGGAACCAGCAAGACCACACGGCACTCTTAGAGAGAGGCTTAGAGGTGATTTTGCAGCAAACCGGGAGCACGGCATCGGTCTCATCAAAACAGTGGTACGTTCGGTAAATCGGGGAGGACTAGTCGCGCATGCAAATGTTGGACCCTTCCGGAATCAACCGCCTTCAAGTGCCTCCCCCGCCCCCAAAAAATCAACAACAACCTTCAACTTATTCAGGTACTCCCCCCCCCAAAGACCCTTCCACTTGTTGAGGCCCCCTCCCCCCAAAGAACCTTCAACCAACCAAGGTACCTTCCCCCCCCCCCCAAAAAAAAGGGAAAAAAACACGCAACAAACACAAAAAAGGACAAACAACAAGCACCACATGACAAGACAAAAAAACAAATTCCACTTTTTGCACCAGACACCCACGGCGACGTCAAGCGCCACGACCTGAGGCGAGGTCTTGGCGCTGCTGCGGCGCCTGGCGAGGGGCGGGTGGCCGAAGCCCAGCCGCGCGCGGGCGCGGCTGCTGAAGGGCGAAGGCGCGTCCTCCGACGGCCAGACCGCGCGACGCGCGACGCGCGCGCGTCGCGCGCGCGTTGCGCGCGTGCTTGGCGCGTCAGTCTGAGGGCTTGGGAGGGTCAAGCGCTCCAAGAGATTGGTTTGATTTCTGTTATCTTTGATCTTGGCAAGCTGCCCCCGAAAATTAGTGGAAGGTTCTTTGTGGATGTGATTATGTGCAGCTCGTTTGGAGTGCCTGGGAGAGACTGTGCTTCAGCTACCATGGGGGCCACGTCTTTCGGCTGGGACTTGGCGCAGCACTTTGCAAACGCTTGCGGTTTGATGGGCTTTGCGTGCGGGGAAACATCTGATCAAGGTGCCATAAGGGCCAGCCCGCGCTTAAGGCCTAGAGGCCTAGAGGCGGATTGTCACACCCTCTCAAACTTATTGCGCAAGGCTCGGGTCCAAAACTCACCCGCGCAGGTCGCATATGTAGGATAGGGCTCAGGGCTGTGGTTTTGAGCTTCAGGCGCATGGGGCAAATTTCATTAAGCAGATGTGCCACAACAGGAGGGCTCATCTATGGTGCCTCTGTCTCTTGATCCCCGCTCATTTTGTGTCCCCACACTTTTGCGCGAGGCGGAAGCTTTTCTTTGGGCTTTGTCGGCCCCTTGGCAAGAGAGCTCCGGTCCGTACGTGTCGCAAGACAATTGGAAATCAACGCTGGTTTCCAACATGTGCTGAATGTTTTTCAGTGCAGGTCTTCCAGATGTGACCATGTTTCTTAGGCAGGGAACCTTCTCAGGCACAGGCATCTTGTGGTGGGCTGTGCAGTTTTCCTCACGCCTTAGCCTCATCGCGGGTTCCGAGCCGTTTCCCTTGAAAGGGATCCTCCAGTTCCTGTCGTTTGCAATCGCCATTCGCCTCTATGGTCTTCAAAGGAAATCCAATGGTTGCCACAACCCCAAAGGAACAGGGGGCCTCCCAAAAAACACCCATTCGACCCCCATCCGCCGCCATGCGTCGACGTCGACCCCCATCAGCCCCCCCCCCCAGCAGCCCCCCGCCCCCCGCGCGATGGAGCGATCGCTGCGAGTCGAATCCGAGGCTCGGGGCAGGCGCTGCCGGGGAACGGGGCCTTCCCTGAGTTCCTGGGCCCCGTCTTCGCGCTGGAGCGGCGCCTCAGGCCCACCCGCAGCTCCGCCGTGGCGGCTCGGAGTTGAGGTCCTCCCCCCCAGAGAGCCAGTGCCAGGAGCTTCAATGAATGACTGGAAGCTTGGAATGTTGAGCTCCCTTGAATTTTCTATAGTTGCAACGGGGTTGCAAAAAGGAACTGGGAAAAATCATACGGTCGTGGAGTCGTGGGCTATGGCCTGCTTTCGATTTTTGTTTTTCAGAGGCCTGCTTATAATATGCTTGCAGCGTTTTGATAGGATACTGTGCTGGGAGTGGCTATGGCTATGTCACGAGATATGTTGGCCATGCCCAAAATGGGGAGTTGAAGGAAAGCAAAGGGAAGCCATCAATTTTCAAGGGGCCATTGACATTCAGCATTGCTTGGCTCCGGCACGTATAAGTCTGCGACCTTCTCTTGGCCACCTAAGGCAATCAGTTTTTTCCCTTGCGCTCTTTCCGGCCCATCCGTTGGCCGGATCGGCTGAGGCAGCGGTGAATTGCGACGCGGCTGCACTCGAGCACTGGGCCTTTTTTTTGAGAAAAAAACAGCATCAGGAGGAAACAGCCCTGGCACCTAGTCTCTGCCTGACTTCCTTCTGTTGCTTGAGGCAATGCCGCCTTTGCTCCGCACCGTGACGGCGGCTGCTTGGCGGGGAACACCCATATGGGCGTGTGACTTTTTCGTGGGCTTCAAACGGGCAAGCGAAAGAAAGCCCCAATTGTGTGGCCTCCCATTTTGAGATGACATATGTCAGCAACTATGGCAAGCTGCGCATGGAGCCATCCCAATCCTGGGTCCTTCCTTCGGTGATTGGTCATGAAAGGCCGTTTGACTGAAACTCTGACGACTTTCGTGGGTCAAAGACCTTTTTTTCGGGAGCCGTTTAGGGGCTCCAGCTCCAAACTTTGAGGGTGTTCGCTGTTCTTAACCAAATGTCGGTTGAAACCCCAGGGGCATCAAAAGCAAACCAACTTGGAAACCAACATTTTGGTTGGGGTCCTTTTGAGTCCCCTCACTTTTTGTTGCATGATTTTGTGGGTGCCTTTGTGTGGGAGGTCAACCCCCCCCCCCATTTTGTGGTTCCCGTGTTTCCTCATGTTGAGCTCTCCGGAGGCTTGGGGCACCAGTCCACCAGCCTCATCGTGGGCTTGGGGGACTACACGGGCGGTGAGCTGTGTGTGGATGGCGTCGTGGCGGACATCCGGCGCCTCGGGTCGGACACCTTGGGCTTGGGCCATGGGTCCAAATTTTTTTATACCAGGAGACCGCAGATGGTGGTCTCTTGTTCCATGTGCCGGGTTGCCCCCCCCAGTTTGAAGTGACCCAGTTTTTGACCCAGAGCCACATTGATGGGCCATGGGCCTGCCAACCAAAAGAGGAAAACCCCCAAAAGAGGCGGAGCCAATTCCTCGAAAATGCTGAATGAGCTGCAGCTTCTTGGGCCTGTTCGGTCTGTTTGCCAGTGGGCTTAGTCAAGGAAAATCACTGGCTCAACTTGGTGGCTCCCAGCCATCCGGTTCCTCAACATTTTAGAAATGTTTAGTGTTTAGTGGTTGGATTTCTATTCAACCCACTACTGTAGGGGTTGAACTATCGTGCTTTTCAAAAACTGGCTGTTTCGCCTGGGTTTTGATGGCTTCCTGAAAAGAAGGATCCCTGGAAAGAATGGGGAAGGTACCCCTAGAACTACATGTTAGTCACTTTTCGCGAGGGATCTGAAAGCGGATCGCCCAGCCACATGCGCTTATGGCCATCGGAGGTACCAGCCTTTGGACTTCCACGGTGGCCGGCAGAAGCATTGGACTCTGCCCTTCCAGGGTGAGCGCTTCAGCATCGTGTGGTTTCTCGGTTCAAAGCGCAGCGACCAAAATGATCTGACCTTTTGGTGTTTTGGCCTTTTTGGTTTTTCAAGTTGGTTTGGTTGTCCCCTTTTTGGTTGTTCCCCTTTTTTTCGTCTTCTTGGTTTTCCCCTTTTTGGTTTTAGTCTTTTTGGTTTTCCCCTTTTTGGTTTTCCCCTTGTTGGTTTTCGCCTTGCTGGTTTTCCCCCCTTTTTAGTACGCGCCGGGTACATAGCCACCCGCACCTTTTTTTCCCACGCACGGAGCTCGTGCGTCTATTCTCAGGCAGTTTGACAAGTACGCATGTTTCCGGGTTGTGGGACACCCCGGTAGCAGCCGAATGTCAGGTCAACATGTGTAGTTTTGGACCAAGACAGCACATATGGCAGTGAGCGGCGGGTGTGCTTATGCGCCAGCGTGCTTGTGCTCTGACGTGATGCGCTTGAGCGGGTGTGCTTGTCATATGCCAACGCGCGTGCACCTCTGACGTGACGCGCGTGAGCGGGTGTGCGTATCATGCGCCAGCGTGCCTGCAGCTTTGAGCGGGTGTGCTTATCTGACGTGATGCACGTGAGCGGGTGCGCTGCTCGTGCGCCAGCGCGCGCGTACAGCTTTGACATCATGCGCGGGAGCGGGTGTGGTTGTCATGTGCCAGCGTGCGCGCGGATCTGACGTGATGCGCGCGAGCGGGAGTGCCTATCATGCGCCAGCGCGCGTGCAGCTCTGACGTGACGAGAGTGAGCGGGCGCGCGTGTCATGTGCCAAAGTGCGTGCAGCTGTGCTGTGACGTGACGCGCGTGAGCCGGCGTGCTTATTATGAGCCAGCGTGCGTGCAGCTCTGACTTGACTTATGCGCCCTACTGCGTGCAGCTCTGAAGCGATGCGCGTGAGCGGGTGTGCTTATCAGGTGCCAGGGGCGTGCAGCTCTGACGTGATGCGCGTGAGCAGCCACTTGGACATGGGTAAGTACCCGGCACCCTTGAGTAGAGGTCTCAAAAGCTGATCAGATCACCATATATTTCTAGCTGTGGGCAAGTGAGGTTTACCCCTGGCTCGGACTGAACGACGTGTGAAATTCGCGCAATACGATCCCGTGGCTCCGTACATGGCTTGAACGTGGGCAACGACGTCCACCACGCGCTCGGGGTGCCATTCGCAGGGACGCGCTCACAGCACTAGGCTGCTGTACCTGGTGACGGACTGGACATCAAGCTGAAGCTCAACTGAAATCTGCGGAATTTGCTGACAGGCTGAAATGCGAAGAATGAGAGTCGCATGGCGCAGGGCAGGCGAGCACCAGCAAAAAGGAAGGCTCCTGCATGCTTGCCAGTTGCTTCAGGCAAATAGGGTTGTTTTTCAGCACACCCCGGAAATGGACAAGTACTTCTTTGAAGGTTCTATTCCTGCGTTTTGTTGACCATCCGCGTTGCAATCCACGATGTCCCGCGGTCCAGAATGCATACAACGCTCATTTCCAAGAGGATATATCTGAAAGTTCCCTTGACGCGGCAGCTGGAAAACAAGCTTCAAGATGCACTCCTCGTCTTCGGTGGCTTGAGACTCGTGGCCATCATTTTGCAACTGCCACTCAGGCTCGAGAACCGGCGAGCCGAGAGGCGGAAGCCCATGCACGATGTCATTGCCATAATTTTGCGGAGTTTTAAGGGGGAGGAAGTTACAGGACGCTTTGTTGCTGACTAACATCACAAGAGTTCACAAGACCTTACGAGTATTTAAGACAACTCGCAAGCCCCAGGCATTTGCAAAAACCCAGCTGCGAACATTCCACCCTGCCCACTTAAGGGACTGCTGGAACTCGTCAAGCGGCCAAAGTCTTCGAGGTTCCGGGGGAAATTCTTCAGCGGGTTGCACACCTTTCTCCGAACATCTTCACACTAGATCTGGATTTGAGTGTCAGGACCACATGAAATTCAGTCATTTCCCCTTCACTTGGTGACCTTTTGGGACACTCTTTCTGAAAAGTTGCTTGGGGCAAATCCAAGGAATTGTAGGCTATGGACCCCTGGCGGTTTCTCTTTGCTTTCGTTCCACGATTTGTGGAAAAGTATGTCGGCTTCCATGGCGTCCTCGCCCGGCCGGGAGTCGGACCTGCTGAACTGCCATTTCTCCGTGCCCGGGCTCTCTCGGGTGGGTTCCGGTGGCAATCTGAGCGTTTGGGAGTGTTCCGGGCCCCCAAGATGCGCTGGACACTTGGATCTTTGTTTCCCTGGAGGAAAAAACAAAGGAAGACGTTGGGCATTGTGGGAAAACTCCGTACTTTGCAGTTACGCTGGTGACTTCAACAGGCTCCCACTGCACTGACTGTCCCTGCTCGCGTGTTCTTTTTTGCGTGGCCGCGCGGCTTGCAGGGCTTGTTTCTCCTTGTCACTCCCTCTCCCGCGTGCTTTGGTGAAATTCCAAGTGTTCCAAAGAACCCCGTTCAATTCACGCATCAATTTCAGGGTTTGGGATTGGTTGTTCCCCACGAAGCAGGAACAAGGTTTAATGAGTTCTTTTGCAGCTGTTTCGTGTGGTTCAATACTTCATAATGTATGGCCGGAAGAGTGGGGCAAGGCGGTCAGCCAAACTTACCCGGTTGAAGGTTCATTTAGAGGCGCTGCAACAGAGTGTCATGTTGACAGCTCGATGGCCGGGTGTGGGTTCCACTGCATGGTCCCTGAGGGCTCTCTTGGTCACCAGCTGTCACTAATGATCACAAATCGTCGCAGTCTCCAATAGCGATTCCTGGGTTGCCATGATGTCCTCGCTGTGGCAGCAAATCAGTTATTTTGGCTCGCGAAATGCCACGGCAAGCAGTAACCCCTCTTAAACCTGTCGAGTCTGCTGTCAATTTGCTTGCTGGCATGGAATCTGAGGAAAGTTTCTTTGATTGTGGGAAGCAATGTTTCCCTTGTACGCGGCACCCCAATAAAGTTCCCACTTAGTGACTTAGTGGCTTGTGGGTGGGAGCGTCGCAGCGTCGCTGCAAAGGGCAAGTTTCCAGGGCATTCCCCTCGCTTGCGTTTCAAAAAAGTGGCAGTCATTGCAGCACCTTCCTCTCAAGTCTCCAGCAGTGGAGTTGTGGTGTTTGGTTTTCAGCAAATTCATCTCAGATGGCCATGGTGGAGTGGAGTTTGTCCATTGTTTTTCTTACATGCCATATTACGGATTACGGATTAGGATGTAGAATGTCCCATTGTTTGGCCCAGTTGGACAGCCACCCAAAAGGCATCCAAACAAGGGCACCCAAGCTGGCTTATTCAAAATCAATCCTGAATCCAGATTATGCCAGATGGTTGTGATTTCCCCTAGCCTTTGTTGAATGCCCCGCTACAATCAAGACTGGAGATTCCCCCCCCTTGGACCATTTGAACAGCCAACCAGACAAGACTCACAGCCAAACTGGGTTCTTCAAAACCAATCCCGAGTGTCGAGTGAGGGGACGTACACTAGGTCCCGAATCGAAGTGCCCTTTTTTGGTTGGGAGGGTTCTACCAAAATAGACTACAGAAAAAAGGGTACCCCGAATTCTGAATGGCTGTGGCTGCCTGGTGCCCATAAATCCCCACCCACATGTGATTCCATAGGTGCATGTTCAGAAATAAGTCAATGACCAACACTGAACTCACCAAGAACTGGTGTGAGAGAAGGGTACCAACTTATTCTAAGCTCTCAAATCTGGAGGACCTAGTCAAGCTTCAACTTTGGCCAGCTTGCCAGCTTGCCAAGGTGAACCAGCAGGCGCTGATCAGCGCAGTGCGGAGCCTATCAAGAGATGGGTATGAGTGAGGCTTTGTCAAATGAGAGAGCCACCTTCGCCCCCCCCCCAAAAAAAAAAAAAGAAAGAAAGAAAGAAAAACAACCAAAGAAATGAGAAAAAAGAGGATCAACAGTGGGTTCTCTGGGTGTCCACGCATGAAAGCAACCCAAAAGTAAGACTGCATCCTGGCAGTCTTCAAAACAAAGCGACCTGCCCAGATGGGGCGGGCTTGAGTTGGAGGAAAAAACAACAACTTCCTTGGCTCTTTCAGACTGCTGGTCACCACTAGTCTACCGCTCAGCATCGGCTCCCATCTCCAGTCGGAGCCGCCAACAGTCACATTGGCTATGGGTCAAAATGAAGCCACCATCAAAACTGCAGGTGTTAGTCTTTGGCTCCATCTACCCAGGGTTTTATGTTGGGTTCCCATTTTTGACCCACAGCTTTTGGGCACTTATTTCGGGTACCTATTTTGGGCCCCCAAGACTTCTTTACCACTTTGGACCAGCCACATGGGGCGGCGCGAACTGAGATCAAGCCCATCATGTCGGAGTTGGCCCGGGCCTCTCGCGCGCGGATTGCGCGAGAAAGTCGCCGCACAGCTCGGTGGGGCCCCGGAAAATGCCGCTGCTCATGCTTTTGATGGCACTGCTCAGACTATTCCACCGGTTTTGCCAGGGCCATGAAGTGAAATACGCAAAATCCGGCATTTTGCAGGTGGCAGTCTTGGCAAACTTGCGCATTGGCTTGTTGCCATGCATTGAGTGTCCTTCGGGAATCAACATCAGACGCTGAGGCCGTTTCTCCCACCAATAAACAGCCGGAACCTGACCTTCGGGATTTCGGGACCCGGTCCCTTGAAAAGGAGCATGGTCCAAGCCAGGACCCTCCGACACATAGAAAGATTATTGCATATCATATCATATCCATCTCTTTTCACCATCTACATCTCTCTTTCGTTTCCCATAATCTTGCAAATTTTCATGTGGTCTTCTATTCTTTCCTTGTCCCTTCACCCATCCAGCCGTTCACCTCTCCAGTTGGCAGGTCCCATGCTGGGGTATGGGCTACCCATTTCCGAGGCCCAGGAGTGGGGCTATGAGCCCCGGCTGGCGGCGCTGGAGAAGTCGCCCCCTGGAGCAAACGACCCGGCGGAAGGTACCCGTTTATATATATATATAAATTCATTCATGCTATATATATATATATATGTATATTTGTTATGAGCGGCGTTGTGGATTCCCACCCCCTACCAAATGCCTGGGAAAGGGGGGGGACCCCAGTACATGAAGTAATACATAGAAGGGCCGCTATTGCGGTTCCCATTTTGGGGGCGGCTTCCATGTTAGTTCCTCTTGCATTTGAACGCCCTCTTACCCTCGGTGTGTTCGTGTGTCTTTTTGTTTGTTTGTTTGCTCAGGGTGCAGCGACGCCGTTTTTCCGAGTTTTGTTTATTAATGCTGCTTGTGCAAGGCGTGGGTGGCGTCGGAATGATTGGACCACCCTGCGTGTTTGTGTCCCGGCTCCATTGCGATTTTTCATCAGGGTTCCCTAAAGAGCTGCACCTAAAAGTCACCTGGTACATGTACACACCCTCCAAACAGCTGAACGCAACACGCTTTCGGGAACCCTGCTTGAGACAACTCGAATCAAAGCAAGCCACGCCGATGGACAGCCAAGGCTTGGACTGCTGCAGAAGGAGCTGGCGCTGAAGGCGGAGGCGGCAGGCCAGCATCCGGTTTCAACTCTGACACCTCAGTGGTCACACACACGCGGCCAAACAGGGACCATCAAAAATCAATACCCAGTTGCTAAGATGCGGCTTCCTCCAGCCGGTGCACGGAGCGCTTGCTTTGAAGGTTCCATTTGTGGGAGGGAGAGGGGCTCACACCAGTAGACCTCCTGCAGTCCTTCCATCTGAGGGTCTGAATTTGAGTTGCTGCAGGGGAACTGCTGTATGACCAAGCATGGACCAGCTCACCCTCCGTGCCTTGTTCCAGCCTGCAGCGGTTGAAGAGTAGGAACAACAACCCAAGCTTCTGTGCATCGGACAGGGATTCATGAATCCAATATACGTAGAGGGCCAAGTCATGAAACGGTGCAATCCGCCGGGCACAAATCTGGTCAGAGTGTCCGAATGTGGCCCCTTCTGGTGGACATCATCCCCTAAAAGACGACAGGGTAGCGTAACTTGGTGCCTCCCAGCGATCCCCTTAGCTTTTTAGGGTTTAGTGAGGGCTTCCATTTAACCCACTAAAAGTTAAGCTTTAGCAGGGGATTTGACGACAGCCTAAAGCGGCGTGGTGTTTCAGCCATGCCATGGCTGATGTGCCAGCGGCGTCCAGCAAGAAATCCTTGCTTCTCAAGCGCACCTTGGCGATGAGGGTTTTGTGGAGCGTGCCTCCAAATGGGAGTTGATGTGGGCTTCCTTTGTAACAATCCCAGAAAAAAAAAGAAAAAGAAAAAAGCATATACCCTCAACGAAAAAGACCGTGTGCTTGGCATGCCTACCATTTTGCCGTTTTGCACGGCCGGAGATAAACGGGGCGCACTTATGACTGTGCAACGGGCAAAGAGCTCAGAACATGCCCCAGGTAGAAGGCAGGGAAGGAGCGGCAACTTTTGTTCCGGCATTTGGTTGCGACCTTTCCGGGAGCCGCACGTCTCTGCTCTTTGGGCTGAGGTTCACAAGGGCCCCACTTTGACATCCCTTGCATGGCCGACTTGAGACCCACACGGTGCTGCATTGGTTTAAACATGCACCTGAGGCAAGCGGAGCCAAAGCAGGGGACCTAGCGGACCTAGCGCAAGCCTGGTGTGGAGACTTTGCTTGGAAGCACGCAGCAATTGGGCGGGTCCTGAGATTGGATTGCTTGTGACGCACGGCGGTCGCGCCTATGCAGCGACCTGAACTCCTGCTTTGCGGAGCTAGTCGCAGGGCCGCAGAGAAGGGCTGCGACATGCTCAGGTGCTAATGGCCAGGCTGATGATTCCTTTGTGCAGGCGGGCAAGCATCGATCGCAGGGCATGAAGCAAGAGCACCCCTGCCCACATTGGCCTTGTGAGCTAGTTGCTGGTATGCAGATGCATGAAGTTCGTGTTCTCCATCCTATGGCTAAAATTGCCCGAATAGGGTGGGGCTGCGCAGCGGAAAGCGCGGAGAGAGACACGCTTGCAATTTCGCTTGCCTGAACTCACGTTGTTGTTTCTTTGCTTTTGTGTATTTCTTTGTGGGGAGCGGGCGGGGGGGTTATATACATTTAGAATTGGTTGATATATTCGCACACTTGCGCTCGCACCAGTTGGGTTAGCAGGGCTCCACAGTGCGAGATTCTGTCGCCTCCAGGCGGCGATTCCAGTGGACGACGCGGTGGTTTTCTGGCGGAAGCGTGGGGAGGAGGGCCGGGGACACCAACCTGGATGGCCGGCGTTTGGTTGGATCCCCGCCCCCTTAAAAATGGAATTGGGGGAGAAGGGTGACGCCTCGAATTCCATTTATAGTTCCATTTTCCCTTTGGGGAAAACTAGATAAGTGGAATCGGGGGACCCCCTACCCCCTCCCCCCTAAGGTAGGGGAGATTTGGTTGGCGTGGCAATGTTTGACGAAACTCAAGGGGTTGGACCAGCACACCTTTTTGTTGTTCAATATGGTCAAGCTTGCCAAATTTCTCAGGTGCCACATGCCAACAGCAATAGTACAGTCATGGCTTCATGGATGCAGGCCATTTTATTTTCCTTTCCTCTTCTGGGAAAACGACATGTTGGCGGTCAATCTGCTACAAAGCACGCTGCGGAGTCAACTGCTGCAAGTGCGGCATGCAGAATGTGTCGTGGTCAAGCCGGAGGGAAGGGAAGGCCGGGGGCTTTTGCGTCTCTCACGGCTCTTACGACTTTCGTGTTGATAATTTTTTATTTTTTTTTGGGGGGGTACCATGGGTACCCCGAAAATGGCGTTAGTTTTTCTTTCGGTGTCCCCGTGTCAAGACCACCGAAAAAGGGGGCCCTCAAAGCATACACACCCAAAAGTGGGCTGGAATGTGAGAGATGTCAACTTTCAACCCAACACGGAGGCATCGTTGATCGCAGCGCAGATCAACCAATTATTGATGGACCCCTTGGACGAATGGCAATTGGCCAAATGAGAAGCTGGATCTTTGTTGTGTTGGGCACTTTGGATCTGGCCAAAGTCTTCAGAGGAAAAATATGCCCAGCTTCGCCAGCACTTCTGATGGCCATGTGGTCCCCTTAGCATTGCAGATGTATGGTAAGCCTGTGTCTTCTGATGATTTAGTCATTTAGTCAAATTGAGTCTCCTGTTTTTTGATGGGATGTTTGAAGATGTTTGAAGAAAGCGGTGGGTGATTCAATCTCCTGTTTGCTGGTGGTCGATGCTTGGAGAAATGTGGGGGATTCGGTTTTGGCTACCCGGAAACGCCTCTTAGGCAAGTCCCGCCGTGAGACTGGAGATGCTTCTGGAGGGCGAACGCGCCATCCTTTCGGCGGGGCCTGTTGGTTTTTGGTGGGTGGTTGGGTGGTTGGGTCTCTCTCTCTCTCTCTCTTTTTGAAAAGGCGACACTATACTACTGTGGATGCAAGTCTTGCAGTTGGTAGATGGTTTACAAGATCAACCGCGTTGCCTCAACAGGTGGACGGGCTAGAAGCGGGCCCAACAGCGGCATTTGCGCCAAAGGGCAGAAGCGATCTCACCGCTCCAACCTGGGTGAAACTCACCTACCCGAAGGGCCTGGAAGTAACAAGTGATCACCTTTGACTAAACAGAGTAAAAGGTCCGGCTTGGGCAAGTCAGGAAATACGAGCGACGAACTTAGTGGGAAGATAATCAAGGAAAGTGGTCTAAGCAACTATTCGCAAAGAAACATGTGGCTCCCAAACCTTGGGAAGTGAACAATGTACGCCTGGCACTTGCAAGATTGAAGCTGTTCCAAGTCAAGGATAAACTCTTTCAACAAGCAACAGAGGGTCTACCAGGCTGCATTCAAAGTGACATCCGCAAGCATGTCCTTCAAAGGGATGAAAGGAGAGCCACTCCAAAGTTATTTCGAGAGCCCCAAAGAAAAATCTTTCAATTTTCCGGGGCCCAGGGGCCCAGTCCGCCTAGCAAATTTTATAGGGAGGAGTGGTTGTTCTCCCAGGGCCTGCCACTTCCCAAGTTCTCGGCAGAGGCAACCCAAATACTCTCGGGATTGATAGGGGGGGAGGGGAAACGGGTGTGCTCGCAAGCCGGCCCAGAATGCTCCAAACCACTGAGCAATGACAAGACTGAGACACCAAGACTCACTTCCGAACGAGCGGATTGGCGCCAGAAAAAGTAACCAAACTTTTTATTTGCCACAAAAAGGGGTCTTCCCGAAAAGTACCGAAAGTCCAGGAACTCGAGTGAGGGTTACTTGGCAGAGGGGGCTCAGGGACTGAAGAGATTCGACTCGGACTCGGGGCCAAATCCTTGATTGGTGCCAACATTTATTTTTTGACCAAAAAACCAACTCAAGCTGAAACTCAAGCTGGGGTTTTCCTAATTCTCGCCATCGGTGCGATCGCAGCTTTCCCTTGGTTGGCCAGCTCGGTCCGGTGATCTCCCCAGAACCCCCGTGCCCGGGGGTGAGGTGCTGGGTCCGGGCTGGGCAGGTGGACTTTGCGGCGGAGGGCAAGCTGGTCACCGCGGGCCAGGATGGCCGGGTGAAGATCTGGCAGGTGGCCCTGTCGAGCCAGGCGGGGCAGTGGGCAGTGGGAGTTTGGGGGGGGGAAATCGGAAAGCAGGGTGGGAAGGTGTCCATGGACCTGGAAGTCCTTGGAGGTCGGTGTAAAATGGAACTCCCCGGCTTGAAATCCATTTGTGAGGCCGTCCCCTGAAAAATGAGACCCTGGTCCTGGACCCGGTTTTACAGCCGGAACGCGTGCAAGCAGCTTGCCTGTGGGCCGAGTCCGGCGCTTTCTTTCACTTAGGCTGGCCCATGAACGCAATGCCAACAGGCTGGGGATTCTGGATTGTTGAGGACTAGCTGTGAATGGCAACTTGCCCCATGCCCCCAACTACGACACCGAACCGTCCAACGTGCAAGATTCCGGGATTACTTGGCGGTTCCCAGCCGTCCTTTTACGATCTTTTGGGTTTTCGGGTTTTTAGGGTTTGATGGGGGTTCCATGAACCTACAAAAAAAAGGACCGCCCAAGTTGCTTGAGGTCACCCATGCAGTGCCATGTGCCTTTGAACGCGTAGGGTGTTTTCCTCTTTTGTGGTGCCACCAGACTTTGTCAACCATGGGCTGGTAGAAATTGGGTAGCGAAGTGGCCACCAAGGATGGTAGAAGTTGGGTACAGAAGGGCCCAGACTCAGAGTGCCATGCCATGGGATACCTCGATAGAAATTGGGTACCGAAGCGGCCATCAGACTTTGTCAACCATGGGATACCTTGCTAGGCATTGGGTACATAAGGGCTTAGACTCAGACTCACCCGCCGTGAGGATACGCTTCAGCCCACCTGGCTCTGCACGCTGAACCACGACGCCGCCGTGAACTGCGCGCGCTGGGCGCCAGACGGGAAGATGCTCGCCTCCTGCGATGCCCAGGCGTCCTCGAAAGTTTCCGCAGGTGGCCATGTCCAGGCTTACCGAAGCCGGTTTTTTCACGTGTTCGTTTCAAAGGACTGAGGGCGTTCTTGGAGTACCTGGGCATGAGTCAAAATTAATCCACCAGGGGACCGCAGGT